TAGTTAGCTGTCGAGCTTGAACACACTGCTGCTGCTGCTGCTGCTAAACACACTGTGCCTTTCAGATAAAACAGAATCAGACACAGCTGATAGTTTCAGAAAATGTTAGCGAGATATTGCAAAGAAACACAAAACTTTATGTTTGGAAATTTATTGCAAAGTAATACAAATGTATTTCTCTTTCGGTCCTTTAATGGCTCTTTTCCACCCAAAAGTTTCATGAAACTGTGATTCATATTTAGTATTTCAACAACAATGTGTAATATTTTGCAAATTCTACCGAAAAAAAGGATGAAAAAGGTTGATACTCTGCTTGAATTAGCGAATTTCAATGTTTTTTTGAATGTGAATATTTTCTACCTGTCCTGTTTAAGCATTTTGCTGGACAAAAACACATACATGTGAAGCAGTTTGATAACATTTCTGTTATGATTTTCCTGCTCTTTCCACTGTCCTCTTCTGTCAAAAAAAAAGGTAAAAAACAATACTGCAAAGACAACATCAAATGTTGAAACTGTCTTTTTAGTTGTTTTATGAAAAATATATGCTCAGTTAAGTTTGAAGTCAGCAGCATGTTTCCAAAAAGTCTTGGCAGAGACATGTTTACCGTTGTGTTGCATCACCTCTTCTTTGAACAACTCTCTCGTTTGGAAACCAAGAAAAATAGTTTCTGAAGAGTTAAGAGTGAAAGGTTTTCTAGAGCCCGAGCTGACGCTTCAAGCAGTGGGTGAGAGTCCTATTGAAATTGCAGAAATTATTATTTATTATTATTGGTAAGTTTTTTTAACTTGAAAACACCCATGACATCTTTTATCATACAATATGATGACATTTTTATCATTCAATACTAGACATTTTTCATTATCCTACACTATAACATTTTTTGACATACTATCCTATGTCATTTTTTAATCATACTAGACTGTGACATTTTTATCGTATTATACTAAGATATTTTTAATACTATAATATAAATTTGTATCATAGAATACTACAGCATTTTTCATTATGCTATACTATACTATGATATTTTTTAAATTCTTAATGATTTTTCTCATAATACTTTACCATGACATCTTTATTATACAATATTATCACATTTTTGTCGTACTATGACTTTTTTTTTCTAAAATATGAATTTTTCACATAGTATACCATGACCTATTTATCCTACTGTGCTATGACCTTTTTTTCATACTTAAATATAATTTTTTTTTCACACAAAAAAATGTAATGTTTGACATACTATACTGTGATATTTTTCATACTAAAATATGTTTTTTTTTATTCTCAAATATGATTTTTTCAAAACACTATACTATCACATTTTTATCATACTTTACTATGACATTTTTTCCATACTAAATCATGAATTTTTTCCCATCAAAATATTAAATTTTTATCATACTTTACTATGACATTTTTTCACTATAAAATATGACAATTTTGAAATAATTTACTAGGATTTTTTTTCATACTATACCATGACATTTTTATCATACTATTCTATGACAATTTTTTATACTAAACTATGACATATTTTTTCATACCAAAATAAAAAAAAAATGTCATGCTCATTTTCATGCTTATTTCAATTTTTAACATACTATACTATGACATTTTTTGTACAAAAAATGATTTTTTTTTAATCATGCTATACTTTGGTTTTTAACACACTATCCTTACATTTTTTTTCATTCTATACTATGATATTTTTTATCACTCTTTACTATGATTTTTCTATCATACTATACTATAACATTTTCATCATACTGTACTATGACATTTTCATCATACTATACTATGACATTTTCATCATACTATACTATGACATTTTCATCATACTATACTATGACATTTGCATCATACTATTATATGACATTTTCATCATACTTTACTTGGACATTATTATCATAGTGTATTATGTATTTTTTATACTTCACCATGACATTTTTTATCATACTATACTATGACATTTTTTATCATACTATACTATGACATTTTCATCATACTATACTATGACATTTTTTATCATACTATACTATGACATTTTCATCATACTATAGTATGACATTTTTTATCATACTATACTATGACATTTTCATTATACTATACTATGACATTTTCATCATACTATACCATGACATTTTCATCATATTATACTATGATTTTTTTTATCATACTATACTATGACATTTTCATCATACTATATTATGATTTTTTTTATCATACTATACTATGACATTTTCATCATACTATAATATGCCTTTTTTATCATACTATACTATGATTTTTTTTTATCATACTATACTATGACATTTTCATCATACTATACTTTGACATAATTATCATGCTATACTGTTTTTTTTTATCATACTATACTGACATTTTTTATCATACTATACTATGATTTTTTTATCATACTATACTATGACATTTTCATCATACTATAGTATGATTTTTTTATAATACTAAACTATGATTTTTTTTATCATACTATACTATGACATTTTCATCATACTATATTTGACATTTTATAACATACTTTAATATGAAATTTTTATCATACTTTAAGACATTTTATCGTAATATACTATCACTTTTTTTCCTCCTATAATATTACATTTCTTTTTTACTTTACTGTGATTTCTTCATACTATCATATACTGTGATATTTCAACATACTATACTTTGACATTTTATATACTTAACTATGAAAAACTTTTTAAGAACAGGAATTTTTGAGGAATGTTCTCATGTTTTTGTTTGAAAGTTTGCTGAAAAGTTTCTGTGGTGGAAAAGAGCCAGCGCCTTACTGAATACTGGTGTTTTGTTTTTTTTTGTTTTTTTCTGATCCTCTGATCTTCTCTTTCCCATAGATACCCGCCGGGTGTAGTTGGAGTGGCTCCGGGCGGCATCCCTGGGGCATTAGAGGGCATGGTGCCAGGTGGGGTGCCCATCGCCCACACCCTGCCCTCTGGTACACACCCCTCCCAGGCCCCATCGCCCAACCAGCCCTCCAAACACGGCGAGACCAGAGAGCACCTCACCGAGCAATAGCAGCAGAAGGGATCGAACTGCAACATCATCTTCTCCGACCTGTCGACTCTTTCAAGCAACCAGTCACAACCACGACCGACCTACGGGGACCAAGAGACAGTGAAACTACACAACGAGCCAGTCGGCATCTAGGAACAAAGGAAGTGTTCCGGGGGATTTGTACTTTTAACTTTTTAGTTTTTACTCTCTCTGTCTCTATGGGTTCAGTACCGACTTTACTCTTTGATGATGTTTTTTTTTTTTCTTCTTCTTTTTCGGGACATGCCTATGATTGTGGACACAGAGTCCAGTGTTTTTAGCGCTCCGGGATTCCCTGATGAGACTCTGTCCTGCCCCTTGTCCTTCTACACCTCAGAGCTCACGGGAAACATAGGCCCTCATCTCAACACATCAATGGGCGAACAAGAGAGAAAAACTTTGGCATCATGTGCTACTGGACCTTATACCCCTCTTTTTCCCTCTCCAAGATCCCCTGATCCTCCCCCTCATTCCTCTCCTTCCTCCTCCCTCCTCTCCAACCCTCCTTATGTAACTAATGTGTGTTGTTTAGGCCCCTCATTATGCCTCAGAAGAGAATTATTCTTATTTTCTTTTTCGATCTTCAGTGTGAATGACTTAAAATGGATTATTGACTTATATATATTTATCATTCGTCAAACAAGAGGAAAAGATTGCTCATCAGTTTTAGTAATCTAGAGTGGGTTTTAACCCTTTCCTGGCAGGATACATGTGACGGCTGTCATGGTTGCAGTTACAGGATCTCACCACTTGAGGGCACTTCTGCACAGCGCGCGCCCCTGTATGAAGTTTCTCCAGTAAACACTACAGAAAAACTCACTTTATCCTTTTGATTGTCGCTAAATCTCACAGCTGTGTGGATTTAGAGGGAGCTGCAGGCGAAGAATCAACTTTTCTTTAATGTAATGAAAGTGTCGGTGTGACTGTGAGAGGCAGAAAAAAGGAGATTTCTGATCCCAGCTTACAGATTGTGACCCTCCTCTCTTCGAGCACATTTCCCCCCTACAGACAGGAAAGGGTTAAAGCTAACTTTATTTCTTAATGACTCAGGAAAAACACTTTTTGCAGATATTGTTTATTCCCAGAATTTTGTCTTTGAGGGAAAAAAAGATAAGACTAATGAAGTTTAGTCTGGATATTTCCTCTCCTCCCTCCTCCTCTCCATTGTGGTATTTTTATATACAAGGCGCATCCCACGTTTTTGGTGTTAAAGAGTTTTGAAGAGTCCTGTTAGATTTGTAATGCCTAGTTAAATGTTCCTATAACCATAGTCCTTTGTGATCCGCCCCTCTCTTTCTCTCTCGCTCTCTCTCTCTTCTCTCCTTCTTCTATTTTTCTTTGTTCTATTGAAGGCCAGGTTCTTTGGGGCATCCTGTACTCTGTAAGAGCAATAGCAGAAACTCCTACTTAGTGTCCCAACAATAGCAGAAGAGGCAGCCAGCAGTATGTTTTTGTTTTTAGTGTGAGTATTTGTATTTGTTTCTTGTACAAGGTGAACATTTAGCATTCAGTGCAGTTCAAATAAAAGATACGATTCTGAGAAACGAGTGTCTGTACCCACACTTTCTGTCCCCAGTGTTGTAAAATCAGATCACATGATTAAATCACTGTCATTTCGCCAAAACATAGATTTGCCGTTTAAAGGCAGGTATTTATTGTTATGAAGAAGTGTTCCCAACTTACTGATCATTCAAAAGTTCTTATCTGAGTGTGAAGTTTATTATCAGTAAGGCCTGACCGATATGGATTTTTTTGGGCCGATGCCGATTATTAGGGGGGGGAAAAATCTGATTACCAATTAATCGGCCGATTTTTTAAATTTTTTTATTAAGTTATAAAAAATATATGTATATACTGTAGATTTCTATAGTATACTATATACTGTAGGCTACTACTCTCGACTGACTGATCAAACTCGGACCAGAAAAGCCTCAGTAAGAGAAGTAGCTCGATCACTTAATGTGTACTGTTGTTTATTCTACCGTTACTTGCACAGCTAACAGTGTAGCAAGGCTAATAGCAGATAGCTAACTCTTAACTTTAGCTTGCATATTACATGGTGCTTCAACATTAACTCGGCGTGACCAAGACCAGCTTGTTGACTTATTGTGTATTCCACAAACTGGTTTATTTACCGTTGAGGCGGACCACTCTCCTCCGTGTGTCCCTGAGCTGCCTGCTTCAGATCCGTCACTCTGCTGTGCTGTGAGGTAGTTAGTGGATGAAGATTGTCATGAGGTCGCTGCGCCATCTACAGGATAAGTCGGGGAACTTTTCAAATGGCGGAACATTTTCGAAGTGAAACCGAATCTTATTCTCCGCATTTTATTTTTACTGTTTATTTTCAAGTCCAACGTAGTGCTCACTGCTCAGTCAATGCTGATACTGTACTGTTGGCTGCTGCCTTAAACACAAGAAAATAATACAAACTTGATATAAAAAATATAAACATACAGGCGGAAGGTGGGGCACTGCCGCCTCCTCCCAACCATAGCCATTTCTTCCGAGTTGTTCCAACAAGACGAGCGCCGTCGCAGCACAGCGCACAGCCAGTCAGTGCAGTAAACAAGCACGTCCCAGTACGTCGCTATGATGGTGCCATACGGCGCTGACATCTGTCGTAAAATTGGTTAGGAATATGTGTCGGATTAATTTAAATCCTAAAGGCTAATAAATATTATCAAAAACGATAACGAAGGACATGTCTATAATTTTAGTTAGTTTTGTGAACACAAGATACAGTTTTAGTTAACTTATCGTTTTTGTTTTCTTTTCTAGTTTTTATTAGTTTTAGTTAACTGCAATGTATTTAAAATTTTAGTTTTCGTTTTTAGTTTCGTTTTAGTTAACTATTATAACCTTGTTCCTATGCTGTTATTTGCCGGGGGATGTGTGCCAGAGATTTACAGCAAACTACCGTTATTTTAAGCTTGTGCATGGGAAAGATTTCTATGTGGTTGTGTTTTGGAAAAGAAAACACAGAGATTTCAAACTAATTATAAAAAAACTTACAGGAAGTTAAAAAAAGTGATTTTATGCCTATTAAAAAATAAAAAGGAGTAAAATTTGCCTGTCGAAAAATGAACAAAAATGTCCATTTTGTGGTCTTCGGCTTCAACTTCGTAACTGTTAATCAAGTCCTGAAAATGCAACTCAAATTTTAACCCCTTACTCTCCACGAGCACCTTCTGAAACTGCGAACTCGTTTTCAAAAAGACCAATCCCAGCCATCACAAAAAGAGGTTTTTCAAACAAAAAAACAGGCAACAAAGAGGATGCAAGTGAGTCAAATTTAATATGAATGCACTCTATAGAAAGAGGCTGAGTGTTTGGTTTTTCTGTTGTCCCCACCAGCATGACCACCACCCACTCTAGCATGACCATGAGCCGCGACCCCACACGTAAAAATGTCAGTAAACTTACACGTCCTTTGTCCTCCCTCCTCCCCGCTCACAGAATGTGGGTATAATCTGTGCAAAATAAAATACTTCAAGACCCGAGGGATCGTAAAGAACACAGATAAAACAGGACAGAACAAAAAAAAGGTATCACCTCTCCTAAACGAATAAATAAATCCAAACATCAGAAAGGAGGGAGGGGGGCAATCGCAGAGGGGAAAGAGGTGTTCCTTAAGTCTTAACCATACACACAAGGGTTAACATCGTCTCAGTTTGAAGCTAAATTTCTGTCAGGCATCTCTGTAAATGAAATTTCTCATCTCGAGCAGCTTCAGGGTTTACTTAAATATATCTTCCTATAATTCCTGGTTTGTCTCTCAGGTGGAGATTATAACTTTGATGACAAATAAGGGCATTCTGGGTAATGGAGTTAAAACTACGCACACTTCAAGTGCTTTCACAGGAGCAGTAATCAGGATTCTGTTTGTTGGTGCTGGTTTCTTGTTTCTATCACAGAGCTCACAGAACACATGCATTATTACAAGTTAAAGATTTACACTTCGATGAAAGAAAAGAAACAGAAATGTAGATAGTAAGGTTTTCTCCCAGAGCCCACAGTGTCAAGTCTCAAGGTAAGAGCTCTTTATTCTTTCCTCTCTCTCTCTCTCTCACTCGTCTTCATCGTCGTCCTCCTCGCCGTCAGACAGAGAGGCACAGGGGCGGATCTGTCGGTATCTGTCCAACCACTTCTCCACCATCTGGGTGACCAGGGGGTGGTTACGGCGGCGGGAGCTCTTCTGCATGGCTGCCAGCATGCCTCCTTCTGTCACGCAGCAGTCCAGCCATTCCCTCAGCAGCCTCTCCTGCTGCTCCTCGTTCCCCATCTGGGAGGAGCAGAATAACATGCAGTTACTTATTACGGACCCTAATGGGATGATTTTATTACCTTGTGCAATCAGCGGTCACCACAGTCAGAAAAGGTCCCACATATGAGAGAACTTTGGATTTACAGCTCTTGAAACATTTTTCAAGCCTCTCGAAAACAAGAAAAGTTTTACTATCAGCAGAAATGTGGAAAAGTAAACTACTTTTAGCCTCCTTAAATTTGCCATTATTGATTGTGTTAGTGTAGATTGTGCACTTTTAATCTGTAAAGCAACAGCAGTGTTTTACATAAACCACATCTAGGTGAGCCACCAAAGTTTCTTTCAAAAACAAGCTGGTAACACTTTACAATAACCATCTAAGTAATGTTTATAGGTGGTTTAAAAGACAAATTTTAATCATTTACAAAGTTTTACTGACACACATTTTAATCTAGTTGTTTACAACCAATATTTAAACCCTATATAAACCTTTAATAAATCACTCATTAATAACTAATGAAAATCATTATTCATCATAATTTCATTGCTTGCTAGTGGTAAAACTATCTACTAACTTTAATTAATAAACTATCTATTAAATAATTGGTCCTTATGCTGTTTTTAAGTAACGATTAATCTAATAAACTATCTTTTTACCATTTATAAATTATGGTTATTGTAAAGTGTTACCAACAAGTTAAAAAGTGTTTATAACAAGAACTGGAGGTAGGGGGAGAAACAACAGTAACTAAGTGAATAAGAGGGGACCCGAAATAGACCCCTGGGGGACCCCACAAGAAGAGGAGGCATTTCCAAAGACTACAGAAAGACCTGTTTGGCCGATTAGAAATGAACATCGTGCTCCAGCATCAAGTCCAAGCCATCAGGACTTCTTCACTCCTCATTTTGCTGTACAGTTTATTACTAGGTGAGCCGATAAAATCGGCCAATTTTAGCCCGATATTTTCAGAAATAAAATGCGGAGAATAAGTTGAAAACGCTTTTCTGGTCCGAGTTTGATCAGTCAGTCTCCCTGTCGGCATGAAGTGCAGTAGCTTACAGTATATCTACAGTACACTGCAGATATCTACAGTATACATATATATTTCTTTTTATAACTTTAAACTTTTTTAAAACTTTTTTTATAACTAAAATTTTAAAAATCGGCAGATTAATTTGTAATCAGTATGGACCCCAAAAAATCCATATCAATCGGGCCCTAGCAACTACCTCCTTCAATTCAAAGTATGCAGGTCACCTCTTTGAGTGGGAGGACCCAGAATTGTGGACAAATACAGATTTGATATACCATACCTCTTGTGCAGACAGGAAGTGAATGTGCAGCAGTTTCCTCTCGCTGTCCACCAGCGGCAAGAAAGTGACCGTGACGTCGTCGTCGGTGTTGAGGTTCGCGCCCGCACCGCGATTGTCATAGCCATCGTTCTCCATGGCCACCAGGGCCGAGAAGTGTCCCCTTGTGTAACCCAGGGCGATGGGACTCTTCCAGCAGAAGCTCTGCTCCCATAGCAGAGGCAGGTACACACCTAAACACACACATGAACACACATTAACATGTACACATATAAATCAAGTCCGACCGGCTGGGAGCCACCCTTCAGCTGAATGCTCACATTACAGAGTATGTGAGTGTCATTTGGGGCCAAGTGCGGTCTTAAAACTGACTCCAGATCAGAAACAAGCGGTTCATTATAGATAGAGAAGGGCTGTGTGGAGCAGCATGGTGTCCTGCTACTTCAGGACTACATCTCCTTTCCCTTTGTAAGTCCAGTTCTGAACTAAACAGACACTGAAACGCTCCATCTCGACACCTACTCCAGTTATCCTCTGACTATGATTAATTCACAAAACAGCTCACTGACTCAACAACAGCAGTCACCGTATCAGACATGTTGACTAACTTTCGATCACTGAGTGTGTATAATTTGGACAATGAGAGCTTTGTGAGTGCCTCCACAGAGCGGAGGCATCTGTGCAGCTGTAACTCAAACACGCGCTGAAGCCACCTGGCTGGTAGCATCACAGCACGCTGCCAAACCTGCAGGCATTAAACTTACAGATACAACACTGAAGATCCCTGAGGTGGGTGCGGTCGACAGCTGAGCAGATTGTCATGTTGGTTGAGAAGTTATGAAAAGGTCAGTGACTCTTGTGTTGGTGTTTGTTCGCTTTTCTCTCACTGTTCCTCCTCTAATCAGCTGATCAGACAGCTGCATTTATCACAAGAGCTGTCAATCATGATGACACGATCATGATCTAGACAAAAAGGAAAACTCAGACATGCTCAGACATGTAGCTGCATGATAATAATCAAAACAGACTTGCATCCTGTGGCGTTTTTAGGAATAAAGTAACGAGTTAAAGGACGAGAAACTTTCTCTTTATGAGGTAAACATGTTGATATTCTGACTCACTGTCATGTGTTTCACTTATGAAGCTCTTAAAGGGATATTCTAAAGAGGCTCCTGTCTGCCAAAGGAACCTGTATCTTTCAGATGTTAAAGGGATATTCCAGCATAAAATTAATTTAGGGTCAAACACACCATAACACCAAGTTAGACACCCCCTCGAGAGATGAATGTTGCCGACTGCTTGCTTCTCTAGTTATACGACCACAGGATAGCAATACACAGCGGTCTGAGGAGGCATAAACAAACCTCAACCAAAACACCACTCTGTAGCTACAAATAATGCTCAGAACAGCACCTAACTTCATCAACAGTACATATAGGGTCCCAGCCACCAAACATCTTTTTAACTTTGCCTAATTTCTTTAGCAAAGAGACTAAACACAACTCACCTACTCTCTTCCAGCAGCTGTTTGTTTGTAGCGAGACCTCAACCAGTCCATTACAGACTACAGCGGGGTGACACAGCAGAAATGATAAGGTAATGATCATAAATGTTATTCCTTGAGCTGCGTCACCCCGCTGTAGTCTGTAATGGACTGTCCCAAGGTCTTGCTACAAACAAACGGCTGCTGGAAGAGAGTAGGTGAGTTGTGTTTAGTCTCTTTGCTACTAAAATCAGGCAAAGTTAAAAAGATGTTTGGTGGCTAGTACTATGGCTGGGACCCTATATGTACTGTTGATGAAGTTAGGTGCTGTTCTGAGAATTATTTGTGGCGTTTTGGTTGAGGTATGTTTATGGTTCCTCAGACTGCTGTGTATTGCTATCGTGCGGTCATTACTAAAGTTGGTATAACTAGAAAAGCAAGCAGTCTGCAACATTCATTTCTCGAGGGGGTGTCTAACTCGGTGTTACGGTTTGTTTGCCCCTAAATTAATTATACACCAGAATAAGTTACTCTGGCAGACAGGAGCCTCTTTAAAATCTGTTTAAATTCAACTTTAAATCAAACTACAAATTTCTGCCACAAGAGGAAACCGTTTCTTTGCACTCTTGCTGCAGAGAAGAAAGGTTCGATGAGTAAATACTTGCAGACTTTTTACAAGACTCACTATTTATACCACCAAAGATTTTTATTCAGATGCATTCTCACCTTGAAACCGAGTGTATCCTAACGTTTCCCCACGGAAACTTTTGTAGTATTTCACTCCGTAGACTATGATGGGTCTCCGAAGAATGTGCGCGAGAACGAAAATGTGGGTCTGCTCCAGGCTGGCCCCGGGCTGATGGAGGACAAAAAAGAAACACAGAAAACCACAATGTTGTGAGAGGAAGTTATATCAGAATCTCAATATTGAAAGATCTAAAAATACTGATGAGGGCTGATACAGATGAAAGCTTTGAGAGTGTGTGATACCTTCACTCTCCTTCTCATAGAGCACAGATTTATAACCGACTCCATCTGCTATCAAACCTGCTGTTCAAAGTCATTCATTCTTATATGACAGGATATACAGAGGCAGATCTTATCCTCTGATCTCTCTATTACGGCCAAATCCTGAGACAAGGTTATCAAATGCTAGTGTTTGTTTATTCTGCCCGTGGAGTGGCTCTCGGAGCTAAATGCCTGTAATCCTGAGGTCACATGTTGGGAGGGAGTGCAGCCTCAGCAGGCGTGCCAGCCCAGCAGATGATCTGTCTGTCAATCTACAACTCCGTCTTAGGGGATCGACTATAATTGCTTATGTCCTCCCTGTCATTCACGATACACCTTCCAGAGTCAGCGCTGCTCCTCTGAGTCCCCGGCTCTGTTTTAATCCAATGACAGAGTTAATGAACGACTTCTAAAGAGCGGGGCTGACACGTCCTCGGTGTTTTTTTGCATTTAGGACTGTGTGTATCTCTGTGTGAGTGTGTTGACAGTGGGGGATTAGAGCTGTTACGACTTGGCAGGATTCCATCTGTGTCTTATGGTTCAAGTATGTCTCAAAGAAAAAATGACCTTCAATACAGCAACGTGTGAACATCCCCACTACACTCACACTGCTCATTAATGCCTGACTCTCTCTTTCCAGCAAGTTAATCTAGAAGTTACTGTGGACTGGTAAGAAATCGACATAGATGACAGATAAAACTACTCAAATATACACGATAAATCGGAAAATTCTATCAATAATATCCTTTAATGGAGTTCAAGTCCAACAGCTGTAGTGACTTTGGACTTTCCCGTACTAGCAGAGACTAAAAACCTGTGAGGTATGGGTCCGTGTATTATCCGTCCATTCAGTCTAGTATACAAAAAACGAGTAAATATTTTATTTGTTTTTCCTATATAACCAAAAAAATAAAGCATTAGTGTTTGTTTTCGTATTTTCAGTTCAAAACAGATTATATAATATGCGCATTGTGCAACAAAGTAGCCAACAATGTGGACCAAAAACTCCAGGCCAGAGCTGTAGAGAAAGGCTAACCTGCTGTCATGGAGATGGACGCATCCTATGTATTATTTAAAGCGACCAGGAAGGTCACACTGAAGGAGGAAGAGATGGCTGTAGAAAAAATTACAACCATAGCTCTGTTACAACGTAAGATTTTGGCACTCGAAGCGCTCTGTCGCATCTTTCGCCATGGTAACTGTCGCTGAGGATCATGGGAAGGCCAATTCAGCATCCATGCACGTATGCTAAAAACAGGCGAACTCAAAATCAATAATTGTAAATAAGAGTTATTATTTAGTTTTTGTTTCCTTCTCTATTATATATCCTGTTTTGAACTGAAAATACGAAAACAAACACTAATTTTTTTTATTTTATGGTTATACAGATACAAAATATTGACTTTTCATTTATCGTTTATAGATTGAATGGAATAATTGAATGGATGGATAATGCATGTACCCGTACGCTACTCCTCATCCAATCAATCAACACCAAGTCAACAACTGTCTTTACCTTCGGTGGTTTGCATTGAGACGGTCAGTCTATTTTGTGCTAAATGTGCTCTGCTTCAGACAGAAACACTAACATGATAAAAATGATCATTAAAGCTTCATGTGGCACATGATTTTAGTTTTGGAGGTTAATGGACTTTGAGGTTTGTTTTTGTCATGTTTCTGACGCAGTGAGATATTCGACCTGTGCAGCTCTTTTTGAGTCACGACAGTTTTTGGACAAAGTTGACCTCACCTTATTACTTTAACTTCCTTTCACTGCTTTATATTTTATTTTATTGTTTGTTTTCAGACCATCTTTATTGTTTCCTTCCTTTTCATTACTTCAGTCTTATGACGTCTTTGGTCTTTTCTGTTTGGATCTTTTTGTGTCTGCTTTCTTAAATTTCTTTTGCACGAGGGTCTTATGCTTTATTCTTATTTAAACTTCTGTCTGTATATCATAACTATCTTTCTTTTATTTAACCATCAACTGGTTAACAGAATGACTCGCTCTCAGTGGGGCTTCTGCAAGTCGTAGTGAACGGACAGGACAGAATTGTAAATCAATATCCAAACTGAAATCCAAAACAGCAACAGCTGCTGCGGGCTTATACGAGTTAAACTGAGATTTACGCATAAGTGGGGTTATGAACCCATGTGTGGTGTTCTCATGCTCAGCTGGAACACAAATAAGGACATGCATCTTCAGCGTGAGCATAAGAATGAAAGGCGGGTTGGTAATAGAAGTTTCGAGGTCATGCTGGGCTACACTTTGACTGACAGATGTAAACAGTGAAAGTTTGATGAGAAAAGAGATGACTTTTTTATGTTTTATTGGAGGAAGGTCATGTCAGTAGGATTTAATTGTGATTTATTTGGGGGGAAAAGTCTGAGTTTACCAAAAGTTAGCATGTTTGTAAGGAAACAAACTCAAAACAAGCCAATAAACCGCTGAGAAAAGGTACATTTTCGTCTAATTTTCCCCCAAACAGCAATAAAAGCACGACCAACTCAGTGTTTTTGTCCCGGAAACCAAAAAGAAGACCCTTTTGTGCCTCAGTGAGGAAGTAAACGTTTATCATTTCACATGTGAGGTAATCAGTTCAACGATCTTCTAAAACAAGTAAATGAACAACTAAACCGACTGAGAGTGACTTCCACTATTAGAGGCCATCATGTACGTCAGGGGTCTGACATTACAACTGTGAGATTGCATTAATTTATTCAGCACATTTTTCCAGAGTATTGTTCTCCTTTTTCTCACAGCGCTCTCTTTACAGTCAGACCGCGCAGGACCGGACGTTTCTTTAACTTTTGATTGATGGCGAACCGGAGGAAGGAAGTGAGTAACGCAGAAGGAACCGCACAATTACCTGGCTGGCCAAAGACAGGATGAACGCCCAGTCCTCCTGCCACTGCTCCTCTCTGAGGGAGAAGTGCAAACCGAAGCTCTGCGAGTACCACGACTCCCACTCCTTCCAACGTGTGTAAAACCTGGAGAGAGGACGACCTGTTAGAACCGTTTATGCAAAATGAATGAAGTCATCCACACACCTAGTGCACCTAGTGTCCTATTTACTAAGCAACTGAACCTCTAGTGTTTCATTATGTAAAGGAAGTATGAAAATATCCTGATGAGAAGTCTTTATGAGCTTCAGAGTCAAATGATCAAAGTCAATGAACAGCCAGGAGGCGAGGACTGTGACCGCTGTGTCTCTCACACACGTTAACCGCCCTGACAGGAAAGCGCTTTAAGGACTCCTGCTCAGCTTTGCCGAATTTCACACTGAATAATCAACGGCAAGAAAAACATCATCTTGAGTGTACATCCCTTCATCGAATATAATGAGTCTTTGAGTAAAACGATCTTCATGCTTCAAATCTTGCCCCTAGTTTTCAAAGTTCAGCAGGTTTAAGGTTATTGATCAATATAACGTGTGCAAAAATAACATGCAATATAATAAATGTGCAATAATTACAATGGAGCATTAGGGCCACATTAAGAAAAAAATTTTGACTTTGCGATTAAAGTCGTTAATTTACGAGAATAAAGTCATTACTAACGAGAATAAAGTCGTAATTAAGTAATTACTTACAAGAGTAGAGTCGTGGTTAAATCATTACTTGCAAGAATAAAGTTGTAATAAAGAAATTACATACGAAAAATTGTAATAAAATCCTTACTTTTAAGAATAGAGTCGTAATAAAATCATTACTTATAAGAATAAAGTCGTAATAAAGAAATTAAGAGAATAAAGTCGTAATAAAATCGTTACTTACAAGAATAAAGTCGTAATAAAATCGTTACTTATAAGAATAAAGTTGTAATAAAGAAATTAAGAGAATAAAGTCGTAATAAATATTAATTAAAGTTGTAATAAAATCATTACTTATGATAATAAAGTCGTAATAAAGAGAATAAAGTCATAATAAAATCATTCTGATACTTTTGATAATGTGGTGCTGATGTACCTCAAGATTAAGTATCTTCTTGTTTGAAAAACATAGTGAAGTACATTTTTCACAAAATGCTCCATGGCTCTCATTTCAACTACTGTCATCTTAAACAACAGGACTTTATTACGATTTTATTCTCGTAAGTTAACAACTTTAACCTCAAAGTCTTCATTTTTTTTCTTAATGTGGCCCTAGTACTCCATCATAAATGATAATATCTACTGTGCAAAAATGATAATCAGCAACACAATCCATAGCCTCAGCTGTAGAAGATCTGATGAAAACAAACTTGTAGGATAACGTGCATCCTGTATTCTTTGCACACTCACACACCTTGAATCTACTTTCATTGTCTTTGCAAAGGTCACCCGTTCAATCACAGCTGCTCAGCAGTAAAAATGTTTCTGACACCCGTGTCTGTGTAGGTCTGGGTGTCTTACCAGTGAGAGCAGTCGTGCAGGCTGTCGTGGAGTGTTTTGCGGAGCACGGAGTCCTTGTCGTAGATGCCCCATGTGGCTTGTAGGACAGAGTCCAGCAGGCAGTCTCCTGCTGTGCGGTTCCATAAGGCGTACAGGCGGCTGTCCAGGCGAGTGCCCAGCTCGAGAGACCAGTTGATGACCGGGGACTCCTCCTCCAATTCTAGTTAAGGAATAATACAATAGAGGCCTGATTATTGGTAATAAAGGCATTTTTAAAGCACATATGGGTGATGTTTCATTTTCTTTCAGCGTTACTGCCTCTTCAATCATTCAGTCGACACAGAGATTAAGAACCGTTGACGTTCACTCCCCATTCCTCTTAAATCTTCGAAGATAAACAGGAGTTAATCTTGCATACCTTTCTGCACATCTCGATCCAACACCTCATCGAACAGCTTCTCCTGGACAGCAGGAGGCAAATCCTCAATATCTGCAAAGTGAACGGGATGAGACATGTTGTCACTCTCATTAGAATATAATAGCGCGGAGCTCTGAGGGGAGCAGAGACGCTGCAGTAATGACACACAGAGGGGATGTTCTTTGCAATCCCATTCACTGGCTGACATTTTGTCAATGGCACACTGTAAACACGAGCTCTGTACGGCATGATGTGTTTTCTGTGTGTATTGAACTGTGCACTCACAAAGCCAAACACTGGTGGCTATTTTCTAGCTCTATAGTGAATGGCAGGCTCTTTGTTTGATACAGCGAGAGAGAGAGAGAGAGAGAGGAAGAAACAGAAGGGGGAGCGTCCCAAAGCTGGCTGTAGGCCAAACGCAGACTGAAGCTGAAATATATGGCGTAACGTCAGATAAGAAAAAAGAGAAATCTATCAGTGAGGCCTGAGTAATCTTTCATTCCTGCAGCTCTGCCAGCTCTAAATCTGAGCACAGCTGGTGGCTCTGGAAAGAAAAGTGGATGTCACAAACAGGACACTGAGTTGCTGTTTCAAGGGTAGCCAAGGGGGGAAAACATCACCCTGTACATTTTCAACAACATTTACTGAAGTGCTACACTTTGCTAAAAATATGCAATATCCAAGTTTTTGTTTAAGTAGTTTATATTTCTTATGTTTAATCCCTTGTGAAAAAAGTCAGTGTTGTTGTTTTGGACTGAATATCAGGCCGTCACTGGTACCTGCAGGCAGGGTAAAGGTCACCAGGTCAGTGAGGAAGTAGCAGGCAAAGTCTCCTTTGCGCTGGTGTAGTGAGGCTGCAATCTCCCTGCGGATCTGCTCTGTCAGCTCAGGACACACGAGCGAGGGGATGCACTTCGCCGCCTGCTGGTTCACCTGAGAAAAAGAACGCAGATTGATGAAGTCGGAGGCATTCATGGGGAAGATCTGTGTCTTGTAATACATATAAAAGCCTTGAATAGTTTTTAAACACAGGACACTAATACAGATCTAACCCTTCGCTTTAGTACTGCACAACCAGTTGCCAGTTTCTGAGAGAAATCCCAGCATAAAGATGGAGCAGACTGGTATAACACACAGAAGAAGAACTTCTACTATAAACACTGAAAGGGCCATCATTTTCCCCTGACCTAAACACAGCCTTCCTTGCAAACCACATCAGCTCTGTGGCACCGGGTCCATTAGGAACCAGTGACAGGACCAAAGCCAGGCTAATACTCCACCTAATCCTCAAAGTGCACTCCTGCTGTAATTATAGGCATCACGGGCTTCTGCTTTATATCCTCTACTTTGGCACAAAACAGTCATAGACTGATGTGGGTGACAGGGAAGAGTATGGAAGAGCTCTAAAATTATAGTCGCTCTTTTGACTTGTTATTACAAGTCTGATTGAATAAACTTTGAACTGAAACCTGAGAGTGCAAGCAAGTTCTGTTAGATCTGATCCCTGGGTTCTTGCTGTTAAAAGAGAAAGTTTTATTTAATAAAAACCTGCAGCTTTGATGTGAATAGACCGATCAGGGCGCATACCTCTGTAAGCAGGATGGCGAGCATGTCCTGCCTCTGGAATCGGATGGCGAGGTGCACCAGCGTGAAGCCGACATCAAATGCAGAGGAGCGGCTGAGGAGCTGCACCTCGTCTGCAGTGAGCTGCCGGGCGATGTCACCACCGGACGACTTGTAGGCTTCCACTGCTGCCAGGTCCCCCTCCACCACGCCTGCAGCAAAAGGGCAAGGGGGAGGAGGAGGAAGAGAGAAGGAAGGAAGGAAGGAAGGTCAGAAAATAGGAAACAAATGCTGGAACTGAAATTTAAAAATGGATCACAAGTGCCTAATTTTATCCGTGCTGTTACTTTCCCAGGGATTCATGTTCACAGGCTGCTGATATGAGATTTCTACATTGTTTAATGGGAGTTAGGGCAGTGGTTCTCAACTGGTGGGGCCCGACCCAAAAGGGGGTCACGGACACGTTCTGGATGGGTCGCAAACATCTGGTCAAAAAAGAAAATATTTAATGCGCATCTGATGTCTGACATGTCTTTTATTTTGGAAAAATAGCTTATTTTGTGCAATTTGACATTTTCTTGATGTTTGATATTTTCTGTATATGCAACTTCAGTAGTTGTCGTCCTCAGTTCATGTGCTCTGGAATGCACTTTACTCAATAAAACGGGTGTTTTTGTGTTAAAGATTTGAGTCTTTAAAAGTTTTTTTTTATAAAAAATAAATTAGCTTGGTTTGAATTTTATAAAAGTGGGTCATAACTTAAGGACCATGCAAATTGATGTGTATAGTCAGGCGCATCAAAATTCACCTCCGAATATTTCATCGTTTCGTGTTCTATATTCGCATTGGCCCCGGTGTGTAAGGACCTTTAGTGTTATTTTGCATTTTAGCACTTTTTTATGTGTAGTTTAAGCAAAAAAAGTAAAGACACTACTGTTCTCAGGGGAAAATAAAATCATAGGCTTTTATCCATTAAAAAACAACTGATTTGATGCAGCATTGAGGAAGAAATAATTCATATCTCATCCTACTTTCATGCACAGCAACATGTTTAACAAAATGTTATCTTTTTATTTGATTTAGGATTAATTTTTCATGTTATTGGCTTCATCAATACACACAAGGTGCCGAATAAACTGTTAACTACATGTCTGTAAATATCGGCTTTAAAAGTTTAGTTATATCCTGTTTAAACGTATCACTAAGGACATAAATTGATGTTGAAAAGAGAGGGAATCCTTTTACAACAGACTGATTCTTCATAAATGGATTAGAGTGGCTTTTGGAGCGGCTCCAAATCCATGTCCTTCGCTTGTACAGCAAGATGTAACAGCCAGCTTGTCATGTTCAATAAAAAGAACTACAGAAATATCCATCAAACCGTGCCAACACATGACACTGTTTTCGTTCACGAGCAATTAATATTAAAATCCTGGAGGAATTTACATAACAAATTCAAGCGGAGGGAACGGGTTGAAGTATGCAGGAATATTTGAGGAGGGAACAGAGCTCTCTGGCTTTTGACGTCAATCCAACATCTCAGATGACCTCTAGACGTAGCCACTAGCTTACCCAGTGTGAGAACAGTTGTCACCCTGTCAGGCTAAAACACAGCCGAACAGACAGCGCAGTGTAGCTCTTTAGTGCAGAGCTATCACAGAGCTGTGTCACACAGAGGACAGCCTGTGCAGATTAGCGTCCTCCCCCTCCTCCTCTGGATGTCACAGTCTCAACATCTGCTCTGACTGAAATGAGCAGCGGCTAGGTAGCGCGCCGCACATCCGAGCGCGGGGTTGAATCGAAGCGACAGCCTGATGAGAGGATGTTCTCTCTGGCTGGGAAGAGGATGGTTACCTCGAGAGAACCTGGGCTGGAATGTGCCAAGAACGACCGGTCTCCTTTTACGCATGCTGGGTGATATTTTGTGAACACAGGTCCGTAAATAGATGCTGAATTCTTCTGGCTGCGATCGAGCCGCTGGCACGCAGGAGGTGTCGTAAAAAAAAATCAAAAATATGTTGACCTGTTCTAAGAGGATGAAACGAGCACACTGGACTTTATTTGTTTGTGATGAAACTTTGACTTTTAATCTCTGTCTCCTCTACACTCTTGATTTTGTTTGGCCAATTCCTTCACTACTTCTGACAAAGCTATCTCTGAATGGTGAACATTCACTAAAACATGCTTTAAAGGGTTAATAACCTGCACCTATATAATACCTGTCTACTCCTACAACCACTTAAAGTGTCTTAAAGTGACACATACTTTTGTTCACCGATTACAGGGCCTATAAGGTACAGACGAAACTGTCAAGACATCATCTTACAGTATTCTTGAACAGGCATGCAGGTCCAATCCTCTGGTTAGTCGAGGACACGCTGTCCTTACTGAGCCACAGCAGCGCCTTTAAAGTTCCTGCTCAGTTTATATTAAAAATAAGATAATATAATAATCTTTAATAGTCATAATACACAACTAGATGTGTTTGGACAACAGGGATGTTTAAAAGACAGAATACTGTCATTTATCCAAGGTGTTTTCCTATTTAAAAGTGCAAACCTGGACTTCAGAGGTGCTATTTTATCCGAGACTTTAAGACAGTGACTGTTAAAGGAAAGCAGCTGACTCTCAATATGACTGTATGGCAGTGTAAACGACCTTGTATCAAATGTCTCCATGAACCGTGCAGCAAAGTTGGCATTCAAAATACACGTTAGATGAAATATTGATGTCATTCATGTGTCAAATGTGGTCGCAATGTTGTCATGAATGAGGAGAACTTGAATAGAAATTAATTGAGTGATAGAAGACGAATATACGGTACAAGCAGAAGATACTGAGAAGATGAAAAAGTTCTTCAAGACCTTTACTGTCCCATCTTTCACTGGAGGTTGAAGCTGACGGATAAAGACCCAGCTGGAGTTATTTACACTGTAGCTGCTGCAGGTACAGACATACAGGTTTACATAAAAACAAGTTTAGATTTTAAAGCTAAAAGCGTGGTATCCTGTTGTATTAGGAGTCGCCTGGTTAAATTGTCTTATCTATTCGCACCTTAAGTTCCTTTCACACTGGGACCGTTTTTGGGGTTTTTTCGAACCCCTATCCTACAATTGTTCACATCAGCTACGTTTTCCAGTCCTGCGATATTGTGGCATTTATTTTTTAGGATTATGGTTGATTTTTCTAAAGTTTCGCAAACTGTGTGTCCACTTCTGACCAATCAGATTGCATGTTGTCTCACCAAGTTCTCTTCTTTTTTGTAATATTGGATGCACTCATGTGCTACATTTTTTTTTCTTTTCAGAAAGCAAAATGAGTACCAATTTGCCATCAATTGAAGTCGAAGTAAACTCTATTTTTGTCCTATCGCTTCCAGCCGGGATGCTGGTTGTTAGGGGGAAAGGTCCCGCCCTCCTTCGCCTCTGATTGGCTATAAGTGCTGATAGTTTGGCTTGAGCGTGTGATGACGTTTCCAGCTTTTCTAGCCAATCAGAGGCGAAAGAGGCGGGACTTTCCCCCGGAAAAGTCTTCCCTGGGATGCGTCTTTTTCCCCCCGGAAAGTCACAAAATCGCATCTGGCTTGGTGTGTATAGTCAGACGTGTCAAAATTCGCCTCCGAATATTTCGTATTTTTGCGTTCTATATTCGTGTCGCTCCGGTGTGTAAGGACCTTAAGGTTGCCTGGATTTGCACATTTAATTATTTTGTTATACATACACGCACATGGCCATACAAATACACTCTGAAGGATGTTTCTATTTTCTGCAGATTTTGTAGTCATGAGTGGCTGACATTCCTTTCAGCCTGTTTAGATAAAAATTCAGCTGATCAGCGACATCCTTTCTAGCGCTCCAAGGCGAACGCAAACCGCTCCTCTACAAAGTTTTTTTTTGTCATCATACTAATTCAATAAAGAGTATAAAACATCATCAGAAGCGCCATCAAAGTGGAGCATAATACGCTCGTACAGGAAAAACATTATCCGCCTCTGTAAGACTCGCCAGTCGAAGTCTTTCAGGGGGAACAAAAGAACAATATTACATAAACAAAACCTGCTTCCTTCTGTGGGAGAGCTGAATCAAACGGGATCAAATACAAAGTGCTGGAAAAACAGGAGACTAGAAATGTGGGGAAAACAGTAAAGCAAAGTGAGATCAAGTTGTGAGACCTGAGGAAGTGCTTTGCTTGGCCGTTATGCGCCGCTCGGCTCAGGCACTTCCTCCTCTGACAATCTTTCAAAGAGCCCAGCTGCAGCACAAAGCAGTCGAACTGAAAAATGCAGGGATACAAAACGGCCGAACGGTATGAAGGATTAGAAAATAGATTGGAAAAGTCTATATCAGGTAGATTTAGAGTCCCCCTGCGACCTCAGAGTGATGTTTTCTACTCCACAACAACAAGCTTCAGAGGGCAGTCAGTGCAAAGGTGAGGAGGACACTGATCATGTGCTCCCTTCATGCTTTAGCTTTTTGCTTTTTTTTTTTTTTGTTGACGGGTGTACATGTCTTGTCAAGGCTATTTTTGCCTCCTCGGGGGCCCCTGCTCAGCACATAAGCACCACTGTTTACAGGCTCTATTGACTGCGAGCCAGGAGAGCCTCTGGTCCACGGGCTCTACTCTCACTGCGCTGGCCAGACGGCCCATTCATCCCCACCGGCTGGGAAGCACTCACACCCTCTCAGTTTCTCAAAGACGCTCTCACTGGCACCAGCCAGGGCAGCTCAGGGGTCCAGAGATGTGTTGGATCAGATTCCTACTCGCTGTATAATTACAAATCATTACTATGCTGCCATTCAGCGTCATTTATGCTTTGTTGGAGATAAGTATCAGCTCACTACAGCAGATATTTTCTAGCTGAAAGCTCTACCTTGTGAAATTAAACCCTTCCCACAGAGCCTGCCAGGTTCTTGCTTTGCTAAATTCCTGTTGTACTATAATATTTGTAGTCAAAACAAAGAGACGTGTTGTTCATTCATTAATAAAACACCGAGGGGATCACAATAGTATGCAACTTCAGCCTTCCCAGGGTGAGGATAATCTGCACTGTAATAAAACAGACTCAAACCAAACTAAATGTTGCACGATGAAGATGAAAAACATTCCTGATAAAGGAATCTCGCTCTGTCACCTCTGGAGTAAACAAAATCCTGCAGCGACAATAGACAACAGACTCAAAAACAGCTTCTTCCCTCGAGCCATCACCGTCTTAAACTCCCATAAACCAGCTCCAGCCCTCATGGTGAGATGACAAGTGCAATATTACCAATGTTATTTTCTTGAAGACTCCAAAAAACAGGCAACTGGACCATGTAGAGTTGCCTGTTGCCTGTTTTTGGAGTCTTGAAGAAAACCATGATCTGGATGAATGAGAATCTACATGGACATTACCAATGTTACTGCTGCTGTGTTGATTATTATATCCTTAACCTGTGCAATACATGTCCATATACATATTGAAAATGTACATATATACATATATTCTAACACACACACATATATATATTTATTTTTGATAATTGTCTTTAGTATTTATCTTTCTATTTTATTCTTATGCATGCGTTTTATTTTAGAATTCTTGTCTTGTATATTATTACCTTCTTTCTTACAACTATTTGTACTTTTACTACCTTATTTTTACTTGTCTACTGCACTGGAAAAGGAGAAGCTCTCCAATCTCGTTGTACTTTTAGTATGACGACAATAAAGGACATTCTGATTCTGTTTCTGAAATGTTGTTTCTAAGAAAATCTGGGACAGAAGTAGGGATCTTTGTACTAGCAGGCGTGTCCTGGGAGGGCCTAGAGAGAAACGAGGGCTTTGGTTTTGTCACACATTATCAGCAGCTGATAAATACTCTGTATTCATTTTCATGAAATGTGCAAGTCACACTGCAAGCGGAAAATAAAAGGTCTAATCTATATCTGTCAAAGTGACGCCTTTGGTTGTGATATTTGGTTGGTTTCTTTCGAACCATTAACTCACTTATCTAGTCTTCTGAGCCTTTCCAGGAATGATGAGTAACCGTGGATAAAAACTCACCCGCACACGCATTGAGAAACAGCCAGTCTGTTTTCCTCATTCGGTTTCTAATCTGCTTTAGCTTCTTGAAGTCGACCTCCTGCTCCTCTTTGCTGCTCATGGCTCCAGCTGCGAGCTCTATCCTCTGGAAGTCCATTTTCACGTTGTCTTCCCTCTTGGGCGTAGGAGGGGACCTTCTCTGGCCCTGGCCCCCGCTGCAACCGCCCCTCCACCTTGCCCGGTCCTGCTCGTTGATCAGCGGGGTCGGCTCGGCGGACTCGGCGAGCTCTATGGATTCCTGGTTGTTGGGCTTGGGGTGGTCGCACACCACACACTTTGCAGTTTTGGGCCAGTTCTGGTAAGTGCAAGCTGTGCATGTCCAGTGCTGATGATGGGTATTGAGTCTGTTCCTGTCATTGTACTCCTCACAGGTATCCACAGGTGAGTGGGTGGCGGTACGGCAGCCTGCGTTGGATCCTGACGTCTGGGGGGACTCTGTCGGGCTGCTGGTCCTCGGGCGCTGACACAGGCACTGTGTGCAGCGGATCGCCCGGGGCCAGTTCAGGTAGGTGCACATGTGACAGGACCACTTATTGGCGATTTCTGCCACACTGGTGGACCTGACTCTTGGCCTGGCACTGGAGTCAGGGCAGATGAGGAGGCTGCTGCCACTCTCAGTTCTTGGAGGGTCCCAAACCAGACTGGGGTCCAAAGCAGGGGTGTTTTTGTATGGTTCCTCTGTAATGATAGGACCTCTTGACCTCTGAGCACGGCACATAGTGCACTTAACCGCAGATGGCCAGTTTTCATAGGTGCAGTAGTCACAGACCCACTTTATCTTCTGGTCCGTCATTGTGGATCACTTTGGCTGTTCAACCTGAAATGAGAGCTCTGGTTAGACATGAAGCATAAACACAATCTTGTTTTAATAGTTATGCCTTTAAAATATCTCTTACGAGGTGTTAAAACTCCCCTCGTATGACAAACTAACTTAAATCACCCTCAATGAGACCCATTTGCTTGCTAGCTCATGAGCTAAACACCTAGCATACACAGCTAACGTGTTTACACGGTTACGTATATCGACTGTGAGTTACAGTTACAGTTACAGGACGTGACATTAACTAAAATATCTTCAGTAAAGAGAAATATGCCAAACTCTTACCGTACCGTGGCTACGCTCGTTTCACAAGTGCTGCTGAAAACCACAACAAACCCCCTTCTTGTACAGTCCTCCTCCTCCTGCTCCTCTGTCAAACCTTTCTCAATCCCGAAGCTATTTCGACCCCCTTTTTGCTCTCACATGTTTACCTCTGCGGACACGTTAACGTCTTCGGAAAATACAACACACCTTGGCAGAGACTTGTACTCCTCGAATCATGATTTAAATCGGCGACACTTCATGGTTTACATCGCCTTCGCGTTGTTTAATGGCGGCGACACTGAGACAAATGAGTAGCAGAGCCAAAATAAACGCTCGGTCGCCTACGTCACCAATCATCTGGTGCAGCGCTCGATGCGATTGGACAAAAGGGAAGTATTGTGTTGCCTTCAGGAACAATCCGAAATGTAACAACGCCATGTTTAAATGTCTCTTTAGGTTAGGATGACGCGCACATTTAAAAACAAATACAGCGTAACTCTATAAAGAAGACTTTCCTATAGTAGAACCCGGAATTTTTTTAATCTTTAAGGCTATATTATTTCGAAAAATAATCATGTCGAAAGAAAAACAGATTATTTCGAGACCGCAGACCGATTACTCATCACATATTCGAGCATATGAGAAACTCTAAACGCTTCGCTACTTTATGTTGTTTGTGCTGCATTAAATCCAAATTCCACTCAGATTTCCTCCATCAATTTTCGCTATTTTTTGAAGATTAGCTCAAGATTTATTCTATAAACTGATCAACAATGATTGCAACAATTTGTAGCCTACAAGGTTGTAAACAGGGTTCTAATACAAACAAAAATAGCCTTAACACTTTCAAATACCCCCATACTTTTAAATCACTCCTAAAAACACACCTTTTTAAACTGGCTTTTAACCTGTGAACTGTTTTTATTGTCTTTTCATATTGTGTCTTTTTTAAACCTTTTACATTGTTAGTCTTATTACTTAAAATTTTCTGTATTTTTAAATTGTGTTTATTTTTGTAAAGCATCTTTGAGCACCTGTAAAAGCGCGTTACAATTAAAATGTATAATAATAATAATAATAATAATAATAATAATAATAATAATAATAATAACTTATTGCTCTGACAAAATGTATTTGGTCTTTATGAATCGTTTTGTTTTTTAAATAATCTGATGGTTTCGTCATGTACAGTGGCCATGAAGGTCAGATGCAGCAACATTTTATGAACGCAAATTTTAAAAATAGAATTTCAATTAAAATAAAAAAAACAAAATTTAACCAACAACAAAAAAAAAATGGAAAAAAAGAAAAATATCTATGGTGCAAAAATATTTCACAAATGTATTTATGAAAAAAAATATGTCTGCTTTTATGGAGTGTTCTTGAATGTTTAAAGGTATTATTCTGCACTCCATTAAATATATTGATTAGGTTCAAAGTAGATATATGACAACATATATTTACATTTTGTCGAGTGTTTTTTTTTTCATTTCATTAAATATTGCAATGCTAAATGAAAAGTTTTGTTTGTTCGTTTGTTTGTTTTAATCTGATGGTTTCATCCTTTATAATGACCATGAAGGTCAGATGCATCAACATTTCATGAACGCAAATTTAAAAAATAGCATTTCAATTAGAAAACCACGAAATATAAAAAATAAAAAAAACCTGAAAAATATGTCTTCAGTGCAAAAAATTTTCGGAAATTTTTTAAAGAATAAAAAATGTTAGGAATTGAATAAATTAAATGTTCTGAATTAAATATGTTATATAGTGTTAGGTTTAATATAGACATTTAACGACATATATATTTAAATTTTGTAGAGTAGAGTGATCTTTTTTTCCATTTTTTTCCATATTGCAAAGTTATCTGAAATATTTTTGTGTTAATATGATAATTAAAAGTTTACTTGTTTTTATATATTTTTGCGTGTAATAAAATACTTTTGTGGGGTTATAAAAAATGATTAAAATATTTAATATAAATATAATCTCAATGCTACAAAACGAGCATATGAAATGCACTTATGTTTATTTTATTTCTTATCTGTGTCAGCGCTCTGTTGTTCGTGGACACGCCCCCCTCTCAAAACGTCACATTCAAACATGGCAGCTTACTTGAGCCGGTTACACCACATTTCGCTCCACGTTTCAAACGTGGAAAAAATCGCAAATGACCTCGTCTCTAAATTCAAATTTAACCTTTTTGCAACCAGACTCACCGACAGCTCCAGGCAGCTCGCTTTCAGGAAAGGAGCGGCAGTTTTTGTCGTGAATGAGAGACCAAACCATGGAGATGGGAGAGTGAAAATGTCACCTGGTCCACACTTGGTAAATACTGAGAAATACAACCAGGATAACTTGGCTAAATATCTGTACGATGTGAACCCTCATTACTCTGTGGATACAGTGAGTAACGTGTGTTTCGAGGTGGAGGATGTGGAAAGGTCATTCAAAACTCTGCGCCATATGGGCTGCAGTTTCGTGGTCCCTCCCACTACAGTGCAGGACGAGTGTGGAGCTGTCACCTACTCAGTGGTGAAATCTATTGTGGGAAATGTCTGCCACACACTCCTGGACAGGACAAAATATGAGGGGAGCTTCTTGCCTGGGTTTGATGTCATTGAAAAAGACTGCAGCTCGGATGAAGAGGACGCATCTTGTCCTATCACTCATTTTGATCACATCACTTATGCCTGTCCGAGGAAAACATCCCATCAGGTCATGAGGTGGTATGAGAAACTCTTTGGTTTTCAAAGGTTTTTCATTGTTAGGTGAGAAAACAAAACATTTTACTCTTATTATCGTACTCTCTGTTTTTTCTCACCTTTATGCCAGATGTAAACAATCAGTTTAAGACTTATATTTTCTCCAACTATTTGTTTAATAACTGTACATTTTCCTACTCATACTTACTGTTTATATTCCTTAACGCACCCACTGTTTAATAGCATTTTCTCTTTTTCACACCTGCACTAATCAGTATACTGTATATATAGATAATATACATAATTAGATATTTATTTTTTGGTGTATAACCTATACCTGCAGTAACCAACACCGTGTGTATATTTTTAGCATATTCATTGCACACACACATATATATAGTATATTCAGTTCATACCTTGCATTTTACTACCTTGCACTTCTGGTTAGATGCTAAACTGCATTTCGTTGTTCCTGTACTTGTACTGCATTCAATGACAAGTTTTTCCTTTTGAGTAGAAATGAAGATGTGGATGAAGGTTTTGTAGTAAACCAGGATGGTATCGGTCTTCGTCTTACTGCCATGGAGTACTGGAAATGCAGTGAATTAGGCATCTCCCTCCCCTTTGTGGACAAAAAGGAGCCTGACTGCAAGTTTGTTATAGCGGAATCGCTGCCTGAGCAAGGTGCCTTCACAGTTCACACCCCCTTTAATCTCTTCCATTATAATTGACGATATAACAGCTGCTGCATCACTCTCTGTTTGTCTTTATTTCAGGCAGGAATCAGGTTGACACCTTCTTAGAGAAGCACAGAGCCCCGGGGATCCAGCATATTGGGCTTTACACTAAAAACATTGTCTCCACTGCGCATGTGATGGCTGAAGCGGGAGTTCAGTTCTTCTCTCCGCCTCTCACCTACTACACTGAGGTTTGACTGACTACTGTGAAGCTGTGCACTATTGTCACAGTAATTACATGACACTGTGTGGTATTTATTTACCACTTTAAAGCTCCTGTGAGGAGTTTTCAGCTGGTTATTAAACAGGCTAAGATTAACAGTGACACCTCTGTACGACCTATAAAAGCAAACCAGATCATTAGCAAACAAACGATGAAAATCTCCACATGGTGATTTTAACACCTGTATTCTCTACAGGGAGTAGGTGTCAGACAAAGCAATTGACACCTGGGACAAGAATACATCCACAGCATATGTCTATAATGAGTGATACATTGAACTGCCAAAAGAAAGCATGATGAGAATTTTATATAATGTGCACGATAAGATTAGCAAAGATAGAAGACTGAGTAAAATCAACACTAACAGAAAGTTACTCAAAGGAGTTTTAAAGGAGATCTAGTTGCTTGTGTGATTGAATACTAACTACAGCCAGATCAGGACTGGTTTAAAGCCACTATAAGGAACTTTATGTGTTGATTTTGGCGCCCTCTGTGAACCAAAAAGTAGTTCTCATGCTCTCCCTTCTTAACAGTTAAACGCATAACTTAATCTTCTGATCTAAAGTCATTATTTTAAGGTCGCAAACAGGCATCAGTATTCATTTCATTCCTATTCATCACCAGAGAAAAACTCTTCACAGGAGCTTTAAGGGGAAAAATTGTGGACTCACACAAAGAGAAATTAACTGTTTTAATATCTGAATTTGAAGTATATTATTCCAGCACCTCACTTTTTCTAGATTTTCAAATCAGGAATGTTTTTGTACAATCTTTAGACTTGTTTATTAAAGCTCCTGTCAAGATTTTTTTATGTTTATTGAACAGACAGATATTTATACAGGCGTCTTTTAATGGTGTGCAAAAGGAAAACCATTAGCAACCAGATTGGCAAGTCTTTAAAATAAAATAGCAAATAAATGGTTTAGTTTTTGTGATTTTCTCAGTTATTAAACCTTAAACATAACAGCTTCTATCGCTGGTTACTGTGTTAGAATATAGTGTATTAAGTTTCTTTGCCATATTTGCTAACGTGCCATCTTCTTGTATGGTCCTAAACTGTTTCACCTGTGATCTTTGCGCTCTGACAGGTTGGAAAACAACAGGAGATAGAAGAGGCAGGTCATGACCCCCAGATGCTGGCGCAGCATGGCATTCTGCTGGACACAGACCTGCATGAGGATTCCTCACCGCAGACAACATCCAGTGAAAATAGAAGGTGCGTTACCAAGTACTGCAGTGTTCCTGCAGTAGATTTAGCTTTGCCTCTTATAAGGATCAAATGCTGTCTTTATAAGCCACATTAATAACTTTGTCCTCAGGTGTTGATTTCTCAGAATACCTACTTCTTAACTTGGTTATTCCTGTTTCTAGATACCTCCTCCAGGTGTTCACCAAGCCTATCTTCGAGGAGGACACCTTCTTCCTTGAGCTGATAGAGCGAAGAGGAGCGACAGGTTTCGGGGAAGGGAACATCAGGGCGCTGTGGAGGTCTGTTCAGGCACACATGGAGAGCCAAAGGTTGAAATCTTAGTGAGCAGGCTTCAAAAACACTGTACAAACCCTTCAATGTCAGTCACTCCAACTTTTTTTTAAACCAAAGTTATTTAATGTCTTTTTTTTAATATCAATGTGAGGGCACTTTTAGGGGGGGAATGTCTAGGATGTAATTTATTTACTGAAAAGTTCACCATAAGTGCTGCCTGTTCAGTTGTTGATTTGGTGGTACATGTTAAGATACATATTGCACTGCTAAGTAAAATCATAAACCTCATACGAACATCTCGCCTTAACCAGACCTGGTCTGTCAGAAGATACAGAACTGCACTGTAAAGAAAGTTGTAAAAAACAGGAGTTGCATACATACTGAAACGTTTCAATAAAAACTACTCTGTAACAGTAAAAAAGATGTCTTTGTTATTCACTGTGTCTAAGTAAAGCAGCTGACTGAGTCCTGAACAACTGCTCCTAAATGATTCTGTTACGGCTGACTGTGAAGACTGATTACTGTCCTCAAAAGTGCTCTGCTTCTTCAAGTGTTGGGTGGCCAATATTTAGAGAACAAGCTCTTTAAGCTTCTTGGTTCACTTTAGGTTATCGTCCCCAATAAAGGGTGAAAAGTGAAAACATAAAGACATGCTTCCTTGTTTTAGTTGGTCTATTTAAAGCTCCTGTCAGGATTTTTAAACTGGTTATAAACATTTTTTTTTTACTTTATCATGGCAAATATCAAAGGTAGGTGATTTGTGTGACTATGAAATAAAAACAAGACGAGTTTTAGGCAGTAAACGTCACTCACGTACGTACAGTACATGACAAGATTAGCAAAGAAATCAGAGGTGTCCATGTGGGGGCACCAAAATTGACACAACAGATACCACTTAAAGTCCCCAGAGGAGTTTTGTCATGTTAATGTAACAGGCTGAAATTTAGACTGGTGAATCACTATATTTATATCCTTTTTTAATGCCTAAGACTGTTTTAAGGGGGTTGATGTCAGCCAAGTAGTGACAGAAACAGACCTGTTTTTGCAGTTTTCATATTCATAAAACATTAATAAATATCAGGAGGATGAGATTTTGATTAGTGGTAATGATGATTTGTCCACAAAGGGGTGTAAAATTTGTGTAAAAGTTTTTTGGAGCATTTAACATAGCAGACTATGTCAGAATGGAAAAGGTTATTAGTATGTTTAAGTTATATATTAACATGAGGTGAGCGGCTCTTTAGAGTTTTTTAAATATTTAAAGGAGCAGGTCTTCTTCTGTGGGGGGCCACCATGTGTCTCCTGTTGCACAGAAGTGGCAAACCAATATACCCTTATTACTCATTACCCATTGTGGTGTGGAAATCACATCTGTTCACACAAAAACACACACATGACCACGACTTATTTTCCTCAAAGGCCACCATCATTTCAATGTTGGGAGAGACAAACAAGGAAGTCTTTCAGTCTAGACTGTGACCACTAGATATGGCTGAATACATAACAAAATCAAAAGACTGCCTTTCCATATAGAGTACAATATTTCATGATGACATAATGGGTTATTTACAATGCAGAACCTTATACTTTTACTTCGCTTTGAGGATTGGCCCCACAGTGTCAATTTGTAAAAGTTGTCTCGCCTGATCTGGATTTACATTTCATTTTACTTATCCTATACACATCAACATGATGGAAAACAAATCTATCCTGAGCCCCAGGCCCGTGAACCATTACTTGAAGAACAGCTGCACGTCCTTCAGATGCTGCAGAGGATTTAGTGATGTGCATGCTTTGGCAAACAAACTGCTTTTGAGCCTCTTAGAAGGAATCTTCAAAACCCACAGGGATGTGCCAGTTCAATTAAGTTGGCCATAAACATTATAGGCAGGGATTAGTGGGATAAATGGGAAGCAATGAAACTTAGATTCTCTTCCATGAAAGCCATATGGTCTTTTTATACTTTTTTTCATACGCTGACTTCAGTTACATTAACCCCCTTTGTGCTACAACAACAACAAGAAAAAAGAAATCATAATGAAACTACATGTACTTCTGCATTTTGACAAATGGTGTCAGTGTTTTTCTATTACACAAGTGTCACTCTCTTGGCCCAAGTCAACTTTGTAGAAGATAAAGATATATTTGAGATTTGTCCCTGTGCATTCTTACAAAGCTGATAACCTACAAACACAAAAGTTAGAATAATAAGTGTACGATTATCAACAAATATCAGTCACTGTTTTTAGAGTTGAGTTGATTGAATGTATAGAATGAGTAGAGTTTGTTCAAATAATAAGAAACCATGAATCTTAAGACCTGAAATCATGAATTTTTGTTCAGGGTAGGAAGGATAAACAGTTCATTAAAACTGAAAAGAGATGGCCCCTGTAACAGGAGCCTGTAACAGCCATCTGTCTGTAGCCAGTGTGAGCCACAGATGGCATACAGCATTCTGCATGGGGTCTCAGTTCTGGGAGTTGGACCCTCACTTCCTATTTGCTGTTTACCATATGTTTGCTACAGTAACTTTAAGAAACTCAAAGAAATGACTTAACTCAGAGAAATTATTGTGTATTATCAGTAAAATGTATAAAAGGCTGTTCTGTGTCTCAGTTTATATGGTGGATACTGCCCCCTATGGTTTTAAAAGTCACAGCACACACTAACTAACTCACTAAACTGCCACAGAGGACTGTTAAGTTCATGTTTCCTGAAGACTCGTCTAGAACCTCAGAGACTTGTGTATCCTGCTCTGAATTTGTTTGCCAAATCTCTCGCTCTCTAGACTGCTGAATGGGTTTTAGTACAAAAAAAAAAAAGTGTCGCCCCCACACTGTAGCCCACACACTGGAGGAGACAAATCCTCTGTGCCCTCTAACACAAAAGGCAGACAGTCTTAAACCGGGGAGGACAGTCTGGGGGAGATTAGTGGCACACAACAGATGTTACTCCTTGATTAACAATAATGTCTGCCAGGGGTGAGATTCGGCTCCCCACCCTTTTGAGGCCCAGTGTGTTCGCTTCACCCCCTCATAAAATAGATGAACTTACTGCATATGAAACGACAGAGTGGACACGGTTGAATACCGTGTATTGGCTGAACTTTTTTTTTCTCTGGTGCAACTTTTGTGGACACCACAAAAATACAGATGACAAATGACCTACTTTTTGAAAAGCATTTGCTGACAATTTAAGAGGTTTTTATTAACTTTTGAAAGTTGGAGGGACTTTGACTTTAACTTATGTTAGAAGGAGAGAGGTTGTTGAATGATTAATAGGAAAAAAGAACAATAAACTGTCCTTTTAATGTTGCTTTCTGTGACGCATTTCTGCTGCTTTGCCTCTGAGGGCTTTCAAAACATGTTAAAATGATTAAAAGAAGGAATATAACAAGATGAGATTTTGTTAAAATGATAAAGTGGCGGCTATTACATCTTCGGCATGTGGTGCAAACTATCATGCAGCCACAGGTGGACAGAGGAGAGGCATGTTGCACTAACATGAGGAGAAGGCAGGTTTGTGTTATTATATAGTACGCTTATATTACTATATCTGACTTATTGCATAGAAGTCTGGGGAAGTACATACAAATAGAATTTACAACCTTTATACATTATGCAAAAGAGAGCAATAAGGATTGTTAACGAAGTAGGATTCTTCCATCATACTAATGAACTGTTTCTGAAATTAAGAGTATTAAAATTTGCAGATCTAGTTGAATTTAGAACTGCAAGGACAATGTACGAAGCAGGCAACAATCTACTCCCTAGTAATATACAGAAAATGTTTGGAGGAGGAGAGGGCAGGTATGTAAATTTAAAACAACCAAGCATTCGTACAACACTAAAAAGCATGTGTCTTTCTGTTATGGGGGTGAAGCTATGGAACAGCTTGCCCGATGAAATTAAACAAAGCATAACAATAGCACAGTTTCAAAAGAAATATGAGTGATTTTCTATATACGTGTATATAGGTATGGGTGTATATATGTATGTATATGGTCTTTGTTTCGGTATTAATGATTTGTTACATATTCATGTTAGACTTTGGAGCTGTGGTTACTTTTGGTGACTTAAGAAATCCCAAAATTCTAGAGACATGTAAAAGGTCAACGAATAGGAAGCAATGAGGGTAGGTACAAATAACTCCTTTCCGATCTCCAAAAATAGGTGAATTTTTTGTCTAAAATTGCACTGTAATTATATTTGAGCAAATAAACATCATCATCAACACCGACTTAAGTTAAAAAAATTTGTAAATATCCCCTTAAGTGGTGTCATGTGGAGATATTACAGTGTAGTTACGCAACATATATAAACCACTAAACCGGAACAGTTGAATAAAAGCATGTTGCATCTGATTTACATCATGAGGTATCCACATTTAACTTCCTTGAAGGAGAACATCTGTTTGCAATAAAGTTTTTAAGGGCAAATTTTTATTGTGCTGGAAACCCAGAGAGAGTGGGGAACAATCAATGTAAATATAACATTGATCCCACTCTCTTCCTCTATTTGGCTCCTAAAGCCTTACACAGATGGTAAGTTATCAGGTTACAGCACTGTATATTGTGAAAGTGCCTTGTCTATATGCTCAGCTCAAAACTGTGATTACTTTTCATTACTGCAGGGTGGATCGTACCACTAGTTTCACAATTAAAGGGGGGGAGATTTTAAAAGTCTCTTACAGATTCGGTAACTTATCTGCTTGTTAAAAATGTAATATATCGTTCATCGTGGCGTAAAGATCTGTTAAAGCATGTAAGATAAGTTATTTAGGTTAGAGTGAGTGACAGAGGGGTGAAAGTAAAGTTAACGGAGCCCCCTCTCCCCTTGTCAAAAGTGGTATCGCCCGTGTATGTTGTCACAGGCTCATTAGCGTGCAGTCTTGGACAGTAGAGCAGTAGGGTAATGTTGTAGTTTGCAGCAGCAGCCTGGAGCAGGACGTGAGGTGACCTGCTCGCTCCACTTCCTGCCTTGTTTCTGAGTCTCTGCTGAAAGAAAAACACAACATGGTCCAGCGAAACTAAGGCAGCAGCCCGGTGGTGGTGTTGTTGGAGCTCAGAAGCGCTCACGGTAATGCTAAAGTTGTAGTTTTTTTCTCTCTCTGTGTGATGACAACTTTTAAAGCGAAGTTAGGAAGTGTAAAGTACTTTGTAAAGTGGGAAGTGTGATGCTCCCTAGTGTGAGACTCGCATTAATGCTGAATTTAACGCTGACAAACTTGTATAAAAGTGACTTTTTATAAAGTACTCTCTTCCATGAAGTTAGCTTAGCAACTTTTCCTCATGGTTACAGCTTTAGCTTTGTCCCTACTATCTTGTCTTGGGGTGTAACTTGCACAAAATCTGCTTTATTACTCCTTTATCACGTCTTTTATGCTGTTTAGATAACTTAAAGATACATCCAAGGCGTTAGATATCTCAAAAGAAGGGTAATAAACTAAGTGTCATTATATTAATATGACTTTATAACATGTCAAAACGTGCAAAACTTAAGAAATACATTGCTTTCATGTTAGTATCATCCATTTGTCTTGTCTACATGCAGGTGCAGAAAGTGTGCCTTGTTTGTTGTTGGCCCAGACTCAGCCAGATTAGTTGGCAAAGTGATCAAAATTTCCACCAAGTTTTCAAAGAGCGACTACTCTCCTCGGATCAAAAGCATTTAATGTGAATTGGCCGGCTTTGAAGCATAAACACTCTGATCTCAAAGTGGTTTTTTTCACCCATGCATGACATGCATAGCAAGATAGGTGCTCAGGCGCTCTTAGTTTTAATAGCCAGCCTTTAAAGTTGATGCCGCACTATTTGGTGGCAGGGATATTTCGTCCTCTTTCTTGTGTGTTACAGTTTGTGCCGTTTGGAGGAATGTTGTCTTATCTCTATCTAGCTAACCTTCCCCTCAGGTATGAAGACACGGCTAGCTGACATACAATCCAGCACATTCTGCAATTTGTGCTCTGTGGGATCATAAACACAGGAGCTTGTTAAACCTGAACTCCTGGCAGTGTCCCCTGGCCATGAGTCTATCTGCTTAGGCTTCACAAGTGGTTTGAACACGCATAAATTACAAGAATCAAGGGTAGAGAGGGGCGATTTGATGTGAAAGTATCATTCTGCTCTTTGTGCACATACAGTATTTTCCATTTTTCACATCAGCTCCTTCTGGCCTTTCTGTCGAGTTCAAAATCCTGTTTGCTCTGTAGCCTGCGTGTAACATTCTGTGAGCTCCCGTCACACCACTTTCTTTGCCAAACTCATTTCCCTTTCATGAGGGATTTTGGAAAAGGGGGTTTAAGGGACTGTTTGTGCTGGTTACTTGGGCAAGCTCAGTTTTCAGGGCCCTTTTTTTCCCCCCCTTCTGAAACTGAGAGGCATCCACCTGGAGGGCTGGCAGGCGCATCTGAAAAAAAACAAACAAACTGTTGAACAGCTTTAGCACAAGTACAAAAGACGCTTCCTATCAGAGTTTGCAGATGATTCCTCTTTCCTTGTTCATATCAGTGAGAATATTTTGACACTGCAAGGCGCTCTCAGTTCCTGTGCATTGTAAAGCCAGTGTAATGACATTGTTTATGTACTTATCTGGGAGGAAAAGTGGTTCCCTTGCCTTGTCATGTTGTTTCATGCGTGCATATATGGTCAGTGTGGGGGATGGATAAATTCCTGCATATAAAACTCAAGAGTGCTCTTTACCCTCCACTCTTAATTTGGATTGGTAGTTTATAGGGTTGTATTCGCTGGATGTGACTTTTCTCACACAGCGCTCTTAAAAAAACAATGTTCCTCTGCTGCGAGAGTAGGAATATGTCTCTTTGTAATTAAAGGACTTGGCATTCAAGTGGACAACATGTCTCTCCCTCTCAGACAGGTGTGTTGAAAGCCTTGATTACAGCGCTCAACAAAGCTCTTGTTCTGGACAAATATATACAGTGCGAGTGATTATGTATGAGATAATTAAACAGCAGGCCTGCTTGAAAACGTAGGCCTCCTTGGCTGCCATGCATAGCCATGCTGAGCCTTTGTGTTTATGGTAAGTGGGCAGCTGCATGCTTGTGAGACCTTGGCTGTACCCCAGGCCCTCTACTGAGCCTGATAACCAACTATTGAAGCCTCCCAGCCATGCTCATTTCTGACTATTCACTGCCTGCTTTAAATGTAGAGTGTGCCTCCTGTTTGACATCCCCCTAATTTCTGTGAACATGCAGACAGCTGTGGACTAGCCGGCACTCTACAATGAGTTTCATAAATTTCTTTTCAGTGAGGCAGCCGTGGCGAAGCGCGGTGGCACCTGCCCTTTATGGCAACTTATTAATAACGACACCATAAAAGAAAGTTTTTCGTGTGTGTGTGTTAACTAGGGTTGTGCACATTCTGTCAGCTAAATGCTTCAACAACAACACCTTTGCTAGTCAGAAGTACTTGTCAATTTAAGAAATTATTATTTCTAGTGCAGGCTGGTTATGTTTTGACTAATCTATAAGACAGCTATCACCACTAGTCAGGGCCAGTTGATGCCAACAGGAATAATGTATAGTGAGTGGGTTATTATACAAAATAGAGCTCTGAAAAGGTGCGACAAGACCCCATTACAAAGCAGACTAAAGATTGGAACAAATATTGTTTTCTTGATCATTTTACTGATATAAAAATGATATATTTGTTTGGTTGAAAACAGTCCCTCAGAGTGTCGGAAACGTTCCCGTAGCAACAGCCTTCATGCAGGTTGAATTTGACATTTTCAGAGCTCTACTACCCAGATGTAAACAAGCACAGATCACAGATGGCATCCTGGGGCAGCACAGGTCGGCAGTATTTTGTAAATTCAGATACAGTTACATCAAGGCTGTGTTTACTTGCACAGAGCACTATGCTAGCTGCTCTAGCATGTGGACATTAACATAAGGGGGCGCTATGGACTGTAGGTGCTAGTTCTGCCACATTTATGAAACCAATTAATTTGCAGACTCTGACTTACACCAACTACCAAGGTTGTTGTTCCCTTTAAAAGACTGAGTAAATTATTGAATAAAGTTTAAGAGAATCTTTTCAAATTGTTTGGATATCTGTTGTTGTATTTTAAAGTTTACACATAAAGTTATTAATTAAATTAATAAATGGCAGAGATTAAAATGGCAGAGCCTTCAAACCAAAGCAGCTACTTCCATTGCACTCAGTCTTGACTGTTTTCTTGCTGTTAGACTTGCCGAAGAGTTAGATTTAATTTTTCTGTTTGTATAACTTTGAGATTAATCGCTAAAACAACACTGACTTATCACAGTAAAAACATCATTTGGTTATGCAAACAAAAGCAGAACTACGTGAGCTTTGCATGTCTTGTCTGATTCTAAAAAATGCTTTTTCAACACCCACCCACCATGATGACATGGGAACCTGCAGATCCCGAAGATAGTTTCTGTGTAATCCATGACACTTAAAGAATTTTCTCGATAGCTTGGGGAAACAAGCTTTTCTGAAACATGCATATTTTCTCAGAGGGAATCTCTCTGCAGAGGGGGACAACTGAACTTTTTTACCCAGCATTCCTTTCACGAGCGGCAAGGTGAAGAAGAGTAGCACAAATCCCACAAGTCTGGCTGTCTCAGGTGCTCAGCAGATGCTCGGATTACTGAGACGGCCACAATCCTGGGATTGTTGAGAAAAGGACACAGATCAGACCGCCATGCTGAGGGATGCCCTAAAAAGTAAACTGACAGAAATACTTTTACGTGTAGTTTTATGCCTAATTAACCAAAAAGGAAGCATGTGCGTTAAGAGACACAAACAAACAGATGAAGTTGCATTCTGTACAAGTTGTGAGAATTGTGTCAAACAGTGTTGTTTTCCACCAGCTGCCCAAGTGCCATAAAATGGATTAGTATTAGCTCTAATTGTCAGTCAGACACAAAGCTGCCAAATCCTTATGTAATGTTGGCCTAACCAGCGGGATTACAGTGTGAGCAACGTATGGAAAAGCTGCTCTAATTGGGAAACACAGCTTTGATGGGTGAGCAGCACAATTTAGATGCTTACTGTAATGGCCAAGCAGACACTTTTAGTCTTTCTAGACTAAACTACAAATTGCAGATTTAAAAAAGTGTCATTTCAGTGAAGTACTCCCTTGTCTGATCTTATGTAAATAAATAGGACATGTTCTGTGCTTGTTTTGGATGTTAAGTTGCTTCTAAAGCAGGTCTCAGCTTACTCTTGACCCAATCTACTCTGCGGTTTCCTCTCTCATCCTATCTAGCGCTCTATAAGGACGTGTGATAGCTCGCTATTTCTGACACCCTGAAGCGGCGGCGCTTGAAAGGCTCTCAGTGACCACAAAGGATGTGTGGTGTCCCATCAGCTCGTCCATGGCAGCGTCTGTAGGCCGCCGTCACTTCATGCTTTTGCTGCAGACTTCCAGTCAGCAGCCGGCTTTGTATGTATGCGATGGTTAGCCTCATCTGAGGGAAACGCTGTGCAACGTTCTTCCCCTTCTCAGAGATTAGACTTCTCAGTTGTCACAGTGGCTGCTGCCCCGGCCCAGATAAAGAGCTATCGGGCTGCAGAGGCATAAAAGCTCCCACTGATCTCAGATAACGCTGGCATAATTACGGAGGCGATTCGGGTTTTGACGTCAAAATGAGGGGGTTCGCTCCAATTCTAGATGCAACTTTTGACAGTTTAAAGCTTCACCTGGAGAAGTAAAAGTGGAGCTTAGTTCTGCTCTGCAGCTTTGTCTCTTCAACATGTTTCCTATTCACAAACTGTCAAGGGTGCTTTCAAAGGCTGTGGGGCTAGGCCAAGCTTTTAAAACTGTGTGTTCAACTTATGTCATAGAGCTGAGGAATGTTTATAATTATGTTATAAACCTCGCCCATTTAAGGCACTCAGACCAGATTTATGGGATATAAACGTAATGCCTGAGCACCAGAAAGATGAGAGATTGTCCGATCTGGTACTTGAGGTTATAGATGTTGTCTGGAGTCCAGAGTGTCAGGCCCAAGTTGACTCTTTCCATCATTCCAGGGAAAGGAAACATCATTTACTGTCTCGTTGTTTAGCTTTGCTTGACTTTGCCAACTTTTTCTCGGGGCGAGGTTTTTTTTTCTCTCTGTGTCAATGCCATCTGCGTCCATCACCAGGCCATTAAAGGTAATATATAAACAACTGCTTCCTCCCCACCAGAGAGTCCCTTGATACCTCTGCTGTAAAACCCAGATTGATGTGGTTAATGGTCACACGCAGCGTAAGCCCATTTGCAGGCTTTGATCAGTCCTTTACTTTGCTTTTGAGGCCTCGACTTGAAGCTGCCAGACGACCTCAAACCTCTCACTCAAACATCCTCGTGTTTAAGTTGTTTTCCTGACGTGATAAGTGTTAGTAATGGAGATCATATGCTCAATGCAAACACCTCCTCCTCTTGTATATCAGCTCCCTCAGGGTCTTGTGATGCTGCCCACCCCACTATGCACACACACACACACACACACTCCACCCCACCACCCACAACCTCTGATGTCGCCTCTTTTGTTTCCCACGGTGTCTCATCTTCTGCACAGAGCCCTCTTTTGTGTCACGTACACTGTATCTTCTTGTCCCCCCCTTTTTTTTTTCTGTGCTCGCAGTTGTCCTGTCATTCAAACAGACAGACCCCCGCTGACCTCGCAGGCATCCTTACACTGTGTTGTGTTCCCCGTGCTGTGTTTCGATTTCCTGCCCCGACTAAGTAAGAACTCTCTGTGACGATTACCTAGATTTACATCTGCGGCTAATCAGCTGTTTCACTGTAACCGTGGTGCAGCACTAATGCGAAGAGGGTTGTTTTGATAACCGCAAGGTCAGCTATTCCCAGCCAACCCCTGAGTATTCAATTACACAACTTTGACTTTGCTCTATTCCTCTCTGTGTGCTCCAGTGTGGAACACTTTGAGGAAACTCACTCACTCAGATGACTGATAATCCTCCACATGGACAGACGAGAACAAAACATGGTATAGAGTTCATGTTGTGGTGACAAGGTCGCATGGAAGTGTTCCTACAGACAAACATATGGGACAAAAGCAGCGCCTTGTAAATCAAAGGAGAGCGGTGACGTTTGTGAGAACAAAAGCAGCTTTTCAAACAACAGTCATCTCTTGATTTTTCACTTTTGTGTGAGCTGAACTGATTCAGAACAAGAGCACCAGTATGAACACAAAACTGGAAGTTGTAGATAGAAAAGAGCTTAGGTTTACATCCTTTAAATTCTAGTGAGATAAGTAAGTAGGGTTGTCCCGATCCCATATTAATGTCAGATATTTGTCCGATATCAGCACTCTGATACAAGCAGTCAATTCCAGAAAAGAGTTTAAGTTTACGTACTTCAAATGCCAGTGAGATCAGCAAGTAGGGATGTCCAAATCCAATATTAATATCAGATATCGGTCTGATATTTATACCGGACCGATATCAGCAAAAAAAAAAAAAAATATCGGATCATATCCTCCTGCCTCTAAAATCTCCGATATCAGCACTCCGATACAAGAAGTCCATTCCAGAAAAGAGTTTAAGTTTACATACTTTCAATGCAAGTGAGATTAATTAGTAGGGATGTCCAAATCCGATATTGATATCAGATATCGGTCTGAAATCTCCAATATCCGCACTCCGATACAAGCAGTCCATTCCTGCAAAGAGTTAAGGTTTGCATTCTGAGATTAGTTAGTAGGGATGTCCTGATCTGATATTGATATTAGATATCGGTCTGATATTGATATCGGTTCGATACCAGCAAAAAAATAACAAAAACAAACAGCGGATCATATCGGCCTGCATTTAAAATCTCCGACATCAGCACTCTGATACAAGCAGCCCATTCCAGACTACAGTCCAGCACCTCTATCTAGCAGTGCCTGGATCAAGCATGTAGAGCCCACTAATCACGACAACAGTGTGTACTAAGGTACTAACAAAGTAGCAAGGAGTAGTAGTGATGTCAGCAGTGTGGCAATATTTTTCATTAAAGTCCGAAAAACACGTTGCAGCTGAGTGCAAAACTTGTCATGCACAAGTTTGTGCCAATATTGGATCAATATCGGTATAGGCTGATACTGAAGGCTACAATATTGGTATCATACTGGAAGTAAAAAAGTTGTATCGTGACACTCCTATTAGTTAGAGACATTTCATTTTGAAGCTGAAATGTTGCCTCATTCTTACCTAATATAGGATTTCAGCTGCTCAACCGGTCTGTTGTGATTTTTGTGTCATGATAACCCAAATGACAAATCTAGACTGCAGGACGACTATTTTGGCACTCTGGACACAATGAAGTCTGACACTGAATTGCTGTTTCATACAAGGTCCATCCTATAAAAGGCCTCGTCTGGATGGGAGCTTAATGGTACACGTCACTCCCAAGCCTGCATATAAATCAGCAGGAATGATGCCGTCCCAGATGTGTAAAGTCGCCATGCCATAAGCGCTCGTTCATTCCCATATCATACGGGATGCTGGCTTTTAATATGCGAGCCAATAAAAAAACAGATGGTCCCTCTCTTATTTGATGCAGCATCCATGATTTTGATGAGTTTTTCCCACTGGCACATGTTTATCTATGGTTGAATCTTTGTATGATACACCTATAATCTGCATTTGTAAATGCGGTTTACAGACAGTGGTTACTGAGTGTGTTTTTGAGTACAGAATCTGAGTCTGTTTTAATGTAACGCCGCCTGAAAGCCCAAGGATCAAGGCTGTTCAGTCTCAGTTATCAGCTGTTTTCACTTTTGTACAGACATTTTTTGGCCTCTCTTAACCTTTTAGTGATATTTGTACTGTAGTTTATAAAATCCAAACATCCTTTGACAGGAGGGGCAGCATTATTTTGAAATGGCTCCTCACCCAGCCTCTCACAAAGTGGTGAAACCCTTTTTCCATCTGTACTTCTAAGAAACACCCAGTCATTAACTAACTTGTTGTGAATAAATGTATAAAGTTAGGAGATGTTCATACAGTTGTTTTTAAGAATAACACAACTTTTTCGGCGTCCGAGAGGTTTTAAAACATGTTGCTTTAATCAAGTTTAAAATGAGAATATTTACATTTTTTCAGTGAAAACAAATTTTGCTTCTGATTGATTCACAAACCACATCGAACACTACTCCACAGACAAGATTCCTGCAGTTCTTCAGCTCTCATTTGAGGTTGAATTTCATCAATTTTTCAATTTACAGAAACTTTTTCATGCAAGCAGAATCCATTCAGCTCTTGCCCTCCTCTAACCCTAAAGAGAGTACTCTAAGGCATCTACTGCGCTCAATCCAGCTGGATTGCTCTTCGCTTATATGGTCGACAGAATGTCAGAAATGTACTGAATTATAATCCCTCGCTCATCTCTGTGTGTCCGCTCAGGATCAGGCCGAAGAGTGAAGCACATTCCTGCAGGAGTCGAGGCCTGCTGTCTTAAACTCGACCAGAACCCCGGCCCGTTCGCACCGTCCCCCCGCCAAGATGGCCACCAGCTTTTCCTGCCCTCACTGGAACCACTTGGGACAAGGATGTGTGTTGCCATGGTGATCATATTCAAGAAAACACTGGAAAAGAAGGGTGCCGACGATGTAACCTCCAAAAGTACAGATTTGGGCCAGGTGAGCGGTGATTTTTCTACTTGTGCAAGCGTTTTCTGTTTGAAATGTGTCATTTATTTTTGCGCGTCGCCGTGCCAACAGGCGTCACCGGTCCAGAAACCGGTGCCAGTCTCCTTTTTTTTTACATTCAACTTTAATAAGACTTCAAACTTTAAACTACCCCTGGGTTTGATTCATCGGAAAACTCACACATGTTGGCTCCATGACTGTCGGGAAGAAGTACGTGGATGTTAGAGGGGATGTTTATTCTTCACTTACTAACAATTGCATCATAATAGCTGCCAACTGTTATCTGCGGCGCGTTTGTCATCTAGTTTTTTTTTTCATTCCTAGTGTCCCTATTATTTCACTCCAAATGACAATGGGGTGTTTCAGTTTCACTGTGAGAAACTCTGAGTCATTTTCTAATCAGCAAACATGCAGGAGGAGGCCCTCTTTTTCACCGCACAGTTAGAAACCCCCCTTATTAATGTGGACTGTGTTTGCACTCTCAGCCTCGTGGAATGAAGTCACCATTTTCTGAGTGTCAGTCAGAGGCATTTACAGCACAACTCTCTCCGTTTACTGCTTTTCACTCAGTCTTCATTAGCCAAATGTGTTACAGCACACGCCCTCGGGATGAATTACACACGCTGAACATTTGACTTTCCAGTGTTATTAATTTTTGGATTTATTCAGTCATTTTTTGCTAAAGCCTCTTGTAAACTTTTGAAGAAGTTATTTCGAGGACTCGCTTGTTTCTTGGCTCGCTGACCTGATCTGGATCCCTCTTTGCATTTCTGCAGTTCCAGTTCCAGGCACAGACCATGACCCAGGGGACGGCACTCTTCTCTTGTGGACTCATGGGTAAGAGTCTGCCATTTTCATGTCATTTAAAGAGTAATAATAAAAACATAAGTAGTCATTTAGTAGCAGTTAAACTTGTCTGGTATGGACACCAAAACAAATTCCCATGAGCTCTACTTTGTATCTGCAGAAAGGACATTTAAACTGGCAGCGTATAATCCTCTTGTATTTTAGAGGTCATCATCTATGAGTGGAAAAACAGTTCATGTAGGGAGCAAAAGGGCCATGAGGCAAACCTGACAGATGAAGGATTAAGTTTATACTCGTCCCAATCTTCTCTTTTACATATTAGACATGTTGCGCTTGCTTTTGCTCATAAAATCTGTAAAAAATCAAATGCAAGATTCGTAGCCTCCCCTCAGGCCGTCTGTAAAGTCAACAGCAAATGTTGCCAAGCAAGATAACACGTAAACACATGTGCTGACCTTCCTAAAAACCCCACAAATTTAATACCTGATACCACGAAATGAATATGAGAATTACACAGTGAATACATCTGAGTCTTCCTCTCCATTTTCCAAGCGGTCAATGCTTGGATCCTGTCCAAGTCCACTACCGGTTAAGTCTGAATCATAAGTGCTCAAGTCCAAGTTAAGTCCACCAGTCCCGGAAATGAGACCTGAGAGCTACAACTGATCTAAAGCCCAGAAAAATTGGACTTCCAGAGACTTTAAACTGAGTCAGATGATGCAAATTCAGACCAGATCAATCTTTGGACACATTAACAATCACTTATCGGTTACTTCTTCAAATAATAAAGTTGTTGTTGTCGTTTGTTTCTCCTCATCATTTCTATTCCACAACAACATAATGGTTACACCTAATGATATTGTTTTCGTGAACCGTGTAGCGGCATGCAAATTCTTGAACATGCTGAGTATCAACATGTGACGCAAGCTCATAAAAATAATCTCTGCAGACATATAATTATAACTACCAGATGGGAAATTACTACGACAAGGAAATAAACAGAAAATTATTCTCGACTCACAGTGTCCAGGTTTCTGCATACTTGTTCTTATTGAAAAAAATATACATGAGTGTCAGTCAAGAGGGCAAACAAATAAATTGATCAAATGTGAACGTCAAAGTTTCAAGATGGAGGAAATATTGATTTAAATAATGCAACACAGCAACATGTATGGGTCTCTTTTTTTTTGTATTTGATCCACTCCAACTCGAAAAACGACAACAACTACAACAAAAAATTACGCTTATGGTTCTGTCTTCTGCAGCATGTAGAGGCAAGAAAACGCCACGTGCTCGGTGACAGCAGTCATTTGGAGTCGCTTGTCTTTTTGTAACATTTCTGAGAAATTATGGGCTCGGAGCCAGCTCCTGCCGCATCTGCTCCGCGGTCACACAGCATTATGTGGAACATGTCTGACAGGTGTTTCTGCCAAGATGAATGCGCGCTAATGGCTGCGCTTATCATTGGCAGGGATCTCATGGCACTCCTGTGCGCTCTAAAGCTGCAGACATGTTGTCCTGGAGTTAGAAATATGGCTCTGCCCACAAAGGCCTTTAACCTTAGCTTACCCTGCGTTATGAGTGAGTGTGTTTACAGTCTTTGTGCTGTAAGATTAAACGGCATTCTGTCCTCGGGTAACTTGGCGTTGAGTTTGTAAGACTGGCAGAGCACATCAGTCCCAGTAGGTGTTGTTAACACTGCTCTTTGTTCCTCACCCTGCCCGTCTACTGCAGATGGTATTTTGGGGATTTTATCTCTGGCGCAGAAGAATAGACTTTTTGCATACCAGGAGTGGGCAGTGGCTTCGACGTTTGGTGTCTGACTCAGAGTTGACTGGCCAGTTCAGTTGGCTGACCCATTCAGTGATTCAAGGGAGTTTCTGTTGCGGCAATAACAGGTGTTTTCCTGGTTGCTATAGCGCTGGCGTGAAGTCGACTAGTGGTTACAGTTGAGCTGATTCACATTCAAGTTGATCCCGACACACAAAACGCTTAATGAACTGCTGTAGTCTGTGTTTATGATGGGTTATTGACATGTTATCAAGCTCAGCTCCAGCCGAGTGGAGGTTTGATAGAGAGTCAGTTAGACATTGAGCTCTGTTCCCTTTCCCAACAAGCTGTGCTCACAGACTGTGACACTAAAGCAGTGCCTGGAGGACAGGGTTTATTTTTAGTGCCAATTACGCAAAGCAGCGAGTAGTGTCAATACAAAGTACACACGCTGGCATCAACATGCTGACCTAGACTGGAACACTGTCAAAGGAGTTATCTGTGTTAAGGTTGCTGAACTTAGCCTCTCATGACCATGGACCCTCGCCACCAAAAACATTTCTTCTCCCTAGATTTGGGCCGATTGCCTCTTAGAGATTCATGTGTAAGGTTCTTAAGTTGTGTTTTCTTTTAGAGGAGTTTACACACAACTTGAGGTAGTTGGCTTTAGGATACACAAGTACACAAATGCTCTCTACGGTGGCCGAAAACCGCCACTACTGCAAATAAAAAATAAAAAAAAAGGGAAAAAAAAAGAAGCCACAACGGGAGTAAACAACGAAAAAAAAATAAAAGGTGCAGATAAAAAAAAAAAACACATCGGAAGTCAACGACGCAAAAAAAAAGTGGCGATGGACAAAAAAAAGTTACTTACTGGGAAAATAAAAGGATGCAAAAAAAAAAGCCACAACAGAAGTGAGCTGCTGGGGACCAATAATGACGATGCACCAGTGTTTTACGATCTAGGCACAGAAGACGACGGCGAGAAGACGAGCAAAGAAATAAGTGGAAAGGTTATTGTTTAATTTCGCTTCTCAAACTTTAATGTGTCATTTGGTTAGGCCATGTAGCACCTAAGTCGATATGAAGTTGACTTGGAGGTTGCCGGTGTAGTGTTAGCTTCAGTTCAACTTCATATCGACTTAGGTGCAATGTTGCCTAACCAAATGACACATCGAAAAGTTTACGAAGCGAATTAAACAAAAAACCTTTCCACTTATTCCTTTGCTTGTCTTCTCGCCACCGTCTTCAGTGCCTAGATCGTCAAACACCTGTGTCATCATCATTATTGGTCCCCAACGGCTTACTTACGTTCTGGCTTTTTTGATTTGCATCATTTTATTTTCGCTGCAAGTAACTTTTTTTTTTTTGCATTGCCACTTTTTTTTTGCGCTGTTCACTTCCGTTGTGACTTCTTTTTTTTTGCATTCTTTTTATTTGCAGCAGTGGCGGTTCTCGGCCGCCGTAGATCTCATATGTATTTAACCATTTTTTAAATTTTTTGCGAGAAAATTCTTTTTTTCTCTGTATTGAAGTAAACCCGGTCTTTTCTCTCATGTTCTTGCAGAGACAAGCCGCTGGCACGAGGTGGGTCACAGCTGCTCCGTACCGCAGAGGCCGGTTGGCACCAGCCTGGAGAGCCTGTGGGACGTCCTGCCAGAGGTGCACAAGACCTCAGCCCACTGGGACTGGGATGTTGGCTCTACCTCGAGCACTATCACCAGCTTGTTGCAGGACCTCAACCTGACAGAGGCCGCGTCCTCACACTCCACTGCTCCCCCAAGCAAGCGGCAGTGCCGGTCCCTGTCCTGCTCTGACGAGCTGGGAGGTTGCCGCTCCGCCTGGCGTCCTCAGAGCTCGCGTGTGTGGACGACGGTGGAGAAGAGGAGGTGCCACAGCGGAGGGAGCGTACAGCGCGGAGGTGTCACAAACTCTGCGCTGGGCTTCCCCGCGATGCAGCGCAGCTCCAGCTTCAGCCTGCCCACCCGCTCCAACACCCTGGAGCTGCCCTGCTTTACCCAGCCGACCTCTCACTGCCCTTCAGCCTTCTCCAGCCTGACGCCCTCCTCCGAGCCCCCGGCACAGCCCCTCTACCTCTCTGAAGAACAGATCTGTGAGCCTCGTGGACCCTCGCCGCCCAGCTCCCCGGACTCCACCCCAGAGCTGGAGCGCCGTGGTGGACAGGGGGGCCTCGCTAGAAGTCGCTCGCAGCCGTGCGTGCTAAACGACAAGAAGATCGGGGTGAAGCGCAGAAGACCAGCTGACTCGCAGAAACAGAGGCCCTCTTTGGACCTGGCCAAGATGACACAGGTTGGTATTGAACAGATCACACTTGATCACGTTAAATCAGGATAAAATCAGCTCATTTGTTCCTAATCTAAACGTGTTTATCCAGCTAGTATAAACTGTGTACTAAACTATCTGAATATTGCACTTGGGCACCATATTTAGAGTGAGTGAGAGGCAATAATATGGCTGTTATTTATGAGTTAAGCCAACAGCAGTCCTCTTATGTGATCCAAAAGATCACAGTCTGCAGCATGAGACCAGACCCCTCAGGAAACAGTCGTGCCAGCTGGAAGCTCTGCTCGCTCCATCACTCTCACGAACATTAGCTGGTTATATTCTGCTGTTGTGGCAATCTGCCTCTTCCATGTTGGATAAACAAGCACTTCCAAAGAAGGTCACGCCATTGTGTCTGTTCTCTCTCCGCACACCTCCAAGTGTTTCTGCAGGCGCTGTCATTAAACGCCGGCCATCCGTGCATGCATGCATGCGGGCCTGTTCTGGGTCACACTCACCTATCAGGGCGTGTGTGTTTATTTTTGCTCTTAAAATAGACAGCAGCGAGCTGAAAAATTGGCCTTTTTATGTGGAAAAAGGACGATTTGATCAAAGCATGAATTTAGGAGTCAGTCGGCAGATCAGATGAGCTTGATTTCTTTTTTTTTTTTTAGAAAGCAATGATCTTATCACACTCCCCCGGCCTGAGCTGATCAGACAATCTGTTGCATACACACACACACACACACCCGCTCCTCCAACAGCCACACACACGGCTGGTTAAGTCTCACAAGAACACCGACTGGACGATAAACACCAAGCCATCCCCCCCCTCTCCTCAGGGGAAGTCACGCCGAGTTCAGTGATGTCTTAACAACGGCGCTGCAGTGTCACGACGAGCGGACGCCACACACACTTCAAACAGAGATGAGGTCAGCGTGGAGAGAAAAGAGCCCGAGGCGAGGCCACTGACAATATTTTCACAGAGGAACATCAGGGTGCTGAGATTGTTAGTACTGGACGGGGTCTCTGAAATAACTGTTAAATCTAATCAGCTCTTCCTCTTTTTGAGTCTTTTCTTTCACTTCTTTTTCTTCTAGTGCTCACTTTAAAACAATCAGCAAAGCTACTCTGGAAAGTTTTTAAAGACCCTAAATCATGTTCCTCTTGTTTTCTACATGTTCATATGGCATTTGAACATGTAGAAAGGCCAAAATTGCATTTCTGAGTATTTCTGCTTTCAAATCGCAGTGAACCTTTGGCAGTCCCAAGCAGCAGGTTCAGATCATAGACTGTATATTCTATGGACAACTTGGTTCCGCCTTCCACCAGTATATGACTTTAAAGTCAAAAAGCTCTCGGTAATTCCGCGTTATTTCTCCACTTCCTAAAACCAACATTGCACAGTAGCGTTGTACACATTCAGCGGGAGAGTCGCTGAGATGATGCTTGACTCAAACAGCGTATCCCCTGGGTGAGCTATAAATGCCCATAGGCTGTATTAAGTGTCAATCATAGAAAACATGAACCCCCTAATAACTTAAAAAAAAAATAAAAGAGGACTTGAGCACAAACTAGTCTTGCAATAATTACATGTCAACATTGCAAGCAGGGGGAAAAAAATGTATATTCTGTGTAATAAATTTCTAAAGTTTATTCACATCTCCATAAGCTTTCTTGTCGGAGGTGGGATTTTTTAACTATACTGCAGCCTGTCACCAGAGGGTGCTGTTTTCGGAGTGGCTTCACTCAGTGAGGAGGCAGACGCTGTCCATTCGATATACGGTCAATGGTTCAGATACAGTGAGATTTCCTATGTCACTAATCCAAGCTCCGCCCCCGGAGCCCCACTCTGCAGGCCAGGCTCGGAGAAATCAGATAGAACAATCGCGGAACAAGCGTCTGCGTTAGCAAATTGCAATGCTCCTAAGAAAGCTAATTATGATATTTACTTTCATCAGGGTAGTGTCCGAGAGCTGAATAGCTGCCATGTTACCTGCCACCTCTACGATAATGACAATGTTAGGCTACAAGCTAGCCTGAAGAGGAGTGTGCAGAGCAGCGCTGTCTCCGCCCACAACTCAGAGGCGAAATGCTAATGATCTACTGGAGCTCTGTAAAAGAAAAACCCTTGAAAATGACACAACGTGATTTTGTCTAAAAACGTTATAATCACAATTGAAAGACCACTGAGAACTCTTTAAGTAGTAAAAACAAATGATCGGAGTGGAACTTTGGGAAACTACGAAACAAATTGTCCTAAAAACATAGTGAGGGTTTTCTCAGGTGGACTCTCTCAGAAAAGTTGTTAGAAAACTTGTTGGAAAAATCTTCACTGATGAAGGTAGACTCAAACTCTTTATCGTCATCATATCAGTATTCAAAGTCACCTCTCTATTCAAAGATTGCTCACAGCGCCGAGTGCCCTCTCATCCACGCTCTCACACACATTTCTGCACACACACACACACACACACACGCTGGTGTAGTTTACTCTCGGAGAAACCTGGCTTTGTGCTGCTCCGTGACTGTCAGGAAGTGGAGCAGCTGTGGCAGAGGTTATGGATCGTGGCACTGGGGAGATGCATGTTGGGTAAAGAGATATTGATTTCTGTAAATTCAGCTCAGTGGGTGGATCGCTGCCACAACCGAGCCTCATGAGCTATCGATCAGCTTTTATTGACGGAGAGTCAAGGTCAGTATGGATGATGAGACTTTCTGCTCACTTCTCGGTTTCATTTGAAGGGGAGTGATGGAGGCAGAGCGGCACGGATACAGACAGCGTAGATTCATGACCCTCGCCGTAGTGCCGTTTGAAGGTTTTCGCAGCCTGGAAGTCTTCCTCCGTCTGGGCTATATTTGGTTTACTTAATGTCAATGGAACTTTTTATACTATAGTCCAGACTGCTCTTGGCCTTATCAGTTTGCTCCCATGCTCAGAGCCAGGGGCCTGATGGTTCAGACTCAAGTGCTAATGCAGAAGGCAGCAATGTGACACCGGCCCAGTGCTGACAAATGTACCCGCTCCACCAGCGCCAAGAAAAACAGCAGGGCCTCATTTGATGTACTGCCGCAGCCCGGTGTAGAGACCTTTCTCACCGCTGTCAGGTCACAGACGCGGATCATAACTTAACATGTGACACTTTCTGCTCTGGGGGCAGTTTGATCTCTGTATCTGCAGGTTTGAGCCTTTAAACAGGCCGATCAATAGATGAACATGACATCTTAAGAAACAGAGGATCTTTGGGTTCAGCCTGCCAGTACATACAGTAGATACATTTCAGCCTAAAACATGGTAAAATCTTGTAACCATCTGACTTCATGGTTCTTAGATTATGAATCTCAGTAAAATCTAGTGATCAAACATTGGGCACATTTTTCATTGTTCAAAACCACAGAAACCCTCAGTAGCCATTTTTACTGTGTATTTTAATGCTATGGCTGACAGGGTTAGCGTATCCTCTATATGGGGAGCACAGGCTATGTTCACACTGCAGGTCAATTCTGATTTTTTAACCATATGTGACACATATATGATTTTTTCATGTAAGTGTGAACAGTGCAATTCTGATTTTTTCAAATCCGACCCAGGCCTCTTTTGTATGTGGATATAAATCAGATATGTATCCGATGTGACTGCAGTGTGGACGCTCAGGTCGCGTTCATCCTACCTATACGTCATCAATATGCGACAAACGTCATTCATTGTTGTAATGTGAACGACCGCACAAAAAAGATCGGATTTAACAAAAAATCAGAATTGTATCATAACCTGCAGTATGAACGTAGCCACAGTCCCCGTCGCAGCGGTCGAGGGTTTGAGGCCATCCCCCTTTCTCTCTATCTCCCCACATTCACCCTATCCTATCAATAAAAGGCAAAAACTGCCCCAAAAAAATGTATTAAGTCTCTGATAACGTAAAAAATGTATGTATTTGATGTTGTGCCACATTGACAAATGTTTAAGCATGTTGCTGGTGTTTCCACCTTTCCATGTTATCTCTGCTCGACGAACGTTGCACGTTGCGCTGTTGTCGTTTCTCTTAGTAAAGTCAAGCCAGGCTTTAGATCGTTTCTGCCTAATTTTCATACCGTCCATCATGCTTTTTCTCTGTCTCTGTTCTCGTTCGCGTAGACTGGCACTTGCGAAACCGTTTTTCGAGGCACCCGAAAGAAAGGAATCATTGAACCATTTGGAACCGGTTCTCAAGAAGAACCGGTTCTCGATTCCAACCCCTATTAAAGTAAAATAACAGTTGCTTCTTTCTTTTAAATTTAGCAGTTTATATAATCTCTGATCACCATCAACACAAACATTTGACATTTTTAAAACTCGTTTGGTCAAAAGTCAAAGCGAAAAGAAATATAAAGAAAAATAATCACAAATGAAGATGTTTTGGTGCTCTTGAATGATCAACATCGAACTCTGTAGGAATTAAAAAATAAAAGGTTGTCAATTTGCAACAAAAAAATGAGGAAAATTAGATAGATAAATAGATGTCCTAATGTAGATGAAGACACTTTTAGCTCTAGAACAGGGATTCTTGGTTTCCTGCTGTTTTATGACTGGAACAATACACTGCATCACAAAAAAGTATAGCTTAATCTTTAACCCATCAATTAGTCACAGTTGTAGTTCATACACTTGGCTGTGCGCTCTGTCTCCGACAGTCCCATGCCTGTTAGTTATTACGTAAGCTCACAAATGACAGGAGGTTTCACAGAGGCCTTATTCTCCTGCGTCCTCCTGCTCTCACACGGCACCGCTCGGGCATGAGGCAGCTGTCCTGCCTCCTCCACATTAGCTGGATAAGCCTGTCATAAAGTCCCCCCGACTCCGACGAGCACAGCTGTCACAGGACTCGCCTGCAGCAGTGCTGGCACATGTGGATGTTGCCTGAGGAAGTTTTCCCAGATGTATGTGTTCATTGTGTGGTGCCAGCGAAAAGGCCAGCGGAGTCAAAAGGCTTACACGAGCGATGTCTGCCTGAGGGCGATCTGGACACTCTCTGCCGGGGTTCAAATCCTTTCGCCCCACTCATCCAACTACCAGTTGCTCCAGTATGTTAGGCAGGCTAAAATTATACCATCGGAGTCGTTTTATTTTTTCACGAGGGTGTTTTTTTGCCCAATGTCCAGCTCTGACCTCACTGACTCACCCACACATGGTATGAGTACAGTGAGGTTGTTTTCTTATGATGGTTGAATGCCTTAAGTTTTCGTGCCCTAGTTTGGAAATGGTACATAGTCCAACATGAAGGAAGTGTGTTTAGATTCCCAAAACTAAATACATCGAGGCTGCCAGACAAAGAAGAGTTTACAAAGAACTTCTGAGCTGATCTCATCTCCTACGTGTTAAAGCAGTGATTTCTAGAAAACTCAACCTCCCCCTGCTTCCTCTAAACAGTCAGATGTGTCACCTATTGTCTTTGCTGTGGAAAATATCAAACAGCTGTTTGTGCAGCAGAATCTGAACTCACACCTACGGGGTAGCAGCAGCAGTATCATACGTAGAGGCACCGGTTTGTCGTCAGAGGTTGAATCACACGCATAATGTACAGAGACGAGGGTCGGGTTTAGTTCCACAGCTTCCCACTCTTTACACCGTCATCTCCCCTCAATATAGGCATAAAAGCCCCCAAATATACATGTAGCAATATAAGCGGTCGCTCAGGGCCACAACCAATGGGGGAGGGGGCCACATCACCAACCACCCCCTTCCTAAAAAAAGAAAACAAATAAATAAATAAAAATAAATAAATAAAATCAAATAAAAATAAAAGTAAAAAAAAAAGAAGACAAAAATAACCATCTAGCTAGTTCTAGACCATACATGGATAACTGGCAACTCAGGAAGCTTGTAGATCAGCTATTTTTGCAACTTTAGTGTGACATCGAATGGACCGACAGTATATGTAAGGTGGTCCCCTGGAATGAGTGTGGAAATATAGTGGCCCTCTCCATCATCAAAGTTGCCCACCACTTGTCTAGACAATCTAGAAGCTCACGATATACCATCGTGAAGTCATCGGCTGTGTCCAAAATGGATCCCTAACCCCCATATAGGCGACTATATTGGGGTCAGCGCCATTTTGAGGGGTGTCCGAAACTTCAGTGATCAATTCCAGTGCCCTATATAGGCGACTCAAAATTTCCCATGAAGCATTGCAAAATGTAGCGACTATCCGATGGTCACTCACCAGTGGTTGGCATCCCGTCAGGCAATGCGTCTTGCCATGTAGTGTCCAAAACCTGTGGTGATTGAGTTCACTACATAGTCAACTATATAGTAAAATCCCATATGGGGGTTAGGGGTTAGGGATTCATTTCGGACACAGCCATTGTCTGTTTAAAATGCAACAAAATCGGGGGCCACAACCAATATCGGGGGCCCCATCACATCCCCACCCAAACCACAGCCAATAGAGGGGGCCACCAAAATCCACCAGCCGGCCCTGCTTACGACTGAAAAACAAAAAAATCAAAATGTCCTTAAAATTTAACAGATATATTAATTTATCTTGTTTGATACATTAGATGTTTTTGGAAACTGATAAACTACAAGAGGACATTTTTATCATTTATCGGACTGTATTCAGGTGTTTTTTAGTAATTTGTTGATCATATTGATTTGATAGAAGTATACAAAAGTATGTATCAAATATGATACAAAAGGCTTTAAGGCTTAAGAAATAAACATCACTATTCACTGTAACTGATAATGAAGAGGCATCACTATCAGTTTCATTTTGCCTCATAAGCGGTTTAAAACTCCTCTAAACGGCGTAAAGCGTGTGCTTTTTTTCATGAGAACGCCAGTTTTAGGTCGCCAAAAACACCCGACGTTCTGCTTACATCTGCACAACCCTCATTGCAAAACCCTCGTGTGCAAGAATAGATATGCGAAATTCAATGTGCAAGAACTGAATGTGCAAAATCCTCCTTAAAGGGGACATACAGAAATACTTCTTGACTTGTTTTATAAAGTGTCTCTTTTTTCTTGGATCAGGGCTACATGGAGAGAGAGAAAAATGTAATGCAGCTTTTACAGACTGCTATTTACATCCACTCTGTTCTGTTGTGTTGCAGAAACTTCGAAATTTCCACAGCCTGAGCTGCCCTGGAATCACAGGCGAGGACGTGTGCGAGTCAAATCAGACCCTCTTCACTCTCAGGAGCCCCTCACAGTGCGACACGGACGACTCAAACACTCAGCCGAGGACCAAAGAGGGCCAGACGACCAGGAACACCCTGTCGGATCGTACTATCGAAGAGGCAGACTGGACCTCCACGGACTACGGCGACCTCACGCCCGGAACGACCAACGGCAAGGACAGTGAGCCTCTGTGGGCGGGGCTTTGTAGCCTGAGGAAGGACGTGTATCAGCTCGGAGGCGAGCTGGACATTGAGCAAATTGAGAGGAACTGATCCGGACTGTCTTCCTCTCTTTAAGGAAGCGTATGTAGCAGACTTCAAGTTTATCACCAGGTGGTACAAGAAACCGAACCGTTAGTCTTAAGGGGGGAAGCAAGCGGAGAGCTAACGCTGTGAGCTAGCCAGTGCTTGTTTTTACTTCTCAAGGGAGGACTGAGCAGACCCTTCGTCAGCTAAAAGCTACATTTAAGGGGACTCGGTGTTAACAGAAGCTCCTCCCTGACTGTGAGGAGTCAAAGCAGCGTCTCAGGAGAACAAAGAAGTCTTGGAAGATGGATTCAGGTGGACATTAAAAGAACTGATCTAAAAAAAAAAAAAAAAGTTGACCCAGAGGTTCGGGTCTCTTTAACATTTCTGTGTAACCCTGATGACCTTCCTCGTACTTCGTTTTTGGAGAGAATGCACAGCAGGTTTGTATAAATTCTCTGCACTAGAACAAGCCCCTGCCACTCTGACCCTCCTCAGCCGTACGTTGGTACATGAAAACGAGACTACTTTGAGAGCTACCTTTTTAGCGAAGCCCCTCTCACTCTTAACTGAGCAACAAGCTGCACGCACACACAGCCTGTAAACGTGTATGGAAGAGCTTAACATTTCACACAGTAACATCGGGCTTCTCTTTGTGATCAACGCGCCTGTTTGTTTGTTTGTTTGTTTGAGAGAAGCTTTGTGATGCTAATAGCGTTAATATTCTTTCTTTTTACAATTTGTAACTACAAAGTTATGTAAAACTTGAGCATATTTCTATACAAATAAAACACAGTTTTAAATGTGTCATTTGATATCGTGTTGTTTCTATTTCGTCTCTCCTTACTGGATCTAGAAGCCGGTGCAAAAAAGGCTGCAAAAATGTCTTGCAATTGCATCTGAAGTCAAGTGATATATGCAAGTGAAACCACAATTGCTGGAGCTCTAATGAATACCACAAGACTCTGCTTTCTGTCTTTGCAACCTTTCTGTAAAAGTTCAGGGTGGGGATACTGCCTCCAGTCTCATAAATGCGTCACACAAATTGTACAATCATGAAATGGAAAACTACACTTCTGTTTCACTAAGGTATTCATATCAAACTAAAGAACCTCAATTTAATGCCACTCTAAAGCTTCTAGACAGACTATTTAAAGGAAAGTGAACAAGACCATCAGGGACAAGACCTGAAAGTGATACAAGAGGGTGGGTGTCCATGGAGCCGCTGAAGAAAACCCCTCTTTAGCATTTCTTCCATATAATTGTCAGAAAAAAAGACATATTTGACAATTAAAAGTCAGCAGGACAAGATACTCAAGCATGTGGAGGACAAGGTAAACAAAGACTGCTTTGTCCACATGGGGGGCTGGAACTGACACCAAACAAAAGTTCCTGACAGGAGCTTTAACTTACATATAAGATTTCAACTTGTTCAATTTTTGCCTTTTTAATTCTTTAAATGGCTTCAACTCATTTGTAAACTTCACTTTTAAACTTATCTAGTCTACTTTTTACGACTTGTAAAGTTCATTTGGAAACTTCAACCTTAACTTTTATTCAAGTCAGTTAATAAGTTTGTTAATTTATTTATTCAAGTGTCATGAACACAAAGTGCCCAACCCACATGGGTTTATAAGACACTAAAAATATCAACAGACAGTGTTGCGTAGTGTGTAAACCGCAAAAAAAAGAGGAAAAGGACAAACATGCAAGTACACATACAACTATATCTAAACCCATAAGCTACTTAAATTCAAATCAAATGTACAACACACTTTTTCTACTGTCCCAGGTCTTATAAATAAAGTTAGCTGTATAAAAAAACTCCTATTTCAAAAAACAATTCAAGTCAAAAAACCTCTAAGTCAGTGGTTCTTAAGTCCAGTCCTCGAGGCCCACTGTCCTGCATGTTTTGGATGTTTCCCTGCTCCAACACACCTGATTCAAATGATTAGCTCGTTATCAAGCTCTGTAATGGCTTAATAACGAGCTGATCATTTGAATCAGGTGTGTTGAAACATCCAAAACATGCAGGACAGTGGGCCTTGAGGACTGGACTTGAGAACCGCTGCTCTAAGGGATTACTTTTTACTTGAAAACTTGGATTTTAGGCTAATTTACTACACTGAAGTACTCCAACTTTACATGAAAACATCAGTTTGAAGTTTAAGCCACTTAAGTATTTCAACTGAACTCCCATTTTACACAGCTCAAACATATTTCCTCTATACATGAACATTCATTTAACACTTTTTACATCTGTCCTGAAAGCTGCTGAGAGAAACTTTTGGTCTGAGTCCATTTGGCGTCCCCTTGGACAAAGTCGCACCTCTTAACTCTGACTCTGTAAATGTGAAAGTAGCGTTTTCAGACAAAAACCACATCCTTTTTGTCGCTGAACAACAAAATGTTTCCCTCAGTGTGAGTAATTGTCCTGAAAAAAGAAAAAATACTAATTCTGGTTTGACACCTACACCCTTAGAGAAGTTTCACATGTTTGAAAACAAAATCACTATTTTAGTGTTTCTCAACCAGATGAAAATTTCCTATAGTGCCTTTAAAGGTCCTGAGAGGAGTTATTATGAATCAGACTGAAATGACTACTGATATCTATTTATGATCTACAGAAAACCAAATTACACAATGACTTCTATATTGTCATTTTTGACTCATTAAACTGCTGCCAGTGGGTGGGTTTCAGATAAAGAGCTCCATGGCACACTTCATTGTTCCTTTTTTCAACTTTTTACTCAGTAATAAGGTCAATGAGTAATCAGTTTGAGTGAAATGAGAGACTAAGTTTTTAGCAAAAAGAACAGTACTTAAAAAAAATCATAAAATTATTAAAGAGATGAGAGGTACTACTTTGTCCAAATGGGGCGCCAAAATCCAAGTTTCTAAGAGGAGCTTTAAAATATGTAAAACTTGAACTTCATGAATGAAAAGTTCTTTTACTTTACATTATTAGGCACGTCAATTTTAGACTTTTTTAAAATCTAGTTTAGAGCACTATATATCTTCTTTACCTGAAAACTTAAATAATATGTTATTTTCAGTAAATCTTAGAGGCAAATCTTACATCCATACTTACAAAAAAAAGCTAGTTGTGAAAAATGTTGATAAAACAGGATAATGCAAACTTTTAAATTAGCATATTTAATTGAAAATAGTGTAAAGACAACTCATAAAACTGAAAAATTTTACAGTTTAATGATGACAAATTTGACTCATTTAAGACCGTTGGGATGGGAAAACCCTGAAAAAGTTGTATCATGGTTTAAAAACGGACCTGGAACATCCCTACACAACTCATGACTGGGTATAAAAAGGACAGTCCAGAGAGGCTGAGTGTCTAAGTCTCAGGTTTTAGTATTTCTAAAATTGTAAAGAATTTTATGATTCGATCATCTACAGCACATAACATCATGTAAAGGATCAGAGAACCTGGGGAAAAGGCACAAAACCAGTACTGGGAGGCTGTTAACCTCAGACCCTGAGGTGTCATATCTGACTCTGTAGTGGATATCACCACATGAACTCTTTAAAATCACTTCCATTAATGTAGAATGGTACAGGCAGGTTTTGGAGCAACATGTGCTGCTATCTAAACAATATCTATAATATATATTTTAAAATCTGCAATGATCTGAAATTAGGGTGACCATATTCTGAACCCCCAAAAAGAGGATACGACCATGTGGGGACGGAGTCACGGAGTCACACATTTTTAGGGTCAGATCAAGTGTTTTTTACACGCTTCTAACTAAGTCCACGCGACACAAACTCGAAACTTCCATACAACACCCCATACATTCGAAGGATTTTATAAACTTTCCCGGACAAAGCCGGACAAGGCTGGACAACCCCCAAAAAAGAGGACATGTCCGGGTAAAAGAAGATGTATGGTCACCATATCTGATAAAAGGCTTTCAGGAAAAAAGAAATATATTTATGACACCCCACAATCTGTGTACTTTTACATGAGATCATGTCCTTAGAGGACTTTGGTGAAGTTTGGCTGCTTTCTTTGAAAAAAAGTAACTGAATGAGAGAAAGCCTTGACTGCAGAGCCCATGCATTAACAGAAAGGTCATTGTTGGAGACTTCTTTAATGCAACAATGCAGAGTGACCCAATTAAGGAGCAAGAAAGACAATCCCAAGCGTAGTAGTGGCTCCGCTGATGAGCCTGTGTTTGTGTGCTGAAGCGGGGACAGAGCGAGTGAAAAGGACGCCAGCCAGGGGTGGGAAGTCCGGTCTTCTGCCTCTTTTCTCCCTCATCTTCTCTTTTTTTTTTTTGATGGCGGGTGGAGTGGTTGTAGCCGAGCAGTGCTTCACCCCAGAGACCTCCCTCCCCTTCCTCGCTGCACTGAGAAACAAAAGGGGCTTTTTCTCTGAGGAGCACAGTGACGTGGGAGGCGGCTGTGAATGTGGGCCATGTGTCAGAGCTGCTGCTGCTGCTGCTGTGTTTGTCTGCCCCCCCTCCCCTCTGATGCCTGTGCAAACTTTCAGAGCTATGCTGTCATTAACTTTTTGATTCGCTGAGCCTGCGAGATTGCATAAAACTTTTGTGTGTGTGTGAAAAAAACATCCAACAATTGACGTTTTGTAAAAGCCTGGGAAGCCACTCGTCTAAGTGAAGACTAAATTGAGGATTTAACATACTTTTTGTGCAAAAACAGATGTTGAGATGTATAGAAAGAGGGTATGACCAAGAGGAGGCAGAACTTAATAAAGTCCACAAACAAATCCTGTCTCTATTCGCAGCAGAGGGCTGTCCACTATGAGTTTGGTCTTGCTTCAGGTCTCTGCCTGTTCAAAGAGAGCTGGCATTTATTCACAGTGGACTAATGTTTGGTCTTTGTACACGATACAAACATGATAATGGTCTAGATTAGCACTTTTTTAAGAGTCATGAGTGAAATCCTTTGTAGCATTCACCAAGTTACAGTGGAGTGGAAAAACTTCCTTTAACGGGCAGAAACCTTGGGCAGAACCGATTCATGTTAGACAGTCATCTGCTGAGACTGCATCGAGTTTAGAGAGGGGATAGAGGGAGGTAAAGACAGAGGTTTGATTTTCTCTGTAACTTGGTCACTTTTTTAAAGGATATTCCGGCACAAAATTAATAACACCAAGTTAGAGACCCACTTGAGAGATGAATGTTGCCGACCACTTGCTTCTCTAGTTATATCAACTTTAATAACGACCGCAGGATAGCAATACACAGCGGTCTGAGGAGCCATAAACAAACCTCAACCAAAAAGCACCTAACTTCATCAACAGTACATATAGGGTCCTAACCACAGCACTAGCCACCAAACATATTTTAAGCTTTGCCTAATTTCTTTAGCAAACAGACTAAACACAACTCACCTACTCTCTTTCAGCAGCTGCTTGTTTGTACGGAGACCTCAGACAAGTCCATTACGGACAACAGCAGGGTGACGCAGCTCAAGGAAGAACATTTATGACCATTACATTGTCAGGTAATAATCGCCATATTAATCATTTTGCACTGCAGACGCGGTAGTTTTCCAGTCTTAGCGTCTTGGTCTGACTCCATGAAGAGTTGATCGTAAATGTTCTTCCTTGAGCTGCATCACCCCGCAGCAGTCCTTAATGGACTGGCCTGAAGTCTCGCTACAAACAAGCGGCTGCTGGAAGAGAGTAGGTGAGTTGTGTTTAGTGTCTTTTCTAAAGAAATCATTCAAAGTTAAAAGGATGTTTGGTGGCTAGTACTATGGCTAGGACCCTATATGTACTGTTGATGAAGTTAGGTGCTGTTCTGAGCATTATTTGTGGCTATAGAGTGGCTTTTTGGTTGAGGTTTGTTTACGGCTCCTCAGACCGCTGTGTATTGCTATCGTGCAACCATTACTTAAGTTGGTATAACTAGAGAAGAAAGTGGTCGGCAACATTCATCTCGGTGTTACAGTGTGTTTGACCCTAAATTAATTTTACGCCGGAATATCCCTTTAAGTACACACTGTGGCTTTTGATATAATTTTTGAGTTACAGTCAAATTGAGTTGAATTGAGGTCACATACAGTCATCACATTTAAGAGCTCGCAGCCTTTAGCAGGTATTTCAGTCTAGAGTGACCCAGTTCATTGGCCACTTTCAGATGAAAGTGTCTCTTTTAGCTGGCTTTGGGTGTTTATTTGACATTACTGATCAGTAGTCTTTAGTTTAAGATTCTAATAATAAAAATCTAAACTAGGTTGCATTTGTGAGGATCTTTCAGTGCTTCAACAGCTGGGAAACATTTAAAAAGAAGGTTTCAAATCGCCTGATAACAGGGTCACTGTTTAATCCTGAGCGCCACTTGTCCTAAAAAGGGCTGTGATCCCTTTTAAATTCTGTGAAACTTCAGTCTGTGGTTGGAAAATCTTCCCTGACAACCAACCTCGCAAGAATCAGACTTCCTAAAGTTAGTAACAATTTGGATTCAGTGTTTAAAGTTAGCTAACCGAGAAAAACGCTGCTTCTTCTGACAGAGTTTATAGACTTTCTAGACTATAAACAGGTTTATGGATTGCTTTTCGGGCCTTTGTTTGCTGCTGGGGTTAAGGAAGTCCTGGACACCATCACTGATTTTGGCGGGGCTGCTAACAGCGGCTCCTGAAGCCTATTGAGCACAAACCATCTGCTGTTTTACTTTATTTCAAATTAAACCCATTGCATAACTGTGGGGTAGCTCACAAGGCTAATGAACTCTCCTCTAATGGATTTGATTTGCATGAAGTTGCATAAGAATCTCTGCTTGCATAGTAAAGTCATATTTACACTGCTACTTTCAAACTGCTTCTTTTCAGGAGTTAAGCCCTTTTTCGGGTAATGAGTCGGGGGGAGGAAATGGGTAAACACAGCCCTTGTAAACTTGCTGTGTGGCAGACTGACACACGGAGGGCCCCTCGCCTTTAATCAGTGGAGTGACAGAAGTGAAAGGAGGCTGTGTTCTCAGAGCAGATACGAGTACAACAGGAGGGGCGTGCCGTGCCAATGTTCTGCTCTACGCTCGCTCACAACCCCCACCGACACTCACACAACAGGGTGGTGGTCACCCTCAAACTGTTGTCGGAGGTTATGAACGGTCTTATCAGCTCTAATGATGAGTCGCAACACACCTCATTCAGCTTTTAGGCGGCAGATGTTTCACAGCTCAAAGTGGGGGTTTAGATGGTTTCTGACAGGTCCTGATTATCAAATTTTTTTCTCCATCACATTTTAATACATAAGAAGTTAAATTTAATATTTTTCAACGGCACATAGATATTTGAATCTAACGTCAGCACTTTGACCACAGAAGTAAAATTTGCAAATAATCGGTTTCTTAATTTGTTACAACAAATGTGTTTATAAATGACCATAATGGCAGTTTCCACAGCTGGAAGATCTGCTTTAATTCTCTGTGGTAGCCGTTTCAAATGGCCTACAGTAAAAAGACGGTGTTTATATAGCACTTTGTCCTGTTACCACTTTCAGTGCTTTACTACATACTTTTAAAACACAGACTTTTGGGTCTTAGATTTCTGAAAATGTAGTTGCTTGGTTTTCAAATGATCTCAGTGATCACTCTGAATTATAGACTGTATATACTATGGACAACTTGGTTCCACCTTCTGCCAGTATACAGATTTGAAGCGAAAAAGCTCTTGGTTATTCTGCGTTTTTTCTCCATTTCCTGAAACCAACATTGTGCAGTTGCATTGTAGGCACTCCACCACTTGCGCAGTAGCATTGTGCGCATTCGTTGGGAGTCACAGAGAGTCGCTGTGATGATGCTGGGCTCAAACAGCATATCCCCCGGGCGAGCTACACAATCCTTGTACGCCCATAGGCTGTATCAAGTGTCAATCATAGAAAACTTGAACCCCCTAACAACTTTTAAAACCTGCACTGCAGCCTGTCGCCAGAATGTGCTGTTCTTGGGGTGGCTTCACCCATCAAAGAGGCAGATGCTGTCCATTCTATATACAGTCTATGGTCTAAATGTATTAGGCATGATGGTTTATAACTATTCGTAAAGGTGTACCACAGGGCCCAGGTTTAAGCCCCCTTTTGTTTACTATTTATGTGAATAATCTGGGCCAAAAGTTATCAGTTGCTGCGTTCAGTTGTTATGCTGATGACATGGTTGTGTATTTGTGCAGCAACCCTTGATGAGAACTATAGTCTTTGGGCCTGTAAATGAAGTGGATGCTTAAACTGTCAAGCGAACCACCAGCCCAGTTTATGACATTTTTGTGAGCTATCATATTTTTTGAATGGTTCTTTGGTGCAAGCCGATCAAAGTTAGTCGTACTTGACTGTTGTCTTTTTGAATTTTGATGCACGACACTGACATATTCAGGGCAAAAAAATGCAGACATTAGCGCCAAATTGTGTTGCTGATGTTTTGTTTACATAACGTTAAAGTCATAGACTGTATAAAAGTGGACATAGTCTCCGTTTTTAAGGGGATGTTCTGAAGCCAAATGATAGTATTGTCTCAGTGCCTCAACAGAGACTCGAGTCCTCAGTGTTCAAATCTGAATCAAAGTCCAAGTCCCAAAAGAAAAACCAAAGCTGAGTCCTATCATCAAGTCCTCATTACTTTACTCTGAGTGTGTCCTAATTACCTGAGTCTGAATCCGAGTCAAGCCCCCATTATCGGACTCTGAGTCCAAGTCAAGTCCAGATTACCAGGGTTAAGCCTGGGTCATGTACCCATTACCCGAGCTGTTCCTTTAGGCACCCTGGCAGGGCCTGTTGCTGAACAAGACAGCATGTGAACACTGGTGAACACATGGCAACACTTGAATGGAGCTGAAGAAACAATCATGAAATCAAACTTTTTAGCCCAAACACAGACTGTATTTCCTGGAAATTAGGTCTCAGATTGGACTGAAGTCCTTGTCCTGGATTTGAAGACAACAACATGTCGTTGGGTGCGTTCACTTAAGTAACTTTAAGCCAATTTAGAAAAAGACAAAAAGCTGAATAAGAGAAATTTGTTGAAAATTAAGGTCTAGAGAAGCAGTTTTGGTTCCTGGTGATGGCCTCAAGTGGACATATGAGGAACTATATTGCACTTTCACTTTGGCGTCACTCTTTATTACCAGCGGTTGCCAATCTGTCAAAACTCCACCAAATAAAGAAGTGGTTTGTAACGAATTTGATCCACAAGATTTAGTTCCCCTTGAAGAGACGTTATTTGCATTATCAAAAGACATTGTGGAGAACTGGGCTATTTGATAATGCTTTTAATTTGCTGCAAATTTTTCAGGGTTTTTTCTCCACATAAACAACGAAACAGAGAAAAATCCCCATGCAAACACGTCGGGTTAAATTGACTAAATGACTTCCTTCCTTAGTAGTGAAACTTTTGTAATAAACATCAACCACACTCTCTGTGCTAGAGTGAGTTCTGGGGTTTGATGCTTACTCTTGCTTGGCAGTTTAAATGTGGTCAGGGTAAAAACCATTTTAGCAGTCGCACCCAGCCACCAAACATTTCCAGTTTGGCAACGCTTCTAATTAAAAAAAGAGGTTGAATTCAGGGGGAAACACTTTTTTTTTTCTTTCTTTCTCAATCAGTTCACTTTTACATATGGTGTTAGTTGTCACGTTGAATCTGATCCACAAACTTTTGAAAGACTAAACCGCACAAACTGACTTTCTAAAGATCAAGCAGTCATTGCAGGGACAGCCTGAGATGTATTAAGGTCCAACATGCCGTCTCATGTCAAATAGTTGAGGGCTTGAACTAAGAAATGTCCTTTTAGCGACAGGTTTATGGGATCTACATTGTGAAGGCCTTGGCTTTTACGAAAGGTAACTGGAAACCTTCAGAGGAGAGAGCTCAGCACAGACAGACAGCTTTAAATTGAGGTCAGCTGTAAGCCTGTAGAACCTTTAGCAGACCGGGACAGTTAGTTTACACTACGACTCTGACATACGACCACCCTCTCGCCTGGATTATACACACGCACACGCTCAAGGAATGACATCACGGGGTCATGCTTTGTGTCTGGGGAGCGAGTCCCTCTGAGGCTTTAGTGGGCAGTTGAACAGGGGGTCATGTCCCCTGAGGGGGGCCTGTGACGACTGTGACCATGTAAGCCAAGCACAGACTGCTCTGTGTGTGAACTGAGACACTTCTCAGAGAACTCGCGAAGGCTCTGAGGGGAGGAGTGGAGTGGGGTTAGGGGCAGATTGGTGAGAGTAGGAGGGAGGAAATGCAAGGCTCAACTCCAAACCCGAGAACTTCTGAAGTTTCACAGCCCTCCCACGCCACTGAGCACCGCTGGCAGGGCTGCCCACCAGGGAAGGAGGGTGATGAAATGTGGGGAAACTGTGTGGCTTGACGGCTGAGAGTAAAATGGGCCTCCACATAGACTGGGAAGGGAGGGGACAAATAACGGGCCGCTGTCAAAACAAGTGCATGTTTCCATGAATAAAAGAACTTCAGGTCGCAGGTGTGTGGCGTTGTCTGGTCAGCTGACCCGCTGTTTCCTGTCAAACAGGAAGAGTAAAATGAGCAGAGATGAAAGCTCAAGGTAGCACACAGCTGGCAGTTGTTAAGGTGGCTGAACGTAGGTGCAATACAAGAGCAGCACTGTGCACGCCATGTAAGAGGAGCTCCAACCCAAACACACGCCATAAAAACACAAACATTGGTTATGAAGCACTTTGCAGCAGTGTGAGTGTGTGTGCACTCTGCTCAAAGATGACTGATCACGAGGGGCCTCTTTTCTAAAAATAGCTGACCATATTTGTGTTTCATAACTATCCCAACAAATTTGGTAACAAATGTCAAAGTACTGATTCAATTTAAAGGGATCAAGTTTGAAAAACAAGGGAAGATGAGGAGAGCTTGACTGCAGACACAAAACACTTGGACATTAAGAGCTCTTTGAGTTTTTTTAATGTTTCCTTATTGTTTACTTATTAGTTGTTTATTTTTTAATACTGTAGAGGAAATAATGTATGTATGGCATGGTATCATACCATACCAATTCAAACCGTTGTGTATCGTTTTGTATCATACCGTACGTTATTGTATTGTATCAAATTGTACCGTACTGTACTGTTTTATAGTGTACCATTTCATATCACATCACATAGTATCATATTGCACCATTTTGTACCGTATTGTATCATTTGGCACCATACCGAACTGTTTCATATCGTACCATACTGTAGTGTATCATAACGTACTGTTTTGTGTCGTTTTGTATCGTACTGTTCTGTATTATTTCATATCGTATCATAACGTACCATATCAAACTATACTATACCGTATCGTTTTATGTCGTACCATTCTATATCACATCACATAATATCGTATCATTTTCTATGACACTGTACCGTTTTGTATCGTACCATACTGTAGTGTCTCATATCTAACCACACTGTACAGTTTCATATCCCATTGCATCACATCGCACAGTACCATATTGTACCATTTTATATCATATATCATACAGTACTGTATTGTTTTGTATCGTACCGTACTGTTTTGTTTCAAATCGTATCACAACATACTGTATCAAACCATATTGTACCATACCATTTTATATCATAACAAACCGTATCATATCGTTTCATATTGTATCATAACGTACGGTATCAAACCATATCAAACCATATTGTACTGTACCGTATCAAACCTTATTGTATCGTTAAGTATAATTTCGTACAGTATTGTTGTGTTTCATATCAATTCGTATGATACTGTACCATTTTGTATCATACCATACTTTAGTGTCTAATATGTAACAGTTACATATTTCATATCCATCACATCGCATAGTATCGTTAGTTTCATATTGTATCATAATGTACCGTATCAAAGCATATCAAACCATATTGTACTGTACCATATCAAACTTTATCGTATCATTAAGTATAATTTCGTACAGCATTGTTTTGTTTTCATATCATTTTGTCCCGTATCATTTCAGTCGGTTGTATGCAGCACTATTCTCTATACAGACAAGAAAGGCATTTATTATGGCATCTTCTTGCATCATAAAGGATTGAACAGTGCAGCACGGTGTCATACTGTGAAAGCAGGTAGATGTAGTATGTGGCAAGAGTCCAAGACAATATTCTCTTCACAGACAAGAGAGCCAGAGCGACTTTGTTGTCCAGCATGTGTCTCCCTCCTCACACATGACACATTCAACGGAGCTGTGCATCCCTGTGGTGTCAACATAAGACGAAAATAAGATCAGCCTAATAAGCTGAGGTTGCATAAGGAGAGAAGGGATGAAAGAGAGGACATACTATCCCAGAGAGTCATAACCGGGCTCTGGTATCACTGCAGACAGCAATGTATACGTGATCAAGACCATGCAAATAAAGTAGACTTAATGGAGATGGTGATTTGAGGAGAAAAGAATGATAAGTGTGTTGACATGGCGGTTACCTATTGGATAAAAATAAAGTCAAAAACCTAATTCAGAGCAATGAAAATGCATAAATACAAAGTTAATGACGATACTTGCCTTTCTTGTCTACTGATCTGCTATATGCTTGCAGAGGCTGTTGTTGATCATAGTGGTAATAGATGCCAATGCCAATATGCTGATGTTTTGCAGATACTGTGCTCCACATTTTCCATCTTGGCTATTGCAGCACAGACAACAAATAACCGGTCAAACTAATTTTATTTGCAAGAAAACTGAATTAGACAAGTCAAATTATCCCTGAAAACAGATCAAAGAGTTAAACCGAGGCATTTCATGATTAAAATTATGTGATGTAATACATATAAAAATGATCATTTTGAAGGAAAACTATGAACCCAATATCCCCTCAGACAAATCCATTAACTTGGGAACAAGAGCACCTGTAATGTAACCGAACACTAAAATAACAATGTGCTCATAACCTCCAACTGGAAACTATTCACAACAGCTTCAGTCAGTCAAGGATCTGACAGTACAGTATATGAAGTCTGTCAATACTGTCCTGTGTCAGTGAGGTCATACATGCCCAGACATGTCTCTTGAAATGAGGTCAGCTCTATTATTTGAAAGGTAATCTTGCTTAACAGTCTGCGGTCGCAGAGAGGGAATCAATGCGCCGTTCACAGCGAGGAATATCTCTGTTTACGTGTCTCGGCAGCCTGCAGAAGTAAACTACTGCTAATTTCTAACTTGTGTGAAATGGGTGGATGACCTTGAGCAGCCTTGGATGTGTGGTAATCAACCAGCTAGCTCTCCGCATGTGGTTTTCTCTTTAACACTCAACCTGCCAAGTGGAGTCATTGAAAACTGTTGCCTATATCCTTTCAGTTATTGCATAAAAGTAACCTGGTAAAAGCCAAGTGAATTCATTCGAGAGAAGTCAATTCATGTTTAATAGCTGCGCACACGGCCAACAGGCAGTATAATGGACTAAACTGTGAGTCAAACAATATGTAAGCTGCTGGAAAACTGGATACCAGCTGCTTGTACTCTGCCGTGTACATTAATATTTATTTCCCAGTCAGAAATAGGATTGGCACCGCCAACTTAGGCACAGTTTCATAATACTTCTCAGCTTTTCATTACCTTTAATTGCCCAATAACATTCAAGCTTGTGTCAGCTAATGGTGAAGTGAACCAGAAAGACCTCAATGAATCACTTGGCAATGGGCTTTTGTTCTTGATGAATCTGTTTGGAGCTCTGAAACCTCGGGGGCAGCGATGGGGAATCGTTTGTTTTACGCCCCACTTCCAGAGGCCTCAACGATCCAGCTGGCAAACTAAAGCCCGATAACCAATTTTTTCCCCCCTCATCATCTTATTTAACCTCACTGTGGAGACTGAAGTGAATGCAAGTCTAATGAGCGGCAATTAACTATGCAGGAATGACAGGGCGATCCCCTGTAGAGGCGGCTTACAGTCAAGTAAATAAAGATAAGCGGTGGTGGATTTGTGATTCTTCACTCTGATGATAGAGAGCATGATTCATTTTTGTTTACAGAGGGGAAACATGAGCCTGAGCATTGATGTAATTCATCATACTCGGCTGGGTTCTGCATTTATCATCACTCAGACCAGCTCACTTCCTATTTCCCAGCCATTTGTATTTGTAAAACAAAAGCTGCTTGATATAAATTCCAGTTCAAACCGGAAACAAGGCTACGTTTCCTCATTAAAAAAAAAAGGAAAAAAACTCAAAGTTCTGTGTGAGGGGGTCAGACAAACTGGTGAATAAAGAGAGACAATGTGCACAACAGCTCCCACAGTACAAAAATAGCTTTATTTGTGTATTACATTACAGACCAGTCCCCACTAATTTATCAATGTTGAGCATGTGTTTTGTAAAAGGTGAGAGAAAACAATGTCACCTTAATATATAGCTCAATTTATTTTGTTAGTGTGTGTTATGAACGCTGATCTAAGTCACCATGGTCACTGAGCTGTTGATGTTAAGGTAGGTGGCTCGGATACGACTACAGGTGTCGTACTGCTGTGTTACAAGATACAAAGAATATGATTTAATCAGTCAGTGAATTATAAGTATAAACCATAAGCTGCTGACGAGTCACATTAAAAGACAGAAATATCAACACAGACATTGACAAATTTAATAAAGCGAGAATGTAAAACACACTGGGTTTTCCCTTTATCAAACAGCAATGAAAGGAAGTAAAAGAGTAGAGTAGAAAGTTGTTATGGCTAATTATTGCTGTCTTCTGAAGAAGCTATCAATTGTATGTTTGGCCTCAAGATAATTTTACTGATCCAGAAATAGCCAAAAAGTAGCCCATCAATGGTTGGTTCTTACCTGCATTCTTACATCAAGCCAAATCCTTATTAAATTGAACACTTTTGTTCATAGCAAAGTAGGAAACTGAACCATTTTCAATTGTAAGTGTTTTCAACAGATGTAGAAAAAAAAGCAACACTTAAGATTCTCTCTCATTTAGTCCTGTGACACAGCTAAAGCCCATCACCATGCTGTGATTTGAGGTTGCTAAGCATCTGTTTTCTTCAATTTGGTTGATGTCACTTACACTTGGCTTTCTTGCTAGTTTCTGCACTGTTTTGCTCACTCCCTTTCCTATTTAATATATGTTTATATATTTGCTAGTGAATGGTGGCAGCAGCCAACAATCTAAAGTGTTGTACTCTCCAAAAAATGAAACTTAAATTTCCCATGTGTTGTCTAACTCTGCCAAAACGCTGATTTTGTGATGTGTGTGACTTGTTTGTTTGGGATTTTTTATCAACCTGAATCAAGTTGTAAACAAAGCCGGGTGATCAGGAAGAAAGCCGAGGAAGAGAAGAAGCCAAAAGTGTAACAGTTGGCTAGGAAGTTGTGTAATTCAGTAATGTAAGCTCTTGTCTTACGGTAGCTTACAGTCGAGGAATAAGCTTGTAAGTTGTTAAAGCTGATGATGGTTGTCATTGAGAACAGCTAACAGTCCTAAATTTAACCAAGGAAGTTGTATATCAATAAGAATAGCTGTATTGCAACCTGCAACTGAGCAGGACATCAACCTATAGACTGCAGCATTTGAGCTTTCCACCTTTAGCATGACATCCATGGCTTATGATGACATCCGTGAGAACAAGAGGGTTAGCGCGACCTCATTTGACTACAAACTGCTTTCATAAGCACTACAATCCTGTACCATAAGTAGGGTGTCTGTACACACAGACGTACTTTTCTAACCGTCAGTCAGCAGCTAGTTTCAGGCACGTTCATGTCAGCTTGAGGTATCTTATCTATGCCAATCAAGCACTAAAAAAGCACATGCTGCTGCAGTAAAGTGTTACAGACTATCTCTTGAACACCTGGGTGATAGTTCTGCATATTTAATCGTTTCTCACTTTGTGGAGCACCAGATGGGTGGGTGTTTCCCATATTTGACAGTATAATTAGTTGTGACAGTTACAGGATATGCAGTTTATGAGGGTATTTTCAGTTTATACTGCTAAGTACACCCTTCCCACATGAAACAGCACTACTGCGTTATATTAAAATCCTATTGTGTACCTTCCTGAACCACTCAGTTAACATTAAGTGGGGAGATTTCAGTGTCTAGTGCCTTTTACTTAGTTCCTTTGATTTAGGATCATGTCCACAGCCTGGGCCAGGTTGTCCACAGTGCCGTCTGTCGCCACTGTTGGGTGCCTCTCATCGCTGGGCCTGAGGGGAGGAGGAGAAAAAGCTTTACGGACATACTGCACAGGAACAAGCAGGAACAAACAACCGCCACATAAGAGTCAGTAAACAAGAAGCAGTAACAGTTTGATGTTATCAGATGAGTTAACAATGCTGAATGTATAAACTGGGACAGTCTAAACAGATTCAGGAAAGGCACAGCATGAACAACATCCAGTGTAGGAATAATCTACAGGCCCTCTCTCATGGAAGCTCAAGGGTACAGTTCTGGTGATAAATAGCCTCTGTGTCCTCTCACAGTGGTCACAAGGGCTCACTTATAAACAACGGCAAGCAGCACACTCAAAATTAAGGCTTTACAGTGAGTTTTTGCTGAATTGAAGTCCTTACACTCAAAGGTGACTGTGCAGCTGCTTGCCAAAAGCCCCTGCAGGGTAGTGCATGCTTTCTGTCTCTATCACCAGCTGTCAAACACTGTTACAGACTATTCAATAAGACCAATTGGGGACTCGGATAAAGAGCTGCCAAAACATCCAATTTCATTAAATTGTAGCAAGAAAATAATTTAGTTCCCAGCAGAGGGATGGGAACCGCATAACCCAGTCGCACAGTGGCCTAAAGTACAGAGAAGGATTTTGAATATGGTCATCTGTACACGTTAGCAAGTTAGCTTTTTCAATGTGCGAATAGCTAATAGTCCATTTACAAATCATCAACTAGGGCCCGACCGATTTATCGGCGAGCTGATTAAACCGGCCAATTTTAGCCCGTTTGAGACTAATCGATAATCGACCAAAACTCGCCGATTGTCGCTGATATTTTCAGAAATAGACTGCGGAGAATAAGATTTGGTTTCACTTCGAAAATGTTCCGCCATCTGAAAAGATCCCCCATTACTTAAATAAACAAAATTTTCAAATTCATATAAAATTTAAAAAATCAGCCGATTAATCGTGCCCCTCCACCCCACCCACCCAATAATCGGTACCAACGTCGGCCCCAAAAAATCTGTATTGGTCGGGCCCTACCATCAACACTTGCAAATTAATTAACTATAACCTTATGGTTACGCGGCTCCAATCCCTCTGCTGGGAAGCAAATTATTTTCTTGCTACTATAATGAAGAGCCTGGTGCCACTGTATGGACACTCATTACGTAGTGTCCTATCAAGTCCACTATTCATGCTAAGGCATCCATATTTTGGGATATAAGAAGTGAACCCGACTTTTGCGCTTCTACATAAGAATATTCATGAGTGTCCATGGGAAAACTGCCACAAAGGTCACAGGTCAACTGAGCGGCGTCATAATTTTGTCTAAGCTGGCCTTCCTAAACGGTGGAAAATGTGTAGAAGGCGTAGGTCAGCATTGCCCATCTCCCCCCCTGGCTGCTGCTCTTATTTGGCTGGGGTCCCACTGAAGGATGCAGATACGTCTGTTTAATCAGCTGGTAGGGGAAATGTGATCCATTTGGCGTGGCACCAGACCCCGGCCGGCATGCACGACCCTTTTCCTTCTCATCACATCAAAAGGAACTGTGAAGCCCACTTCATTCATCTCCTTTGCTGCCCAGGACTTCAGCTCAGATATGAAGGGGTGACTATAGATCCAGCCCTGACCCCCCTCTCTCCTCCTGGGCCGCCTTGACCAGGCTCTGTGTGCTGCCTCTGTTCCCTCAGTCACGGGGCTGGAGCTCCAGATGGGGAGGCTTTGTCTGGCCCCGGGTGTGCGGCACACACCACCATTAATCCTGCCCTCTGAGAGCCTGCAGAGCACCGTGGCAAATATTTGTGAACCGCCCAAGTGTAGCGTCAGAAAGAAGAGGCCTGTGGGGGGCTGCTGCGGTGAGGTGTTGAATACTGAAGCTGCGGTGAATACGGAGAAGCGGTGCCATGTGTTTACTGATGTCTGTCAGCCACCAGTGCTTAGGTTATGTGAGCCGCTTCACTAATGGTTCGGGTGTTATGTCTCCTGTGCTGGATTACTCCCACACCCTACTCTGCCCTGGGACTGATTGAGTTCACACACGCACGTACAGGCGCAAACACACAAGTAACTTAGTCACATGGGTCTAATGTTTCAAGCAGAGAAGCCAAGAGCATTGACTACACCGTCTCTCCAGCCTCATGCTCCTTTAAATCTCTCATGGCCTTCTGCCTTTCAGATATGCATGCATGCATGCATGTATTCATTTTGCAGCTTTCCTTCATTGCCATGAATAATAAAGGAGTAACCAGGTCAATGTGACCATGCAAAATTCAGCACAATACAGCTAGAGTTACCGATGAGGTCATCTGTGGCGCACTGCGTGTCCTTCAGGTCAATGCAATATCAATACATGTGAAGAGGAAGGTCTGGTCTGTGAGTCTGACCAGCACTGCACGGCCCTCACGTAAGGATGAGGTCAGCTATGAGGTAGGAGGTGGGATACAGCCAAGAAGTTCGTTCATCAAAGCTGCCACCATGATGCAAAACTTCAGAGAGTTGGTTAATGATCACAAAGTTTGGGCAACATATGGACAAATGACTGAAGAGCAGCATTTGGATGGATTTGGATATTAGGACAACAGTTTAATCATTTACTCATGAAGCCACATTTTGCTCCCAGCGTGGTGCAAAACCCTTCAACCCAATTAACCAAAGATATATGGTGCACTGCGGTATGAGGCATTTAGGTGCTATAGGCAGGAACCTTGAGAAGAAACAGACGTATTGGTGTAAAGCCATCTGTCATGATTGGAGCAGTGCTGGACATTATGCTGTCTTTTATTACGCACCTTTAATGATTGGAAAATTTTGAATTTACTCTTGAGGATAACCCTAAACTGAGCTCACACTGCTCCAATTCATTCTCTTTTCCAAACAACCAACTATCCATCACATCAGTCAACAGGTAATCTATATCATGTCTCTGTGTGCTTTAAAAACAGGTACATACTGTGCACATATAATCTCCAACAACAGCCAGGACATGACAGTGGATTAAACAGTAATGCAAACTGGACACGAGAACACGGGTATCGTGTATACGCTGCCCAGGCAACATGAGATTACGGTGGCTTAGAGTGTCATATGGATTCAAATATAACATGATGCTGGGCTCTATAATAGCTGGAGATGTATTTTAGTAAGGACAAGCTGAGCCGCCATCAAATGAAAGTGGATCCGAATGACACATACAAAGAGTGTGTGTAGAAGTGAGAAAGAGATGAGATCGGATACAAAAATAACAGAAGGGTGGCTGACCGCGGGGTAAAAGGCACGACAACCTTCCTATTGGTTAATGCTTAACAGGCTAGCACATACGCAAAGACGTGTGTGTGCACAGTAGGAAACAAAACTGTCACATACACCAGATTTCAGTTTACTCTTTTCTCTTAACCTCTCCACCTGTGCTGAGTTTGCATTTCACCTGACACTGTGCAGATAGAGCAGATAAGACCGATATGAGGGCAGAGATGAGACGTTACACCTGAGCCAACACTCAATGACATTCACAGTAATGTTTGCATCTGAAACCAAAGAGCAAATTTCAGGAAACCCAGATCTGTTTTTTCCCAGCAGCTGAATTTCATCACACCGACTGTGTTTTCACAATACTTTGAGTTGTTGCTGAAATTATAGATCCAGAAGTGCAAGGTGCAGACAAAACATCGTAAACTCAAATTAGAAAGTAATCTGGACTGTAAGGTTCAAAGTCACTGACAAAATGAGTCTCAGATTAGCATTTGATGGTAATTACAAGGCTTCAAGTTCAGAAAGGGCCACGAGATGTGAGCTACCTCACATCTCTTCTTTCATTTAAACCTAGTAGCTACAGAACACGATCCATGACTATTTAACCTTAGATATTCCATATACCCTAGTGTTGTGTCGTTTGCGAACAATTGGTTCAAAAGAACCAAATCTTTTAAGTGAATGCACTGAACCGAATCACTTCCTCAAGAGATTCATTCATTCGTGATTTGGTGAACGAATGTTTTGAACGAATCTTTTTAGTGAACCGATTCCAGTGATTCAGTACATCTAAAAGAACTGCCATGCCCATCACCAATATACCCGTACTAATATTGGCAGAACTGGTTTCAATTACTACGCTCCCTTTAAATGGAATGAGCTGCAAACCGCTCTTAAACTGGAGTCTTTCCTTCATCTTGGAGATTTTAAAGAACTGTTGTCTGATGTTTAAAATAATCGCTGCAACTATTTTAACTGATTCCTTTTTTTTTTTTTGACCTCTTGTTTGTTTGTTTGTTGTGTGTGGATTGTGAATGTTCTCTGCTAAAAACACTGTGTGCATTGTGTATGTATAAAGACAAAGTAAGAATAAGAATAAGAATAACTTTATTGATCCCCGAAGGGAAATTCAATCGTCTGTCGTCTCATTTGTCATGTCTCAAAAGTCATCTAATATTTATAAAAGAGTTGTAAAGTCTGATGGCTGTGGGTACAAATGATCTTCTGAATCTTTCTGACCTGCAGCAAAGAGAGAAGAGTCGTGGTGATGTTGTGGTGGGACTCTTTTCAAACACTGATGCAGAATTGCTGTGGGTAAGACGCTAATGTCAACCATTAACTGCAGTGATGAGGAATGTGGTCTCTGTACATGACGCTTGGTTAAACCAGTCCCCCCTGAGTGCTGAATAAAACATAGGTCGGGGTTAGGGTTAAGATTTTGCGGTGGCCAAATGCATATAAGGGGGGGCATGACCACCCCTCTCAGCCTCGTTGACCAGCCCCTGCTCAATTAATGCTTCAGTATTTCAAAGCAATAAAACACACAAGAAACTGATCCATATATCAGGTTCATTACTGAAAAATAAACAGATTTTTTTGTTGATCTTAGGAAACTTGGTTGTGACTGGAACAAAAGCTTCAAACCTGCTAACACTGCTAAAGCAATGGTTCCTATTAGACCCAAGCTGGAACAAGATTTTTGATCAGTGACATGACAAGTATCTGCTTTTAAGAGGCATATGGTAACCACAGAAGCAGAAGTAGAAGCAGAGAGACTGATGAACTACATTTGCTTTCACTTTGAATTCTCTTTTTCATAAATAGAAAGACCAGCCTTGCCCTTTGTATAAGGAGAGCCAAAATTATAACTCAGGATTTTTCGAGGTTTAGGTTTGTTATGATGTTATTTCCTGTGTTAAGTCCTCTACCCCAAATGAAACCTAAATGGCTACACCCTGAGCGTTTTCTAATGGGTGTTTTCACCTGGCTTTACTGTGAGAAATCACATTTATGAGAGCTACGACAACTCTGAAAGGAGAAGTCTGCCAGTGAGGCAAGGAAAAACACTCAGACCGGCTCATTGTGCCAGAGTGTATTTTTCATACCAGACAAGTGAAGGCACAGTTAGCCAAAACACAGCCTTTTCTCACTATTAAGCAGACTATATAACCATAACCCTAAGGAGAACAGGAGAACTATAGCCTTTATGTTCAGCCAAGTCTTGTGGGTGACACAAGATACTAACACAAGACAAAGCTTTCTCCCTCGCCCCGTGGGTGGGAAGGTTTCTTACTGCATGTGTTTCTGCTGCTTTGTGACGTTGCAGGAGCCTCGGCCTTAGGGGTGAGAATGTGATCGCAGTTTGGCTCTGTTATAAACAAAAAGGTCATGGGAGAGATTGATAGCGTAAAAGGTTTCTTTAAAAATGAAGATGATGAAAAGTTACAGCCTCGTTTTATCATCTTTCAATGTTTAGCTTCACTTTGCCTATCTCTTTCCTCTCTGAGCCCATATTTACAGAACCTCAATAAGATGCAGATTACTGCCTTGATATGGAGCAGCTGCAAATGCTCATGAAAAACAGCTCAACTGAACAGAGGAAACCACCATGATATGTGTATGTTATGGCAACAGACATGACAGATGCTGAGCACATCCTCTGCTCAGTTTGCGGCTGCACAGCAGCAGTTATCACCTCGGCGTACAAAGGCTGCATAATGTTGAGTCACGATCGGCAAACAGCTGCGTATGGTTTCACACTTTACACAGATTAACGGTTCTTTCCAAGCAAGAGGGACACAAAGGGGATTCCCTGGTCACAGCTTGAAGAGCCACTTGATTTTTTTTCCATCGTGTAGCTCTGAAAATCTGCTCTATGTTTGTGTGTGTATGTGTGTGTGTGTGAGAAATAGAGAAAACCCTGAACTGTCAAAACCACCCACTGGAAAGTATCAGTTCTCAACCACAATTATATCTGAGGCCAAATAAACAGGACCTGATAATCCAACCTTCACTTTCAGTCTCTGAGTATCTAAAAAGATTATGCTGGTGTGAAAGGAAGTTTGTCTGATGCTAACTATGTACTTTTTTTCTTGTTGTTTTTTTCTTATCGTCTTTTAAGCAGCCTATTTTAAATGATTCACTTCTGTGTTAAACTGTGGAGTTGTTTCCATTTCCCAAGTTAAGTTGAAGAAAATATCACTTAATTTTTCAATACAACCTCAATGTCATTGTGCAGGTTGCTTAAAGCAAATGAAACTTGTGTAATTACTTGACGGAGTGAGGGACGCCACAACAATTATCTGTCACAATAGCCATTTTTAGTACTTTTAGCGAACAATTCTACATTTTCTACATTTTAAAGCTCCTATGAGGACTTTTTTGATGTTTATGAAACAGATTCAAATTCATATTGATGCCTTTATATGGTAAACAAAAGCAAACAAGACAATCAGAGACAAAATCAACAGCTTTTATACTGTAATTTTTAATGTCTAAAACCAGAGTGGGAGGGTAAGCATCAGCTAAGAAGCTGAAATCACAACCCTGTTTTTATATTTTTTATGTTAAATATTCAAAATCAATGATACTTTGACTAGAAAAAGTCTGTCAATAATAAGAACATATAAGACAACATAAGCAGAAACTGATTTGTCCACAGGGGGCGCCAGAGTTTACCCAAACTAAATCTTCCACATATATATTTCTTCATATTTTATCTTCATTATCAAAGACTTAACATACCATATTACTAATAAACTTATTAATATTCCACTTGTATATTTTATGACAGATTATTTGTCTTAGCTATAATACTCAGTATCAGCTAAGTTTTTAAATAGTCAAATATTTTGGCTAACTGTTTATTTATACCTTGTTGCTGGAATCAGAGTCACGTTCGTCCACTCCAGCACCTCCTCCTGCTGGTGTGGTCAGATGATTGATTTGACCAAACCCAGCTGTGGTGCATGTCACAGGGTGTGGAGAGATTGTGCTGCTACTGCTAGCTGATAACACAGCTAGTGTCAAGCAACAGATATCCCTAAAGTTACCTCTAAAAGTCAACTTAAAAATCTGTTAGCACTGTTAGCTTTGAGGCAAGAAGAATCTCTCTGATATAAAGAGTGATATTTTTGTTTCAGCTGGGTTGATTTGGTTGCTTGTTTGCTCTTTATCTTGAGTTTAAAAAATGTTAAAGTGAAAAGTTAAATAGGTTAACTATTCCTTTAGGGTCTGATAATTTTCTAAAACTCTTTGGGAGCAAACAATGCGTCAAACAGAAACTGTAGGAGCTGTAAAATAATCATGAAAGAGCCTTTGACTGTTTGACCTAATAACGATTACTCGTGATTTGACCATATTGCAACATAAATAAACTCCCTGTCATTGCTGTAATAACAGTCTCATGCTCAATATGCACAGCTTCGTGTGACCCAGATCTAACCACATCTTGAGCGTTATTATTAGCAGTGCTGTCGCTGATGTCTTGCAGAGTCTTTGTTGTCAGCATGTCTTGTAGGTCTGTTTCTCACTGTGTAAGAGTGTTTTGTAACCCACATGGGACTGCTGAGTCAACTTGCTCCTGGTGCAGAAAATGCAAGCACACATGTGCTACCATGCAAACACATCCACACAAGCCATTGGGAGGAAAAATGGGTCCAGCTGAAACCAGGCAACGGCCCAAGTCCCCCCAGCCAAGCAGCCTGTCTTCTGGTAATTGCAAGAGGGATTGGATCCCCATTGAAGGAACTATGGGCCTGTGTTCTTGTATTTAAGAGGCAGTGCTATGTTTCAGCCTGCCATCTGTAGGCTTTAGCGCTCTGATTCTCTCCTGCTCTCACCTCTTTTCTCTTCCTCACTCTCTCTCATTCTCTCTCAGGGGTGGAAAAGTACTGTTGAGGGGCTCAGTGGCCAGAGCTTGCCTGGTCCTTTGTCTCACCGTGGGAGTCTGGTCTCACTTTGAAAAAAGCTTAGGTTAATTATTAATATCTCATTGACTTATAACACACAGCGGGCTTCAGAGGAGCCTGCGGGTCAGAGGAAACTGTCTCTACAGGGGTGGTGAGGGATGGTCGGTCGAGCTTAAGCGTCCAGTGGAGCATCAGGAAGCTCTTAAACCTCTCTTTGCAGATGACAGATCCACTCAATCTGGTCTAGAACTGTGGCGCTTTGTGGTGTTACGACGTGGTATGATATGACACAATGTGTCGCAATAGGATTCTTTCTACAGTGACAATAATAACAACAGGCATTAATACAGTGCAGCTGAGAAAGTATACTTGAATAATCTGGAAGTGCGACTGTCCAAGAATCATTACTGGTTTGTTAACGGAACAATACAATACTATAGGATACGATACCACCCGACACGATACGATACGATACAATACCACCCGACACGATGCGATGCGACAGGATACAATACCACACAACACGATATGATACGATACCATTTGTTGCGATACGATGTGATACGATATGATACGATACGACACGATACGATACCACCCGATGCGATACGATACAATACCACACGACACAATACGATGAGATACCACCTGACGCGATACGATATGATACGATACCACCCGACACGATAAGATGCAATACGATTTGATACAATACAGTACGATAAGATGTGATGCCATACAATACTATACGATACAATACCATGCAATACAATGCGATACGATTTGATACAGTACCAAATGGTGCGATGCCATACAATATGACATGGTACTATACACTACGGTAAGATGCGACGCCATACAATACGATACAATATGGTGTGATATGATGCAAGATGAGATGAGAGGATTCGATACGGTAAGGTGAGGTATGATACAATATGATGGGACACTATACAATAGGGAACAATATATTGCGTTACGTTACGTTATGTTACAACACAATAAAATGTGATGCAATATGTCATGATACAATGTGAAGTTGCTTAATATTTTAGCACAAGGCAAGACCCAACATGACATGATAGGATACAATACGATATGCTATGATACAAAAATAGACAATATGATACAATATGATGTGCTACGATGTGGTAAGATCTGGTACAACACAACATGGAATGGTAATATGTGATACAATACCATACAGAACGTCACAGTATATTATATCATTATACCACACAGTACCATACTATGAGATACAATATGATGGGTACAGTACAGTGTGGAATGATATGATATATTACAGCACAATATGATAAAATACATACAATACTGTGTAATAAGATGCAACATAATATGATATATGATTAACTCTTTGTAGCAATATAATACAACACTCTTTGGGGTCTATGAAGTCCAAGTCAGGGCCAGAAATTAAGCTTGAGCTGCCTTGCTGACCCTTAATAAAAACACCTAAAGAGAAAATTATTGCAGTCCCAAAAAGAGATCGTCAGAAATAAGTACTGGAGACGTCCAGAGTTTAGTGCAGAAGATTTCATTGAGTACACCTCAGTCAGAAGCCAATAAACTCAAAATATGCATGAATGCCAGACTTTGTATGTCTTACAAGTGACATGGCACTACTGAAAGGAGTGCTCTGTTTAAGCGAATGTTTGAGTGTCAAATACTGTCTGCTTGGGACTAGAGAAGCGTTGTAATTTAATCTGTAGCAAATGATGGTGATCTAGTTATGAAATCAAGTTAAAAGTTCATCTTCTGTTTTACAAATGCAGCCTTGTACTTCTCAAATGTCAGTCTATATAAATCAGACAACTCAAATTTTTGTGCAAATATAGTTCTATTAAGCATATAGAGGGACAACGGAGAAGAGGAGGCAAGTTGTGCCAGTGGCTTGACACGTCTGTATGGACATTTTCTTATTTTACGTTTTTACTATGAGTCACCATTGGAATCTACTGCAGCTGTTCAGTTGCTGCTTCAGTTTGTCAGAGCTGTCATACTCTGTGAGCACTGTGCTAGTAAATGTTTGACACTCAATCTAGTTGCATATTCCATAGAAAGATAAAAATGTGGATGTAAATGTTAGAGGGGGAAAGACAAAAGAGGGAAAAGCAGTTTTGGGTCCCAAGCCAACAACAGAGTGCAGGCTGGATAAGGGAAGCAGAACGCTGGAGTGATTGTGTTTACAGTCCCGACAAAGCTGCCGGTTCCAATCCATGGGAAAATGGGATGAAAACATAGCTTACAGTAACTTAATTAGCAACACTGTATAGAATCATGGTAAATGCTTCCATTAAACTCAAGACTGATGTTATCTTGCAGCATATGTGTTATAGTTAAAGTTATTTGAGAGAACGTCATCTTTTAAGTTATAACACTCCGTTGCTCTTGAAAAGTTGATTTAAATGCAAAAATTATTTTTACAGTCCCGAGGCTCTGAATATAACCTAATCTAACTATCTCTGGATAAGAGTAGATAAGGTAAGAGCATGCAGAAAGGAAAAGGATCCAAGCAACAAAACCTAGCAATCATGTGTTATCTGTTAAAAAGAAAAGTAATCCAGCAGTGGAAATGGAAACCTTATGCAACATGTAATTTTCTGATTTACCATAACAGTATTCTGCACAATGTTCTCCTGACTAACAAAGGAGTTATATGGACAGGGGCTGGAATGAGCAAATGAAACAAAGACCAGCAGTGTTTAAGTCATTCTGTGTTACTATGACAACTATTGCAGACTTTTTTAGAAGTTTGTGTATATTTCAGATGTTAGCGTTATTTTTTGGGCCTATGGGCCTCTTCAATCTATGTTCAGCAAAATGGTAAAAATGGTATCAACCTGCCAATATACCATAACATATAGAAAACCAAAGGAAAAACTCTGTAGACTGAGTATGTCTGTATAGATCAGTGATCTACAGACAGTGTGGTTCGATCGAAGTATGACAGATGGTTGGTTGGATGACAGATTGATGGATGGATGGATGGATGGTGGGATGGGTGTAAGGGTGGATGATTGGTTGGTTAGATTGTTGGATGATTGGTTGGTTAGATGGTTGGTTGGATGGATGGATGGTTGGTTTGTTGGTTGAATGGATGGCTGAAAGGATGGATTGATGGTTGGTTGGATGGATGGAAAGATAGAAGGATGGATGGTTGGTTGGATGACGGATTGATTGATGGATGGATGGATGGATGGTGGGATGGGTGTAAGAGTGGATGATTGGTTGGTTGGATGGATGGTTGATTTGTTGGTTGAATGGATGGCTGAAAGGATGGATGGATGGTTGGTTGGATGAATGGAAAGATAGAAGGATGGATGGTTGGTTGGTTGTTGAGGACCAGCGGATTGATTGTTGGATTGTTGGTTGGATTACAAATGAATCATTGAATGGATGAATAGTTGGTTGGATGGACAAATGGATGGATGGATGGATAGATGGATGGATTGAAAGTGCTGTATAAAGTTGTTCTAGACAGATCTATAGATGGTTCATACATAGGTCCAAAGATAGATAGATAGATAGATAGAAAGACATTGATATTATTAGAGATTCCTTCCAAGATTCCTTTGAAATAAATGAATAATTGAAACATTAATAATTAATATAGAGTTCAAAAAATACAAAACCAACAGCTGAGGTCTACACACTTTGAGATTTCAGTCCCTCTGATGATCCAAGGCTATCAAAAAAGGCCCCCTGTGGATTTAGCTCCAGTTCAAAGGCCATGTGACATTACTGTGCACATACTGGGACTCACTGTATGGAGAAAAAGCTCTCTGTTATGTCACAGAGGAAAACAGACGTCAGTGACACATTTGGAAATGCTGTGTCTTTCAAGTTGATGACATTTTTGACCCATAGCCTCTGCAGAGGAGGGAGAAATGAGACAACTTCTTCCAGTTTAAAGCTAACATGCTAACAGGGGTTAACAGGACAGGGCGTGGGATTGTTACTGTTGTACCAGACGCTATAAAATGCATGAGTGCTTGTCTACAGTGAAAAGAAAAACATTTCATGAAGGCCAAGACAAGACAGAAAGTTCAACTCAAGCACAACCTGCTCAGACATGACTGTATTTCCAATCTGTTTCTGCGTACGGAGAATTTAAGGTATGGCAAGAAGTTTTGTAACTGTCTGTGTGATCCATACAAACAAGGCTTTGAAATATGATAAGTTACAGACAACCCTCCCTGTCTGACGGGCACACACTTGAAACCACACACATTATCACAGCCTGTGACGCTATAGGACACCAGAGGAGCGCTGAAAGATAAGCTAGGCTGAAATACAGTATGTGCCCGAGAGCCATCCCAGGGGCAGTTCATAAAGGCCAAACCCACAGCCATGCAAGGCTCCCTGTCAAGGTTCAGTGTCATGGATCTGCAGGGGGACAAAGCCCATCCATTAACCCAACACTGCTCAGCTGTGTTCAGTCTGATGTCTGTTTGATTCTGAAGAAAGGTTATCTGAGGAGGAGGCACTTCATGTCAGAAAGGGGAAGCATCACCTTTCTGCGGACACTCAAACACGATCCAGTGAAATCTTTCACTCTTTTATTTTTTTTCCATAGAGCTTTTCACTCACACAGCTATTCAGTGCAGGTATTTATTCAGGGTGGAGGATTGTTAACTCTCTTTTGCATAAGTGTCCTGAGTACACAGAACAATAAAAACAGACGTATTACATGTTGCAAACAGTGTTAAAGCAAACAAGGTAAGACAATGATGCCAAAACATGCAAAGCAGAGACTGGAACAGAAGATTATAACAGATGGAGGAACACAAATATAAATCCTTTTTATAGTGTTCTGAATCAGATGAAGTTTTTTGTTGTTCCAAGTAAAAGAAGAAAATCTAAGACCTGTTTTCTAATCTAAGACCTCTTGTGTTTCATTGGTTTGGTCCTATGTAAACTACTAACAGCTCCATATTTTAAATAAAGTTGGATAGAGCTGAAAACACAAGAGGTCTTATATCTTGTGTAGTTGTCTGATTCCCTGTAATGCATGAAAGATATGTCCAACTTATCGTGTAGAGCAGATCTTGCAAGATTGATGTTCGAATCTAGCAGAGTGATTTACATGCGCTTTCAGGAAGTGAAACTTATGAAAATACATTAAAGATTTATTACGCTAATCTCAGTCACTAAATTTTATTAAGCTGACAGCATGGATCTACCTCTTTAAGACGCGGCTTGTGCAGGCTGATGGGCCATTTGCTCTCCTAATGAGCTGAACTTCCTCCTATATGCTGCGCCGATAATGGCTTTATTTGCATGACTTCAAATAAGAGGACCAGTAGAAATCTGGAAATCCCCATTCATCACAGGTCATGTACCACTCACCCAGATGCTTTTTTTCCCATGATTATCTGAGCAGGATTGATTACAGCTAATTTGTGCAGGAAGACGTTAGAGAAGTTTGCCTCAAAATAGCCATTTTTCACGGCGACAAGCTGCGCCATCCCATGCAACTGCTGAACTGCTCATATAGAAGACCTAATACATCACGTTAGAGGACATCAAACTGGCATCAAACCACATCCCGTTGATTGTGCCAGGCCTGGTCGCCTGTTCTAATGACTCTCATTACAGGTGTAGCAGTTACAGTGATAGCAATGAATATTTGCATACACGACCATCTGGTGAGAACGGTGTGTTCTGACTGTTGTTATTCACCGCATGGGTGCATGAGTTTGTGTATTTTTGCACGGGTACAACAGCTCCTTTGATAAGGTGTGTGTGCATTGGAGTGTGGTTTATACTGCACGTTACACAGTTTACACATATCATAAAAAAAAAAATTTAAGGCAACATGTTGACAAGAGGAAAGCAGGGAGTGCTTTCAAGAACAGGAACTCCACCTGCAGGACCTAAAGTGGTAAATATATGCACAACCAACTTGCCCCAACTCTAACTGAACTGAATCTATGCTTTGCACAGTCTATGTTTACAAGTCATAAAAATGCAAGATATCTGGGCAATCACGATTGCAAAATACTGCCTAATTTTGAAGTAAATGCACCTTTCTAACATCCATTAGCTTATACTGATTGCCACTAGATGACAGCTCACATTGGCATACATCCACCAGCTAGTCAGCATTACACTTGGATTTCGTATCTACACAGAAGCAGGTTCTCTTTCACAGAAGATAAAATCTTGCATCGCCATGTTTCTACAGTAGCACAGAATAGACAAACTACTAACAAACGTTTTCTTTGTATTCAGTGAGAGGCCGCCAGAAATTCCCAGTCCTGATCTACTGAGCGTGGTCTAGACCTGCTCTTTTTCTTTGGAAAGCATATTGGGATGACGACTATTGTGAATTTGCGCTATATAAATAAAATTTGATTGATTGATTGATTGACAGATGACCATCAATTGGAGAAAAAAAGAGATATGTTCTTGACAAATCTTGACAAATGCAGGATCACACTTGTCATGCATCTTGGGAAGTCGCTGTTGCTTTGGGGAGTTGACTAATTGAAGGGGTGAGCAAGGGAGTGATTCAAACCAGAATCTGACCACTGGATGATTCTAAATTTTCCCCATTTTACACACTGTGCCTTTAATGAAAACTACTTTTTTCTTTAAATTAGTGAGGGGTTAACAAACCCCTATAGGCAGTTACATCTGAAGAAAACTGAATCATAAAAATAGAAGCATAATGGAGATTCAATTTAGAAACTACCATATAACGTAGCTAATTTAGGTTCAGCCTGTATTTGCCTGTTGTTTTTCCCGATATATCTACAAGACTGGCAAGAAACATATTTTACAAGGTCCCACAATGCCATGCTCTCAAAATTGACACACAGGAGAATTGTGTGTTGTTCCCCTCCACCAAGGCTGCACTAAACTAACCATAGCGTGTTATCATGTTCTCCAACATAAATGCTATCATTAGCATGTTTTTTTTTCTCCCATGGCTCATTTATGCTCGACATCTGATACACAAACAGATAGGGACGGAGCCTTCAGCCAGCCCAGAGTTCATTTTGTCTATACTACTACAGACCAAACGTCTAAACAAGACACGCAAAACACTCCCAGGGAAGTAGTGGACTGGGCAAGTAGATTGGAAACCGCTAACATGTATGTGGTGTAACCTCGTGCAGGTGGAGGAGAACTGAGTGCTAGTTTGCCTGGAGTCTAGGAGAAGTGGAGGTCTGTGCAAGATATGGATAAATAAGCCTTGGGTTGCATGATCTTGGAGTATACCCGCTGTAATGCAACCTATTTACTAAAGAGGAAAAAATAATCAGCACTACCCTGCATGGTCACCATAAGGCCACGAACATCCCTAATGGCCACTTCCTGTTACTTGAGAAAGGACCGCAGACAGAAAGGGCATGAACCCGGGTGCCTTCTGCCAACTTTTTCATAGTTTCTTCATCATCAGGGACTAGTTTTTCTCCAAGGATGTTTAATCTGGTACGGCCTGCTTGCCAAACAGTTTCCCAACACTCACATTCGCAGTCAGGCGCTGACCACAGGGAGAGGTTTACAATGTAAACTATTTTGAAGATGGCTACTGCTGTGTGAAAATGTTTGTTGTGCACTCTTTGCCAGATTCAAACGGGAATCCAGTAAGGGCTTCCTCTAACTTACTGGCAGGTATTCAAAATACCCATCAATACTCTTCTGGCATCCAACACATCACTCCACTATTTTCTCCTCAGTGGAATTACAAATGCCAATACTGATGCTGTGTGTTTGAATCAAAAATGCTGAAATTCAACTCTTTTGATTATCACAGACACACAGAGATAGACTACATGCCAGGACTGAAAAGGCTCAGGAACTAATTGTTCCGGCTAGCAGTACCAATTACGCTGGTTTACAAATAGTACATGAAGGAACGGCATGTTGTGCAGCTGCTTTTATGGAGTTCAAAGCTCACACGATCTGTCCTGATGTAGTTCTTTACAGAGAGGGAAACAGAGCAAGAATACAAGGTCGCGAACTGTGTATTTCAAAAACATAAAATACAGAGCAGCATGAAAACATTCCCATATCATTCTGATCTACTTGTATCAAGATAGAATGACCACTGACATGACAAAAAGCAGCTTTGTGTGGGGCGTTTATCCACGCTCTCTTACAGCAATGTGAATAACTAGCTATAACGAACTCAAGCGAGCTAGCCGTGATAGCCAATCAGCATGAAGTTTCCCTGATGACATATGTCAACAATGGACCAGCTGATTCATGTATGAAAGTGTAGCTCAAATCTGTTTTTCTTAACTCCATTTCATTCTCATTTCTTAAGATGCCAGTTTAATGGTCAACAATGGAAACATGTTTAAATTACCGGTAACTCAACTTTCATGGTTGGGAGCATCTTGTGAAGATGGTCATCACTCCTAGAGGCTACACTATCATCAGGTTGAGTGTAGGAGCTAAGTCGATACTTTAAGCTACTGAGATGCTTGACCCACAGAAGCCTGGTTGACGTGCCGCGCTACTGGTTTCTTACGCTACCGTGAGTTTTTGATGATCAGTGAAAGTCAGGACGCTGTTCCTCAGATGCAGCAAACCGAAAATTATTATGATAAACATGACCAAAATCCATTTTGCAATTGATATTGAGCAACACTAAAACAAAGAAAACCACTACCTTTATTCCTGAGCCCCAGATAACATGACAGCGACACCTTAGGCAGGCAAAGTGAACTGCAACTCATAATATGGTATCACATCAACATATTTGGCTCCTACATTCAGTACTCTGGTTTTTGAAACAGAGCACAAGTTCACCAACAGGGGAGAAGTGACAGTTATGCTGCCTCCTACAGGTGAAAAATAAACAAATAAGTGCACCCGTGATACAATATTATTTTATAGAGCTCTTATGCTTTTGTTAAACTCCATCTTAAGCCAACAGTGTTTTATTCCTGAGAGAATAAGAGCTTCAACAAAGTAATCTGAAACTATCTTAGCAAACAAGACTTAGCATTTAGTCCTGATTCTGATTTTCCAGTTTCAGAGACTATGGACATGATTTAGTGTTACTGTCCTGAGATTTGATTTTACAGCTTTGATGTTTGAGGTACAATTTAACACACAAAGTAACTCCAGAGCTACAGGGCCTGAGCAGTAGTTAGACAAGAGTGCAGTGTTTGCAAATTGTTCCCATGCTGATCAGCCGTTAGATCCACATGCTAACAGTCTAATTTTAAACCACGTTTTCATGTAGGCTCCCATTAAACCTGTTCTATATTAAAGAGCAAAGGGTTCTCTTGCTCCCCGAGGGAAGTGCGCTAACTTACACTCATTATTCAAGAACAAGGGAAAGTTGACTGTTAGCAGAGCACTGACTCCATTACAATTACCCCTATACAGTATTACACCTATAGTCCCGACAACTGTTTCTACTAGACACGGAGACATCATTTAGCTTGGCACCAGTTCTCGGATTTAATCTGCTGGAGCCATCAAAATCACATAATAAGCACATTTTTCAGGGCACATAAAATGAAAATGAGCGGTTACATGAGAAAAGATTTGACTTCGCATTATAATGACATGCATTCATTTATTTAAAAGTCTCGTGAGGAGTTATTAAACTGACCAGAATTACCTGAAATGACCTGTAAAAGAAACCACCGGAAACATGACTGATATATTCTATATTCTCATTTTAAGTGCTCATAACAGCCTCTGACAAAGTGAGTTACAGCCTGCTGCAAAAGTAATATCATGACAAATATTCACAGTGGATGTTTTGGGAGGCAGAAGGGGGTGGGACATCTGCCTTTGTACAATTATGAGGGGAAAATCTGATCAAAAGGAGGGTTAATTATTGTTAAAGCATGCTGTCCAAATGTATCTACTTTTACAAGGATGTATTGTACAAAGACAAAAGTGCACTTGAAGGATCCAAAATAGGCTTAAAGTATTTAAGGTTTTCGTGCAGTCCGTTCTGAGCAACAGTAAGTCAAACTCTTTTTAAAATAAGCCGATATGATTAGATTTGTCTCTGATTTGTATCTTTTTCCCTTCCTGTCTTGTCACCAGGCCTACAGTATTTGAAGCAGTGTTTTCCACGAGCCGGAGGCCTGCTCAGCATCTGGTTGACTTGGAAACAGCTGTGTTTTCACAGATCTGACTGAGGGTTTATGGCTGCTCCCAGCAAGCCGGGGTTCACAGGGCCTGTTTAGCAGAAAAATGTTAAATCTCACGTCTTCCTCCCTCGCTCGCAGTCCCATGGATACACTCTCGCTGTCACAGTTTTTCTTCCTGTTCTCAGGGAATGTATAAACTATAAAAGGTCTAAGAGGTGAAGGATCTGGGATGTTTTGAGATGATGTTAAACGAGAAAATCACAACTAAGGAGCTCCATAAACTCTACAATGATAAACAAATTTCAGAGTCTATTTGTGACTCTTTTTCTGTGGCAAAAATCCAAATGTCTTCATTTACCTCTGACACAGAAACACAAAACATGTGTCAGCCAAAGCAGCTAGTGCAGACAGAGATTCAAAACAAGGACATCTATCTATAAGTTAGTTAAACATCCCATCCTTAAATCATTGATATTGGTTTACGCAAGATTTTGAAAGAGCACTACAAAGGTCGGGTATTGATGTTGGATGTGAAGGTCTGGTTTTGAACCCATGCTCTAATCCTCCCAAAGGTGTTAAGAGGGGTTAAAGTCAGGTCTGTGAGCAGGTTGATCAAGTTCATCCACACCATCATCCCACAGCTAACACTGTGGACCCTGATTTGTGCTCTGGGGCACACCTCTCTGCGGACTGTAGCTACAAAGATCGAAATGTCTGTTTATCCTGAAGCAAAAGAAAAATAACCTTTTGGGGCAACAAAGAGGACCAGCCAAAACCCTGACAAACAACCCAAGATCATTATCTCCTCTTTTTTGAACATTCCTGGCATCTAACAAACCCCAAATTTAATGAGACAGCTAAGGGTTAGGCACAGCTCAGACCAGAGTCCAGCAGTCGTCTGCTTTCAAATACCACAGTTGACTCTTGGCGTTGTGCACGATCTGTCTCTTGAGGGAAAAAAAACATATTTCATAAAGTCCTTGTTTTACAGATGATGTGCTGCTGTTTCTTTCAGGAGTAATTTTGAGCTCTGTACTTTTCGACAGATGATTCAAACAAATCTGGGACTCTGAAAACAGTTTGTCAAACTCTGTGAGACCATGCACTTCTTGGCTGAGCTGTTGTTGCTTATAGTTGACCCAGTTTATAAAAACAGCACTTAAAGAGGACAAGAGCAGCTACAGTCATGGAAAAAAAATCTTAAACTGACTTGTGGCAAAAGTGTCAGGCTATGATTGTGCCAAATTTAGAGTTACTAAGCTTGAGGAGGACTCACTCTCTTTATTCTAACTGTTTATGGGCTGGATTTGACTGAACTGTTGGTAAAGAACTTGGTCTAACTTATGAAGCCAATAAAAAGATGGTAGGTGTGAAACCTTAAGAAGCCGTTGAAGTCAGCAAATCAAGCTGGGTTAACAATGACTTGAGATACCTGATTTCAAACAGCAGAGGGCGCTCATTATGTCTCTATGTTTATATTCTGTGCACATATTTTGCAAGTGGTGTCTACGCAACAGCTGAGAAGGTAACCGAGAGGGTAAAAGAAAGAGCGGTACCAGTTAGTGTAATGTTGGATAATTTGCCTTGTGTCCGGAAACCAAATAACTGCTATTTCTTTTTTCTGTTATAAAACCAGAAACAGGATAACTGTTTGCCAGTCTGAATCAAATAAATCCAAAACAAAGTTACATGGCTTTTATTCTGAAAATTTATCTTGTCAAGCCTTCTGTTTAACCATAGTTTTAATCTTTGACCAAAATGAGAAATGAGAAAATGAGAAAAAAAAAATTGGGGCTTTTTGTGTGACACAGAAAACCAGATTTACCACATTACTCAGATTGTTGTTTTTTGGTGTTTCAAGAGGAGATCACTTCATTTTTGGTTCAAAACCATAAAACAAAACCATAAGATCATTCAATTCAAAACGGTTTAAGAAGGAAAAAAGCAAAACCAAAGAAAAAAAAAAAGAGGGACCAAAGATGCTTTGGTTTTGGTTTATATGATTCATTGGGGTAAAACGGTCATCCCGTTTCAAAGAAGAACTAATAATTCTTTCTTTTTCTGGATCATAAATGAATAACAAATTATCCAATAATACCCTGATCGGTTGCAAATTATGTCACCGTGACCCAGGAGCTGATGGACACTACAGCGTTATTTGATTGCACTGATCAGGAGACACCATGTGACCAATTGCGCATTGTGTATGCCTACTTGATGTATAACTTTGTGTTCCTGCGTTTCAAAAAATAAACTAATTTCTTTCACCCAGTTGAAGATTTGATCCAGCTGAACCACTTGTAGCAGATATGTTTTCTCTGCAGGAAACACTCCATTTATTCGAACCACTTAGTTTCTCTAGAGAGGAAAACCATGGACAAGTCCAAATGTAATTTAAAGTGACATAATGAATGTCAGTACATAAAGCTGAATTGCTTAACTGTGAGATAAAATCAAGTCAAATAAAGCAGACACATCATGCCCAGCCTGTTGAGAGTAGCCATTAGTTTTAAAAAAAATGTCTCTCCTATACTTGCTGTGACTGACACTGCGTACTGTCTGCTGGTGAACTCATTAACCGGCACAGAATGTACATGTAACACACATTCACAGACATGCCAGCAACATACCCAAACCCTCACAAACACGGGAGTGGAAACACACCCACACCTTAGTGTCACACAGACAGGAATAACTCTGCTCTGACACAGGACAGCTTTTTACGCTGAGATGACTGTGCTCTTAGTGCAGGATTAGAGTCGACTGATGCTCAAGCAGATTACTCAGTGTGGTCACATGACCGCAGACCTGCATGCCAGACCCAGGCATTGGAGCAGGTCACCCAGCATGGCGCTCTTTACACTAATCTGTGCTTTAGTGCCAAACACGGTTATAAGAAAATAAGAGAAGAGGAGGTTTGAGGCCCTTCACATCCAAATACATACTTTCTGTTATTTTGTTCTGTTATATACAATATTATGAGTTCACTTTGATGTGAATACATAGTTCAACAATCTCAGAATAATATTCCCTAGCACAGTATTGGGAATTCATCATCTACAGTACATAGCAACATTAAAAATTGGGAGAATCTGGAGAAATCTCTGCTCAAGAGGGGTAAGGGCTAAAAACCAAAACTGGATGACTGTGATCTCCAGGTCTCAGGCAGCGCTACATTCAAAACAGTCATGACTCTGTAGTGGAAATCTCTGCATGGGCTCAAAACAAATCTCAAACACTAAGTTCATGGCGGCAACTTCTGAAACCCAAAAGGAAAACGGTCGTTTGGTCTGATGAATCAAAATTTGTGTCCACTAGAGCAAAATATTACACAATACCTTTTCAAGGACAAACTTGCATAATATGGCAAGATGTAAAACCACGTTTTGCACGCATTACAACTGCATGGTTCTGTAGCCGAAGAGTTCAAGACTAAAATTTTTCATGGGAACATTATCTAGATCATTGGTTTTCTGCTGCATTGAGGTAATAATTCTACATTTGACACGGCTGCAAGTATTCCCCTTCCATTTCCATAAATATCTCCCATAGGTACACACATACACCTTGGGCTAATGTTGTATAACCCACAGAAACAACATCAAAATACAAGTTACGCTGTTGAACATGCAATGAAACAAGAATAATCTTGATAATAAAATATGTAGCTCTACAGCAGTATTTCCTCGCCCTCTCAGCTGCTCTGTTCCTCTCTAATAGCCTTAAGAACCACATATATCTTCTAAAACATTCAGCCATATGTTCCTGTAATTACACCATATGAAGGGCGCCTCAGTAATCTCCAGACTCGGGATCATAAATCTTTGTTAACTATGACCTTGTGGGAGAGAATCATTCAACATGTGGAGTGAATAAAGTTATTTTCAGAGGATCTCCAATCAAATAAACAAATCTGGAGGAGTTTTGAGAATGGGGTGGTTTGGTTCACAGGGAGATTGTGGGCCGTGGAGGAAACTTTGGATCTTAATTCTGGTGTGAGGGGGCCCTCTACTGACTGAGAAGAGAACCTGTTTTTGTATTCTGACTGAAACAACACCAATACTGCTTCAAGATTTATAGAAGCTTTTAGGATTTAAGATAAATGAGCTTAATGTTTTTTTTAATACTAGGATGTCATACATATTAAGATTAAAGACAAACATAATCTTTCATTTCTACTCCCATGCAACTAAACCACATGGTCACATGTCCACTGACTGAAATAAAACTACAAAACAGGGGGTAAAACTCAGCTGCAGAGCAGGGCACACTGGCACGGTTAAAGAAAAGCTCAACCTGTTACCAATAAGAACTTATTTTTACTTTTGGTTAACTGATGGTTGATCATTTCAGGACATCACTAACCTGTACTTTCCAGTCCTGACTTGCACGCCTTTCATTCCACAGTGTTGGGCTCCACCGACATCATTTACCAGATCATCACCGATCATCAGCACCTGCAGAAATAAAGAGGGAAGAAAAAGAAATGACTCGATATATGTGGATGTTGAATGGGTGCACTTCAAAATGGGATGCATGAGTTCGCAGATGCAAAGGACAAAGATCTTTATTCGTTGGCAAAAAAAATGAGTGACATGAACAGGGGCGTGCACACACTTTCAGGGGGCCCAAAGCCCAAAAACGGGTGATGGGGGCTAAAAAGGGTGCATTTAACCCATCCTCATATTTTACAAACAGAGATATTGCCACACTTTTATTTATTATGGCACACAAATGCATCATGCTATGTTCAACAAATTCATCATGTGGACGTGAAACTCGTTCCTTAAGCACTTGTTAAGACCAGTTTGTTCACTCTAGAACAGTAGGTGTCTACTATATCAATTGCAGATGCCTGCAATTCAAGATTCTTTGAATAGACTTCCACATTAAATACTCAAATCAGACTTTTTTCCTCTTCCTCTTTTTTTGAAGCTACCACAGTCTTGAATTTCAGCTTACTGGTTTCATGTTGAGTGATTTTCTGTGATGGGATGAGAATGTTTAACTTCTCTTTGAAGATTATGTAATGCTCCTGCAGTAACCTCACAGTATGACAGAGCTGTGATTGGTTTTAGTTTTGTAATTCAACACCAGAGCTGTGCCACGGCTGCACCAAACAACTGAGCCACACCTGTATCTAACGCGTTCAGTACAAACCACAAAAATGTTAAACCGGCAGGAACGCCAAAAGCTTATGTAACAGAGTGTCAAGGTAACAGAGCTTTGTAAATACTTCTCTGTTTTGGTAATCCTTGTGGAAACATTTACTTATTTGTGATCACTTTAAAACAAGACTGAGAGCCTGATTCAACCAACACACCTTAAGAGGGTGTTTGGGCTTGGGTTTAAATGGACTGGTTCAAGTGCAAAATCAAGTATAGAGGCTACAAAGGTGTCAGCTCATTTTTAGGTGGTGTAAAGTTGCTCTAAAGCAAAGCACAAAACCCTCAGTTTCTAAGGGCTCGTCCTTATGCAGCCCCTTTAATTTGATGCTCTAATACAGCATGTCTACAGGGTCCTGTACATGTACATCTTTTTTTTTTATTTAGGTGTCTACTATCCTGTAATTCTACTATATGTAAGAATAACATCCATTTATATCGAGTGTTTGTCTTGTTTTCTCCTTTGTTAATTTTGCTCACTACTTCAGTATCATCAGCTTGGTGGATGCAACAGTTTCTTTAAAAACTATCCACTGAGTAGTTCCTGTTATTACACAAAATCAAGTCTACACCACCGGTTGTTAGTTAGAAAAACATGGCTCCCTGTAGCGGTCAAAAGTTGGCTGACAAAGAGAGCAAGTATTTTAATAATTACATCTGAATAAAATAGATCTTTAGATGAGGGTTCAGGTGTTTTCTTTTCAGTGACAGACACATGAGTCAAGGCAGTTTTCTCAGGAATTTAGAAGAGGAATGAAAGAGATTCTGCAGTTTCGTTTTGACCCAACCAACAAGGAATTTCTTCTTTGCACAAACATCTCTGCATTAAAGCCTGGATTAGTAACTGAAAGTTTAAGGGAGATCAGCAGATGCCTCTAGGTACAAATTCATCTGATATCAAAGGAAGAGAAATCCATAAAAATTAGCAAAGCTTGGACTCAAATGAACCCAGTTTTTCAAAGTGTGAACTGCCAGCTTCAGAAATAGAAAAGCTTGGACAGACTCGGGGCGACAGAACGCCATCTTTCCTCTCAGGATACACTGAGATCAGCTGGTAGCGGGCAGAGACATCAAACACATGTTCAGACACCTGCTGAGTGAGTGAAAAAAAAACACAGGAGGGAGCGTCTATGCTCTGCTCTGTGATTGGTTCCAGCATGTAGACTCTATCAAGTGTCAGAGTCTCCTCTACTAGCTTAGGGAGGCTAAAAGTAATTGAATACGACTATAAGAAGAGCTGTTAAAGTACATTAAGAAGTAAAGCTGCAAAGTTTAAGAAAAAAAAACGCAAGAAGAAAGACTGAAATTTAGTATCAAACACTTTCCAAGTTGTTGAATTCAATCAGTGATTTTTCAGGCAAAAATGACCAAATAAAATCTTTTCTTTTGTAAATTCAAAGAATATTAGAGATTTTTGTAGTTCAAGGTTGTAAATTTTAATATACTAGAGGGATGTAAAGACATGTTTTTGAGCTTTGGAATAGTTTGATAAGTGTTTTTGTAGATTTTTACAGACCACAATATTAATAAACTGATTATAAATTTGTCTGCAGTTAATTTACAAGACCAGAGAGAAATTTTCAGATGATTATTAAACAGATTGTGATTAATATTGAAGCCTCACTGTGACCTACAAAAGCACACAGGACCATGAGAATGAAGAGTGATTGCTGTTTTATATAAGGCTGTGTTAAGGTCAGGGTAGGTGTTGAAACAGCCTTTCTTAAACTGTCAGTTTCTGAGAAAGTGTTCATTAGTCACAGTGCATTCAAGCAGTTTAATGTTTATTTACTAATCTTAGAAAACAAAATATTGTCAGACAAAGTGTGTCTTCGTGAATCTAGGTATATACTACAGCGTACACTTTTACCACTACACATCAGAGGTAGCATGAAGAAAAAAGATTGACCTCTCAATCCTAGTCAAATCAGATTACTTCTCCTTTAACATCCAACAGATTCCTGTAAACGTATGTCTTTAGAGACTGTTGTGCTGTTGTTGCAAAACATTTTTGGCCTTTTTATTTCTTGGAATTGCAAGCGCACTGCCCGCACAGACTGCTAAATAGTTCTCCCTTTGAGCCAAGTGACAAATACTAAATTGAGAATAGTTTAGAAAAGTTAAGTGCATACCCACCATTTTAAATACTTCACCCTCAATGAAGAGTAACTCTAGGTTTCCTGGCTCACCTCCCAGAGTAGTCAAGGACTCAAAGAAGTCACAGTGTGGGAGAATTCCCACAGCAAAGCTCAGCTTAATATTGCTCTTTCTGGCTGAGATTAAATTTGTGTAACTGCAGAAGCATTTAATTCTCCTATACTATATTTTGCTGTTACTTACCTCATGTGGTTGTAACCCCATGTCATTGAGAACACTCTGGAAGAACATCGGTGAAGGTTTTCCGATCACTTCGGCCTTTAAATCACAAGCATACTAAAGGGGACAAACATTGACAACAATAAGCCATAGTTGACATGTACTAAACTGCTGATATTTCAATGCTAAGTGATGATATATTTTTACATAGATGTAAATTATGCATCTAATATACCTCCAGTGCCTTCATGTAAACACCAACATCTAGTTTCAACCCGTCTGTCTCCTTGTAGTATCTCCTGAGGACAGAAACATAAATATTTAGTTTGTGACTGTCTGAGTATTTCTTATCCCCACATATAATGCTTGAAATGAGATGTAATGTTGTTATACACTCGTACCCTTGGCCTAGGGAGAACAGCAATGGTTTCTCCAGGCCTATAAGGACCCTGAATGCATCATTAAGGTTAGCATAGGAGAATTTTTCAGCTGCGTCTCCGATCACCACACAGTTCGGGTTGGTTTTGTCAACAGTGTCGAACTCGGGTAGAAGTCCTGCAAAAGGGTGAAAACAGAGTTTAATTCCGTACATCACCAGATATAATTTTAACTTTTTCATTTTATCAACAAGTCCCATTGGTGTTATTTTCAATGAACAGTTTGAAGCATTACCATCATACACCAGCAGGTGGGGCCGTAATCCTCTCTCCTTCAGGACAGCCACGACTGCAGGTGCCGGAGAGAAGACCTCAGGCACACATATATCAAAGCCCAGTCTTCCCAGTTTGGCAACAAACTTCTCTCTGCTGGCCTGCGTCTCATTGGTGCAGAAGCGCAGCTGCAGGTCGGATGTTTTGAGCCTTTAAATGGGATGAGGAGTGGTCATGTTTTGGATGGAACATGAGACACCACAGTCACTACCACATTAGTATGCAAACTGACCACTTGGGTCCTGAAAGAGTCGTTTTAATATCCACTAATGCACCCTTGCAGTTTATCGCTACGTATATGCACTTTTCAGTATTTGGCTTCCACATTTCGGTCACGCTTGTCATGCAATCGCTTAAATCTCCAGTTGAGTCTGAAACTACTCGCTAATTTTTCCACTCACTTTCTCACAGCTTCCACTGAACCAGGTATAGCAACCCCGTCTCCCTCCCCGCTGTCGTACAAGACACCACACATGTCCAAAATGACACCTTTCAAACTCTTTGCACAGCCGGGCCATTTCTTGTCAGCCATGGTGGAGTTTCAGTCGCAATGCGCATGCGCGTAATGTAAGGAATCCTGCTATGCCTGAGTGCGTTGAATTCAAACTGTACATAGAAAGTGTACACGCGCGGACTGAAACACTTAAATACCCCCAAAAAAAGCTTTTTATTTTTTTTTAAATTATTTTTTTAGTACAAAACAAACTCTGCTTGTGTAATTAACTTTAATATATTTTAATGTCACCTTCTTGTCGTAAAAATCATTATTTTAGTGCTTGGTTATGGTTTTAACGGTTTTTAAGGTGACTTTGCAATTCAGGGAAAATGTTGCAACATGGAGGCGTGTCCTCTGACGCAAGCACGCACGTAACGGCCACAGCCTCGCTCTCCTCTGTCTGCACGCGCCAGACTATTATAAATACAAGCCGCACTGGGTACCTAACACTGCTTCTTCTCCCATCGTTGGACAGATCGGATTTCACTCAGGAGTGTTTTAACGCCGCTTCATTCCCGTCTGGTATTTTTCTAAATTATTCTATGTCTCTTTTTTTTCGTTTTAGTCGAGGGCTTTCTGCTTGAGTGTGATAAAGACAGCAGGAATGTGCTAATCTTGCCGAGCTAACTAAAGGAAGCGAAGCAGTTCAGGCTGTATCTATGAGAGACACGTTTACACTCTCAACAGGAAGAAGCGGGTTTCATTATTATGCAGACTGGTCCACATCTTCTCAGTTCATTTGACCTTTTTCTTACACTATTTAAGCTGTGACTTTAAAACAAGGAAGAGTGGGATGTGCCATGATGCGGTGTTATGTAATGCACGGTGGCATTAGAGATGCGTGGCTATCCTCTGATGGGCACTAATGCTTGGTGGGGTCTTTATTTAGCTGCTATATGTCATGGTAGGGGTGTGTGGTGGAGGCAGCTCCCCGTCGACCTATCATCTCTCTAGAGCAGGATAAATGGTGTGGAGGTGTCACTAATGGCACGGGTCCATTGGCCTTGATGCAGCCCAGTCCAGGTGCTGTCTGTTTGCTTTGTGTATTTATTCACTGTTCAGGGTTATTGATTATCCAGAGTAAAGTACTGGATAACCCATGTTCCACTCAAGGAACCTTTTATTTCAACACTACTGTACTTTTCTTATCAAGTTGTAAGTGATGTCATGGAATTTTTTTGTACACTTATGCAATATTTATTCACCTGAAACAGTAGTCGCAGTAGGATCAGATGAAGACTTTACTTCTTATCTCATCTTCATGGTCCAAGACTGCATGAGTCATTTCAAAACCCCTCATTACAACAACACAATGTTGAGTCATAACTTAAGAAACTATTTTGTGCATAAAAAAAGAGTGCATTTGAACACTTAGACTAACTGCAGCGTTTGTGATCGAATAGAAAAGTCGGGATCATCACAGATGAGTTGCCACGCTCATGCCAGTGAGATTAGCTTTTGTAAACCCACTCTCAGAGAAGGTCCTGTCCTCTATTGTGTTGCCTTTTGAAAGAGAGGCGTTGCTCAGCAGACCTGCAAAGCCCAGCTGCACCATGGAATCTCATTACGCTTTACTATCCTGGCTGCAGACAGAGTTTTTAGGAGCCTTTAACGGTCAAGTTTAGAGTAGTTCTTGCAGGTATAACAAGTTTATAAGAACTTTATTTACTAGAGAGATGGTACAATAACTCTACAGAAGTTTATAAGAACTTTGTTTACTAGAGAGATGGTACAATAACTCTACAGAAGTTTATAAGAACTTTGTTTACTAGAGAGATGGTACAATAACTCTACAGAAGTTTTGACTGTTTCTATATTTGGTCCTTAGTCAGAGCAACACAGCACCATGTCAGGAATGATCGTCAAGTTCAGCCGCAGTGTGAGCCGTGCTGCCCCTGTCCTTAGCCGCGGCATCCACTCTGGTAAGCGTGCAGCCTCCACAGCCGTGTCCAAACGCAAGGCAGAGCGCCCGCCGACCTCAGAGGACATCTATGCTCGCGAGGAAAAGTATGGAGCGCACAACTACCATCCCCTTCCTGTGGCTCTGGAGAGAGGGGAGGGTGAGTTAATTTCCTTTTAAAGTCTGCAAATTACTCGTGAGTCATCGTCAACAACTTCCAAGAACTGTTTTTTCCCCATGTCTACAGGCATCTATGTATGGGACGTCGAGGGAAGCCGGTATTATGACTTCCTGAGTGCTTACAGCGCAGTAAACCAGGGTCATTGTCACCCAAAGATTATTGCAGCACTGACCGCCCAGGCCTCCAAAATCACCCTGACCTCCAGAGCCTTCTACAACGATGTGCTGGGAGCCTATGCAGAGTACATCACCAACTTGTTTGGCTATGACAAAGTCTTGCCCATGAACACAGGTACTGCAAGGAAACATAGAGCACTCAATGCAAAGGTGTGTTATACGTTTGCACAAGCGTGTGTTGACTTTTGTTCTTTTGTTAGGTGTTGAAGGTGGAGAGACTGCCTGCAAGCTTGCCCGCAAGTGGGCTTACAACGTAAAGGGTGTTCCCAAGAACAAGGCTAAAATCATCTTTGCAGGTACGAACATGAAATATTCACAAAAGCTTCACAATTTGGGAGTTGGTTCAGTTTGTTTGTTTTGGTTTCACATATGAAAATTGTCACTAAAATAAGGTCGACATTTTTAGATCTTTCTGTCAGGAAGTTTTGGTTCTAACATAAAAAACACTTCTCCTGTAGTGCAAATTTAGCCATTTGTATTGTGTGTGCATCTGATGGACCTCTGTGCTGTGATGTGATTTGAATTTTTAATGCTGCGACACTGAGATTTATGCACCACTATTCACTCTGACAAATACACAGACTGACAGAACCTGTGCTTAACTCATAGTTAAGATTTAGAGCTTGTTAAAAAAAGGGAGTAAACACGAACAATGTAAACAACTGACTCACAATAAGCTTATGCACCATTTCTCTATGCTGCAAGCTTTCAGCAATAACAAACCATCTCTTCTACTTCCTGTTTAGATGGAAACTTCTGGGGCCGCACCATGGCAGCCATCTCCAGCTCCAACGACCCCAGCAGCTATGATGGTTTCGGCCCCTTCATGCCAGGCTTTGAGAATGTCCCCTACAATGACACAGCTGCTCTGGAGGTATCACGTTTGACCATCTTCAAATAGAACAGCTCAAAATGTATCATGTTTACTTTTATTCCTTAGGGGAATACACCCGTGACTTTAGCACTGTTACAAGTAGCCAAAGTGTAGAATAGTCTCTTCAACACAGCTTTTTTATGCGCCTTGTAAAAATACAAAGAGGGTTTCTCTTTCATTCACTGCAGACAAAACTGTCTGCTCTCATATATCACAACAAACCTGCATGCGCCTGATCTTAAATGCAAGGAAATGTGTTTATTTTTGTATTCTGGGTTATAGAGAAGCACCATGTAACAGCTAGCAGAAGTTTCATCATACTTCTGTTCAGAGTTACTGTGCAGGAAAAAGGATCCAACAAGCAGAGGCTTTGAGTCTCTTGCCAAATTACAGCTCTCGCAAAGCTTTGTGTCCCTCACAAGACTTTGAGAGGACAAACAAAAAGAAGACGAGCTGTCACAAAGGCTGCCATAAGCGTGTTGTCAGCGAGGTTAAATATTTGCACTTTACATAGCCCTATATTTGATCAATAACTATATAAAGTTGAAAAGACTATAATCAGTTAAAAGATACCTCCAAACTAGCTGACACAGCACACTCATTATCTGTGTAAACAAGAGGACTCTAGGGCAGGATGCAGTTGCAGCTATTTTCTATGTAAACAAATGCACTTAGTGATTGACTGGAGTTGCAGGTATTTATTGACCTGGTTTTCATGAGTGACTGATAGGATTGTCTTTTTTTATCTCCTCTGTTCTCCAGAAAGCTCTCCAAGACCCAAATGTCGCAGCCTTCATGGTTGAGCCTATCCAGGGTGAGGCTGGGGTAGTGGTCCCTGACCATGGCTACCTGACCAAAGTTAGAGAACTTTGCACCAAATACAATGTGAGTTTCCAAAAACTACACAAGCATGCATGAATAAAATGTTAGTTTTGATCTGTTAGAATCCGTAGATTACTCGTATTACAGTACCTGTTCATCCTCAGGCTGACAAACTGCACCGTTCCTGTTTAATGACCAGAAACAACACGTTAAAAACTCTCTCAGTCTCTCTGCTGTCTGGTTCACAAGCGTTTGCGGTTTTCCCAAAGGCCTTGCTCTTCAGGCTTTGTTTGGCCTTGAGAGTAAATATCATCTTTCAGGCATTGTAAAAGAAACTTAAACACAAAGACGGCAGCAACTTCTTGCAAAGTGACTCATCTGCCTTCCAGATTAGGATCAAAGGTCAACCTGCAGTCTTCGCTTCAGTTAGTTTAAGATTTTGATTCTCCAGGTACAAAGAGCAGAAAGATATTGGATTTGACATGTGAAAGAGCAGGAAGGTATAGGAAGGTTTACTCAAATAGAAATCCAAGCACAATATCTTTGTAATAACAGATCAATTTTAACAGTTACTAAAGGCCACTGGTTCACTTGTTTTGTTTAGGTGTTGTGGATCGCTGATGAGGTGCAGACAGGCCTGGCGAGGACGGGCCGGCGGCTTGCTGTGGACCACGAAGAAGTCCGTCCAGACATAGTGATTCTGGGCAAAGCTCTTTCAGGAGGCGTTTACCCTGTAAGCATTTTTGTTGTCCAGACACACTTTATTTCACGCTATAGATTTTGTTTTTGTATCAACATTTGGTGTCCACTATTATTGGACCAAAGTATAGATCCTGATTGTTTTGAGACTTTTACCTTTGCTTTAATTGATCTGTTTATCTCAGGTGTCTGCTGTGCTGTGTGACGATGAGATAATGCTCACCATCAAGCCTGGAGAGCACGGGTCCACATTCGGAGGCAACCCTGTGGCCTGTCAGGTTGCTATGGCTGCACTAGAGGTCAGCATAAAGTGCATCCTAACTTATCCTGTTAACTCAGCGCTCTCTTTTGTTTTGCCTTTGTCTTATTCATTAAATGATTTAAAGGGGAGACCTGACAATGCAAGCTTTATCCTCAAACTCTTGTTGTTGATTTTATTGTGCAGGTGATGGAGAAGGAGAAGCTGGCCGAGAACGCTCAAAAGATGGGAGAGATTCTGCGGTCTGAGCTGAACAAACTTCCAAAAGACATTGTGACCACAGTCAGAGGAAAAGGCCTGCTGAATGCAGTCGTTATCAAAGAGACCAAAGGTACTGAACTGACATTTTTCTTCAAGGCCAGCCTTTTACAAATCACTCAAAAGTGGAATATGTCTTTAATTCTGATGTACGTTCAATCTGTTCTCCTCCAGACTATGACGCCTGGAAAGTGTGCCTACGCCTTCGTGACAACGGACTGCTGGCCAAGCCCACCCATGGGGACATCATCCGCTTGGCCCCTCCCCTCGTTATCAAAGAGGACGAGCTGCGGGAATGTGTCGACATCATCCAGAAAACCATCCTGTCTTTCTAAACCACCCACGCCCCACTATATCAACGATACACAGACAACCTGCAAACTGATAATCCATATCAGCCATGCCTGCTCCGTGGCCTGTCGAGAAATCACCCATCACATTTATTCCTTTTGTCCTGTTTGAATGTATTTGTTTTTCAAAGATGAGGGACTTTGAAGGTTATAACTGCGGAGATGCTGGATACAGACTGTGGAGTGTACCCCTCTGAGGCTACACTGTTACTTTTGTACAGGAAAGCTGCTGTAAGGGAAAAAAGACTGAAACACAGGAGAACTTGACGCATAATTCGTCTAAAAAGATGTATTTTTAAAGGGTAAATCCACGTTTCTGCTGGTAATTGGTGATGTAAATAATATATGTGCTGTCTTCAAATATTTCCTTTCAATTTTACAAAATATTACGCTGTTTTTGACAGTAAAGTGTGCTTTTGAAAGTTACAAATATCTTATTTAAAACTTTACGTTTTAAAGGCGACTGCAAGAGAACCAATGAGGGTCAAATAAGAAGCGTGTTCTGTTACATTTGAGCTCAGTAAGTCTGGGTATTTTTACTCTGGAGTAAGGTTTCTACACATTTTCAGAAACAGTGAAATGTAAATGGACTTCAAGTCTTGAAGGATCTTTTTATAAGGACTTCTAAAAGTTAAAAACCGCTCACCTTTCAAATTTCCTTTTCACACTCGTAGTGCTTTCTTTTTAATTGAATATGTTGTATGTTACTGTGAAAGAGATGCTTTCTTGCAGCTGTAGAACTTGAATTCTTGAATAGAACTGATGTCTTTTTCTTAATGCTATTTAATTTGGTTTATTTTATTCTATTTAATTTGCTGTTTCTTATTTCTACAATGAAAATGCTGTAAAGGGATTTGATGAGTGCTGGGAGGACTCAGGCTGCTAGCTAAGGCTGGTTTGGGTTAAAGTAGTTACAGTATCTGTAAAATGTTCCATTGAACTTTTTGATGAAAGTTTAATCTGTAGATAAAATCGCAAATATTGTCTTTTCAAGGGCAACATGACCTTTTATGTTGTTATATAATCCTCTGCTCTTCAAATAAATTATTGTAGATCTCATCTTTGTCTCTCTTGTGAATTACTAAATTGGAAATGTGTCATAAAGTGGTTTCAACGACTTATTTAGCTTTGTCTTGAATGACACAGAAAAAAGTTTTAAAATCCAGGTCAAAGGTTTTTGGGGCATACTACAAACCTACAACCTAGTCAAACTGTTTACATGTAAAACAAAAAAAAAGACAAGTCCTGTAACAGATCATGCCTGAGGTCCTCTGATGTGTCTGTTTAACCTTCAGGGCGAATTTTTTCTGTGTCACACTCGGCTTCAAGTTCTACACATACTGTACATGGTTATATATAACTGTGCCTCAACACTAGATGGTGCTGTGCCCTCACAGAAAAGAACCTAACCACTTCTAGTTAGTTCACAGGCATTTGTTGAATGCAAAGCAGAGTTGAAAAATGTACATGTCAGTGAAGAATAATTCAACAAACCCACTTCAACACACCCTGACCTACATTGTTATCACTGTACGCTTCATTCAGGTGATTCATCTTTAAGCCTTTCTCACCGTCCTCCAGAGACTCGACATATCTGACACCTGTCAAACTGCTCAAACGAACTGCTCTGAACTGGATCTTGCAGCAACAGTCTCCGGGTTGCTGACTGATACAGCTGAGGACATTTTGCCCTGAGCGCTGACCTTCAGGCCGCACAAATCCTGCTGTACAGAATGCAAATATTCCACTGAGCACACAGCACAACTGAAGTAGGACTTAAACAGCAGTCAAGATCAGGGTTATGTTTGGTAGTAAACATGTTTGTATAATGAAATGTGATTTTTTTTATGCCAAGGTTAAATGACGACATAATGGCGAAACATCATTGAATCATGGGAGAACTAGAGTCAGATTTCATTACTCAGCATTAATTAATACATCCTGTGTGGCCTTCAGTTCGCTCATTCCCTTCTTATGCGACAGACAGCCAGTATTTCAATCTTAATCAGATCTACAAGAAAACATATTGCCTCCTGTTAAAGATCAATAAAAGCCACTCTAATTAGTTTAATGCTTTGCACTTTTAATGGCCTGGTCCTTGCCAACTCCTGTTTAAAGGCTTTGTATTGAGTGCATTTTTGGGGACTTTTATTCATTCATTCAGGGGGGCTTCAAATTAGTATTTACAGAGCTTCTGACTAAATTTCATGGTCTTAGTCAGTGAAAGGAATGTGTCTTGGTTATCAAGTACCTAAATTTCTGATTAATCCTGCCTGAGATGATACTAAACGCTTCCCAAAAGGCATATTTTTCCTTGAAGGAAGATTTAGATATGCTAATAACCGCCTGGAGTACAATTATTCCACGTTTAAAATGATAAAATGTGAATTTGAAAACCCTCACTATTCATTGTCTCGAGCTTTATCAAATTCTCCTGAACCTTGAGACCTCTGTAATGATCAAAGCTTAGTTGTTTAAAAGTTAACGGACCGGATTAAACCAATTAAAGAAGGGGTTGTTACACATAACTATACCAATACAGATTTATTTAGGCAAGGCAGCTTTATTTGTAAACCATATCTCATACACTAATTCAATTTAAAGTAATGAATATAGAGAAATAAAACAAATAATACAGGTATATAAAGCGGATCAGGTCCAAGCTCTTTAACTCTCAGCCTAACCTGCAAAGATCTCCTCCCAAACAGCGACTTCTCTTAGTTTTCTTTTTGCATTTTTGAGACCGCTCCCTCCATGACTCCGGGATCCAGATCTTTCAAGAGCTTGTAAGTGAAGCCTGTCTTAAAGCTTGAGAGTTGAAAGTACACACAGCCCAGCAGGTAATTATTTCATATTTAGCCGAGCAGAAGGTGAGAGGTGAGAGATGAGAGATGAACCCTACCTGAGATGATCCTGAACGTTTTCCAAAAGGGAGATTTTTTCCTTGAATCAAGATTTAGATATGGTAATAACTGCCTGGAGTACAATTATTCCATGTTTCAAATGATCAAATATGAATTTGAAAACAAAATACAGATTATTTATTTACAATGAGGCAGGGCAGCTTTATTTGTACTTCATATTTCATACACAAATGCAATTTAAAGTAATAAATACACAGAAGTAAAACAAATAATATACACAGATATAAAAAGGAAGGCCAATACGTGTAGATGCATGTTGTTGTTATGCTGTTAGAGCTGATCAGGTCCAAGCTCTTTAACTCTCAGCCTAACCTGCAAAGATCAAACAGCTATACTTAAGCCACTTCTCTTAGTTTTCTTTTGGCATTTTTAAGATCGCTCCCTTCATGACTCCAGGATCCAGATCTTTCCAGATTTTGTAAGTGAAGCCCGTCTTAAAGCTTGACAGTTGAAAGTACACACAGCCCAGCAGGTTATTATTTCATATTTAGCCAAGCAGAGAGATGAGAGGCCTGCAGTTTGCTCGTGAAATATGTGTGGAATTCCACCTGGCAGCAGAAATGAGGGTTATCGTAGGGTGACACCGAGCAATGTGCTATGTGTCCCTGTGCATGCTTTGATCCCACACCCTGCATCCTCCATAGGAAGGCAGATCCACAAACGAGCTCCAGTTTTGGCAGGAGAGTGACAGGCCACAAGCTTCCAGGTCCGGGCTCAGACGAAGGCTTTGACAGCTGGAGCCAAAACCTGAAGATGCTCAGGTAAAGGTGCTTGATTTTCCTCACTACACAGTCAAGAATGCGCATAGTCCATTCCAGGGTTTGGTGCAAATCTGGCTTCAGAGTCTGATTTGTATGTTGACCATAACTCCTCTAAATCCCCCCTAACAAGAAGGTCAAGAGGGGCTCTTATTCCACTCGTTCAGCTCTTTGTGCTTTGCCTTTTTGTCTCTTCGACTGACTTATTTGTGTTATCTCTCTATGTCCCCTCTCTCTTGGCTGCCACTTTGTCTGTACCTGTGCCAGCCCATTTGTATTCATTCCTTACATAATGGAGAAATCAGATTGTGGTACTTAGCAAGGACGTAACCAAAGTACTGCTGCTGAGGTTTAATTCAGGTAAAGTTCCAGTTAAGAAGAGGATAAATTATAAGACTCTGTATCCATTAAAACTGCGGAGTATCAGGTGCCAGCTAGAGAATTATGACTGATGCAGTGCTGGAGCAGGATAAGCTTTCCACTTTTTTTTTTCTTCTACAACCTCAGATAAATCAGAGAAAAACCTGCCACTGCTCATATTAATGGACCTCCTGCATTAAGTTTATGACATCAGAGTGAGCTGATAAAATACATGTGCATCTTAAAGGGCGTATAATCCTTAAAGAGATATGTGCTCGGATGATTCTCGTCTCCCTCCAGGTGCTGCTTTCAGTTCACACCACATGGAGGTATTTATTGATCAGGAGCTATACCAAGGTCCTCAGAAGGACACGTCTCTCGCAACAGATCAGAGGAACATTCGGCAAGTGTGACAATCATTTAAGCCATCACACCCTCACCTGATTTATGTCTGGACTCAACAACATGTCTGCAGTCTTTGCAATTGTTTACAAAGTCAAGAACAATGTCCTTTACAATAAGGATGCTTAAGTAAAGTTAATCTCTGCATGTCAGAGGAGAGTTTTGCAAACATCACAAGTGGAATATGCAAAAATGGCCATGTCCATGAATTCCAAAAAGAATGGCCACATATCTGTAATGTCAGACCTAACTAACCCACTTATAGGGATATTCCGGCGTAAAATTAAGTTGAGGTCAAACACATTATAACACCGAGTTAGACATCCCCTCAAGAGATGAATTTTGCCGACCGCTTGCTTCTCTAGTTATACCAACTTTAGTAATGACCGCAGTTCATATAGGGTCCCAGCCACAGCACTAGTCACCAAACATCTTTTGAGCTTTGCCTAATTTCTTTAGCAAAGAAACTAAACACAACTCACCTACTCTCTTCAAGCAGCCACTTGTTTGTAGTGAGACCTTGGGCGAGTCCGTCATTGAC